CGGACTGGGCGTGCGTCGAGCTGCTGCACCGCGTTGACAGCGCTTCATTGTTTCTTGGGGGGAAGGCCGTGTCCGAGTACGCCTGTCGTGCCAAATTTCTCGTGCCGGCCACGATCCTCGTCGCCCCGCTCAGCACCACGCACGCGTGTTTCCATCACATGTGCAACCTCCCCCAGGACGACAAGAAGCAAATCAAGTTGTCCCTTGTCAAGCACAACCACGATGACCGTGTCGTGCTGATGCCCACTGCACGCAACGTGTTGCGCCCAGAACTGGAGCTTGATGCCAGGCTTGAAGACGACGTGGAGAGCGACTTTGGCTTTCAGATGCCTGGGCACCCCAGCGGCAAGAGCGTGTCTGCTGCCGAGCTCTCGTTGCTTTTCTCGCCCCTGGACCCCGTCACACGACGCAATATTGCTGCAATGAAAGTCCAGTGGACAGCACCTGCTCAAGCCCCTGCTGCTGGTGCTCCTGCTCAACATAGTCCTGCTGGTGCTCCTGCTCATGCTTCACATGCATCGGTTTCCCCATGCTGCGCATACGGCACATGCTCCAGCTCCGCATGCAGGCAGTCGCAGCCACGATTCTGGGTCCGCTGAACCGATGCAGGTCGACCAAGCAGAACGCACGCCTCTCTCTGCTCTTTGTGACCGCCCTTCTTCTTCTGTTTCGCATGCAGGGCACGTGCAACCTCCGCATACAGTCAGGCGTGACTGCGCTACTAGGTCTGCACGAGCGCCGCAGACTCCTCCTGGCCGCCCCTCTGCTCAACAAGCAGCCTCCGCAGGCCTAACCGAACTTGTTCAACGACCGAGGCCGATCCTGATGAAGCGTCTGTGGGCAAGCATGTGGACAGATCCCCCCGAGGCAATCAAAGCTGAGCTCGCATGGCACCCCAGGCCTAGAATTCTCGCGTACCGTTGGCTCATGAGAGCCTGCCAGCCCTTGCAGTTCACACCCCTGCGGGTCTCACGCACAATCCCAGCCGCTACTCAACCGCCCGACAACGTGTCCGCAGAGTCGACCCAAGCGCCGACCGAACTGTCCGCCGAGCCGATGGCTTCGATCCCCGCCACTGCCCAACTCGTCTGTAGAGTCGACGGCTTCAATCTCAGCAGCTGCCCAACCGGCCGCCAAACTGTCCCCGAAGGCCTTGCAAACTGTGCAGGAGTTCCTTCAGCTCTATGACAGGAGGATCCCGATCAAGCTCAATTCGCCTGGGATAGATGCGTCCGAACATCTACCAGCGAGTCAAGTCTTGAAGCCATTCGTCGACAAGGGCTCTGAGTGGATGTCCGCTGAAGCGCTTGACTTTTGCTTCGGGCGCCTGCAACAAGCAAACATTACCTCGCAAAATGGGGTCAAAGTCACCTTTTGGGTATGATGTGTGTGTGTGTGTGTTAAGGTTGGACCGCGGTTGCTTGATTGCGGAGAGCGGTGACTCACAGCATGAGGTAATCGATTGCCTAAGCAGCAGACCTTCAACGCCAACGGGACTGCTGACATGGACAGATCACTGCGAGGTCACTCCAACCGAGAAATCAGGTTCTCGGAGTGCAAAGATTCATTGTCTGACACAGTCGCTGCATCGGAAGATGGCCTTGTCATCTTTCCAGCGAATCGAGAGCAGCACTGGTTCCTCGTTGTGCTGCATCGGAAAACCTTCACCATCCGCATTTTTGAGGGACTGAAGAAACTGGCTCTCGACCTTGTCGAAATTGTTAAATCGTTCTTGCCGGACTCGACTGAATGGAGCTTTGTTCCCGAGCCGGGTTCTATCTACGGGCACCAAGGGCCTGGCCAGACGGAGGAACCTCCTTGGACTTGTGGTTGGCTCGCCTTGTGGATGGCCGAGAGGATTGCACGGCTCGGCGTGTCAGCAGAAGACTTGCAGGCATCCACGTCTAACCCGTGGCCGTGGGTCCCTACCGATCCACCTCCGCCCAACGTTGGTCAACCTTCTAGATCTCAAGCCGTACCTCCCTTGTCGCTCCTGATTGCCGAGCATGTGCGGTTCAAGTGGCTCGCTGATGCCGCCCGCTGCTGGACACCGCACGTAACGAAGGCTTGAAGGGTGTTTAGTCCGCTGCTCTTGTGTTTTATTGTTTAATTTATGTATTTAATTTTATCTATTCCATATGGGTACGGTTTTAGACGATTTAGCTAGCGTAGACAGACGGAGTTGGTTCAGCAAAACTAGCTCGCCGAAGGAACATGATTCTAGGGGTACAACATTGGTTTCATGCCTCATCCTGGATAGCCACGTAACTAGAATTGATGATACTATCGGTTACATGTCATAGACCTGGTCTGAAGCACGATCTGTTTGAGGTAGATCAGCTTGAAGAGACAGACTCAAGCGCGAAGAGGAATTCAGCGCAGTCAAGTTTCTGCCACCAGCCAGTGCTATGGACTAGGCCCACTAATCACAGAAAACGATAAAATACTGATAAACATGGATGGGGATGGGATCTTGAGGCGTTCATGCACCCCAAAGCCGCGGTCGAGTCACGAAAAGCAAGTCTCATCCCACGACAAGAAGCGCAAGTACCAATGGCCACTAACGGCTATGATTCAAATGTAAATTATCTGACAACACTTTTAAAACCTCGAAACTTGTTGTATCACGGCAGTGGTGGTCACACGAGGAGCGTCAAGAAGACCATTTGCACGATTCGCTAAGTCGGCTTCTATCAAGTGGAATCGGTCGGAACAAAAGCAAAGCAACTCTAACACTATTGGTAAGTATTATCACGTACCGGTGGCAGCATGGACGGCCGGTAAAACGACCGGACACTCGATCCATGGTTTTGCGAGTTGGCCGAAACTTTGGCCTCCTCCCACTCCGCATGATTTAGTACCACATCCGCCCCTCCGCAGATGTGATGTCTAATGCACGTGAGAAGCAAGAAAAAGTTACAATATCAGAGATCGGACGATGCTGGACAAAGATCGAGCACCCGCCAAATGGGTCATTTCCGACCCTTCGTGATCCACCCTCCAGATATCACCGCAATTCCGCATCAATGATTTAGACTCTAGTACTAATTTACTGTTGTCTGGTAAAATATTTCATGGATGCGACTCGGAAATCGCAAGTTAAAGCCCGTCGAATGTTTGGTCGGGTGCATCAACTAGAAACCAACGATCACTGTCCACGCGCGATATAGAGCGGATACTATAGAGTGTATAGAGTACATTGATATATGGCTGGTCAAGCTCCTAGGTGTCTACATGGCTGGATACGAGTGCGAAGCCAAGTCGGACGCATCGTGCGGCACCTCACTCGCCATAACGGTTTTCAACTCATCAGACATTGAACAATCGGAATATGTATGGATTACACGGACAGAGCTGGTGAAAGGCATCGATCTCGGGGCTAGCAGGTTTTGGACGAAATTCGAAAGGCCGATTCAGTCTTCGTGCTATCGAGCGCTACCGCCCGACCGATCCCGGATTCATATACACCATGCCAAGCGCTAACTTTCTATACTAGAGGTGGCGCTAACGGGCTGTCCTAGTCGGCGCCCTGAGGGCTCGTGGACGGCTGTCCATATCCAGCAGTCGGACACTGCCCCAGGCCCGCCCGTTCAATGGAGGTACCAGACCCATCTACTAGATTTTTAGAGACCATAATATCGGCGGTGGGTGCGGTCTAGGCCGAGATCGAGCGGTCGGCTTGGCCGCGACGGACCCGAAACCTGGTGCGGCCTCCAGCGCTTCGCTCCTGGCCGTCTCGCACATGATTCTATATCTAAAAAATCGGCTCATTCCAATGGTGTACAGTAGAAGGGGCTGCAGTGCCGTTTTGAGGGACCTCGTCACCAGCTGCGACACGCAAAAAGGGGGTATCCGTACACGACGATGCAGGTGTCCCCCGTCCTCGCCAATGCAGCCACGGGGTGCTGTCAGGTCATGTACAAACCTGATGGGGTCAGGGCGGCGGGCGGTGGTGCACAGTGGCCTCAGTGAACTGGGGAAAAATTCCCATTGCAAAATGTATACCCGCAAGTTTCCTGGTGAACTCGATATCTCAGACAATTCAAAGATGTACTAGTACCTATCAAAAGGGGCTTCCGTGTCCAAAGCCGGGTGAGGGGGGTGGGGCGCAACTACAAGCTTGACAGTGGCCTTGGATTTGGTCATTGAAACCTCAAGTCGCTTCTCGGTCCAAATCCCTGTGGGGCCAATCCTCCCCAGATTCCACCAATGCATGATCGTATACTCTGGCTATCAATAATACATGGCAAAATTACGGCATGACCATCGGACAGGTCGAGAGGAGGCGAACTTGTTGCCGACCCGGACGTATTCAATTGATCGTGTCCCCTGCGATATCCTCGCAACCATACGCTTCCGCTTCTTGTTTCTTCCAATCTACAGGTATCAAAAGGTGTATGGTCAAGAGGGGAGCGACAGTGAATGAAGCCCCTCGAAAATTTTCAGGGTCTGGCAAAAAAAAAAACAAAAAAAAAAACAATCCAGTCAACCCCTTTGGGCATTGAAGCGCGAAGATCTATGGAAAAGCAACCGCAGTCAGACCTCATGAAACCAGATACCTGGGTGGACACTGGAGAATTGAGATGATGAAGCAGTGGAACTAACTCCTTTTGGTCTTTTTATATTCTCGTTTCACTTTTATTTTCCTTTCCATTCGGTTTTTTTTTTTTTTTTCGTTTTCGTTCACTCTTTCGCCAGCAAAAACAAATGGCTTCGCGCGTTGCAGCTGCACAACAGTCGCAGCAACTGCAGCAGCAAACAGAGGCTCAGCAGCCCGCGTCCATGTCCTCGCACCGGGTTGCAGACCTCTACTCGAACTGCATCAAGTTGAGCTCTGAAAATGTAAAGCGAACAACAAGCCGATATTTCGTCTCTTTTCGCTTCTGCCCGTTTCTCCTCTCTCCGCGGCTCAATCGGATAACTTCCGCCATGACATTAAAGGCAGCAACCAGTGCATGCTAAAGAACAAAGTCAGCACGCTTGTGAATAAGAATCAGAAAACCCAAAACTCGGTCTCGGTTTTTGGCGGTTTATTTGAAACACAACGGTTTTTTTTTTTTTTGAAACAGTTTTTTTTTTTTTTCAATTTGAAACTTTTTTTTTTTTTTTTTTTTTTGCTTGTTGCTTTTCAATGCAAAATCAGAATTGCAAAACTCACTCATCTTTGATCGTCTTTTTGGTTTGCTATTCATTCGTTGACAGAAAATCACCCAAAAGAACAGTTGGGAATTGCCGTTGATCGACTACATTACTGCGGTGCTCGAGTCTCAGAATGACGGCGAAATGACCAACTTCCAAGCCGCCAGCTGCACACTCGATGCAAGTATCAAGATTTACTCGTACCGTGTGGATTCCATTCACACTGAGACATACAAGGTGCTTGGAGGACTGACACGCAGCAGTGCCACAGCTGGTGAGTGGTTTTTGCAAGGGCCGGGTCTTTGTTGCATCACTCTACAAGCATACCTTTGAATGAAAAAACCACACAAACACAATGTTCATTGCCCTTGTGTGCTTGTTGCTTGCAAAACAGAGGAAACTGAGGAGGGAGACGGCACCAAAGCACGCAAGGTATGAAATTTGAACAAAAAATTGAGCGAGCTGGCGTTGGAACTTGTTTTCCTCACTCCATACTGAACTGCAACAGGCGCATCGAAGTGTCAACACGCTGGAGACGAATGCTGCAGCCCTCAATGTTAAAACCTTCGATATGGAGTTTGACGTTGATCCGCTGTTCACCAAAACGTCCGCTTCGTTTGACGAAGGTGGTGCCAAGGGCCTGTTGCTCAACCATCTCTCCGTCCGCAATGCCTGCGAGCTGATTTTCGACTCTTCGGACTGCGTCGATGGTCGCGGCGACGAGGCCGAAACCGAAACGGAAAACCGCTCTCCCAACAGCACCATTGACATTAGCGATCTCAAAGGTGAACTGTTCATTTTGTTGTTGCGCTCTGGTTTAGCAAGATCGCTCATTTCATTCAAGCTCACTCACTTGTGATTAACTACGTACTTGTCTCTGTACGTTTCGTCACAGCCTACATCGCGGCGGACAAGGACTTTGATAGCCGCGAGATTTGCTCGGCCTTCACCAAATTCGAGTTCCGAGGATGGGTGCCAGGCGATGCAGTTGGTGGATTGGATGCGTTGCAGGGTGCCGACCGAGCTGGTGACACGGATTTCCTTGCCGAGGACTTGCCAACGCGACCGATGCCGGACGACGACCGGAATGACGGATACGCCGACGGCTACGACAACGACGAGGACGACTTTACCAATTTCAGCGACGCTGAAGATGTCTATAGCGAGGTCGGCCAGATATTTGCCGCACATCAGTTCATGAACGGCACAGACGCGGCGAGCACTGCAGGCTCAATCATGGTCAGCGCCGACAGCACGGACGGCGATTCACTGTCCGTCTCCAGCGCAGGTGTGTCCGGCCGCCCCAATACTCGCGCAACGCTTGCGCTGACCATTGGCAATGACAACGAGTATTCGTACTTTGATGCTTCTGCGCTCAAATCCTGGACGGGCAACAACCACTGGAAGCTCAAGACCACTCCCAAAGGTAAGTTCTCTATGTCGATGCAAACCAAACTACAATGATGCATCCCTCCATTTACATTCGACAATTGGGAACTGACTCTCACGCTGGCAAATGTCCTGTACAGACGACGCTGCTTCGATTGCTTCGGACTCGAGCAAAAAGAAAAAGTCGCGCAAGGAAGCATTCTTGATTGATTTTTCGAGCACCAAAAAGGTCGATTGGGCAGTTGCACTTGGGAAGAGCCGCGCTGCAACCACTCTGTCCAAGCCGACTGTGGACAAGTTGACCACGGCTGCCACCACGCTGCCCGACGACGTCCACTACACCGTGGACAAGTTGTCACGGCTGTTCCTGAAGCCCACTGTGCTCGTAAGCAAAATGAAACATGCAGCAACGAGGCCTGGTGAATGTGTGTGGTGGCTCACTGATTGAATGTGTAGGTCAAGTGGAACGCTGCCGCAAAGTCTGCAGCAAGCAATGTGCCGACAAATGACGATCAGGTCCATGAGAATGACTACGACCAGCATCACGACAACGACGACGACGATGACTACTACGGTGATGATGGTCCATCGTATGACGACGCCAAAGACGACGGGCACATGCTCAACAGCAGCGCAGGCAATGTGACCAACAACACGACGTTTGGCCTGTTCAACACATCCATGACCGCAGACGAGACATTTATTGCAGGAGAAGGTTTGATTGATCAGCCCCGCCGCGTCGAGAAGATTTCCATCAGCTACGCCAAGGCAGCCAAGCGCGTGGACGTAAGACGCCTGAAAGAGACCATGTGGTCACGCCTCGAGAAAGAGGCACATGTTGTTGACAAGCCCACCAAAACCCAGGAGTCTGACGAAATGGTAAAGTTCTGCGGAGATTGTTCGTTTGCGGGTTGTGTTTGCGGAAAATTGACGCTGACTTGTGTTTTTTTTTTTTTTTTTTTTTTGTTGTTGTTTTTTTTTTTTTTTTTTTTTTGAATCGCTGACACCCTGATTCCCACCGCTAATAGCCTGTGCAGTCCTTCTCAAGCCTATTTGGTGAGCTCGCGGCTCCGTACCAACAGCAGCTCAAGACGCAGACGTTGCAACAGCAAGCAAACAGCAGCAGCGGTCTCTCTGTGGCAATCTGTTTTGTTTGCCTATTGCACCTGGCCAACGAGAAGAATCTGGCCATCGACTCGCAGCTGGACATGGCTGACCTGATGGTGGCGCGCTAAACAAAAGAGGGGAGCTAGCGCAAGTGGACAAATGTTAATGCTAATCAAAGTTGGAATGTACATGGTTTTGTGACGGTTGTGGATGCTGATGAATGTTGCTTCCGTTGTTGTGGTAGAATGAAAGAGAATTGGTGCTACTCAACAGTTAGATGTTTTGACAAGTTGAGAGGGGAAGTGAAAAAATAAAAACACACAAAATAAAAAAACCGAGCATCAAATCTGAGACCACAAAAGCACTCGGATTTATCGACCAGTGCGGGTGCGCTCCATAACATTGCGGCGAGTGTCGCAGATGGACTGTAGTGAAACAACAAGAACAGGAAGAAGTGCGGTGAGTGACAAATAGAACGAACGTTCAGCGTTGAAATGGAAATGGATTTCTTACGCAGCACTTTGACCACAAATCGTAGTTGGGAATTTGCTCCCAGCCCTTGGCATCCAGCTTGTGGCGCTTGTAGCAGCAGCCACCAAAGCAGTAAGTAAACACAAGCACAAGGAAACTGGCAATGGCAGAACGGGAAAAAAATAAATAAATAAAAAAACATGAAAAGTGAGAGCCACAGTGCAAACAACAGATTCACAGAGTGTGTGCAGCAGCCACTTCATCATCAACACTTACATGATGACAAAGATCGCAAAGCCGCTCAAGCTCGAATCCGAGCCCTCGCCTTCCACAACGGGGCAAGCAACAATCGAAGCCCAGAGGAAGTGGTAACCGCAGTTGGATTCGTCGAGGAACTGAGGGCGGTTGATTTGCGACGAGCACTCAAAGCGAATGTTGATCGAGCGAGCAATGCCCTTGCACTTGGGGTCGGACGAGTACACGGATCCACCGGTCATGTTGTAGTTCAGCTTGCCGTTGGCATCAAAGTAGATGCGGCCGGTCGACGAGATACCGAGCGAGCGCGAGTTGACATCAAGAACGCCAAGGTTGGGGTCCGTGTCCGACCACAGGTGGCAGGCGCCGGAGGTTGGGGAGCACTGGGAGATGGAGGGCTGGAAGTCAAGGCCGTTGATGGGCTGGCCAACGTTCAGCACGAACGTGCCGTTGGGCATGTTGACCACCCAGTTGCCGACCAGCTTGCGAAGCTTGGAAAAGTCAAACGTTTCGCCGTTGGTGCTGTCGATCGAGAGGTGGTACCCGGTGCTGGTGGCGGGCGAAGGGAGCTGTGTGCAGGCATGCTTGGTGGGCCAGTCGACCTCGTACACGCAGTGGTCGTCTTCGTCAACGTCCTCGGGGCCATCGAGGGAGTGCGCGCGGGGGTCGCAAATGAAGGAGATGATGGTGCTGCGAGCACCAGAGCTGCACGCCGTGCCGCCAATCGTCTTCATCATGATGATGCCCGAGTCAATGTTTTCTGTTGTGCGGTGTCAGGAACAAGTGAAGCAAAGCAGGCAAAGGGGGGGAGGTTGAGAGCAAGTTCTTTTTTTTCTTTTTTTTTCTTTTTTTTTTGAGGAAGACACAAAACAGACAAACAAACAAAAAAAAAAAAAAAAAAAAAGATCAAAACCGACAACTTCCCAGCCAGTGGTTGCAATGACTCTCAACGACAGCGTATCAAACCCACCAGACTGCCCACAATTTTTCGCTCCACTTAGAGCAATAGGAAACAATCACGCATGGCCACGCTCACCATCCTCGTCGGTCGTGCTGAGTGACAATCCAAAAAGTGCTGACAGCATTGCCGCTTCAAAGCGAAACCCTCACGTGGCCGTGCTCACCCCCCGCCACATCCACACTGATACTCGTCGTAGTGAATACGAGTGTGTGGACCCTTGTGCGCACTTTTCGGCCCGTTGTTTGTCGTTGCTTTTTCCACAGTGCGCGTGTGTGGGTGTGTGTATGTGCAACTGTGGCAGAATGAAACTCACCAACGTAGATGCCGCTGTTGTAGATCTGCGTGCCAGCAGAAAAGTTCTTGTGGTTGCTTGCACTCTGGCAGGCATAGCTGTTTGCGCACTCGACGGGGAGCTCGGGGTCTGCAGTGACGAGCTGGTCGCAGACGTTGAGGTAGTACGAGGTTGTGCCGGACGCGTCCTTGGTCGAGTACTTCCAGTTCCTGACAACGAAACCAAAAACAAAAGAGACAGAATTTGATGGGGGAGAGAAAGACAGGTGAGCCACCATGAGCGCTGAAGGGGAAAAGAGAATGAAACCGAAACCAAGCGATACGAAATGTTCACCAAGTGGCATTAGAAAAGGGTAGGCATGGCTGGCTACTCTCCAGTGAATCAAGTCAGCCAAATTTTTTCCCCATTAACGCACATGACTCGCAAAAAAAATAAAAAAAAAATAATAAAAAACAAAAAAATAATGCAAGAATCGAGTCAAAATTGCAGTGAAAACGAAAGTTGTCGAATGCGATGCGAGGAAGCGAATGGCGAAGACGCGGCGAGCGTGGCGACGGCGGAAGGCGGTGAAAAAAGGGGGGAGAAAGAGAGAGAGAGGCGAGAAGGGGAAAAAAAACACAACTGACTTTGCGTTGTTGAACGCGACGGCCGCACGCAGCGCAGAGAGATCGACCTGGAGGCCCGTCTCCCAGTCAGCAAACTTGCAGACATTGACGGACGGAGTGGCGGCGGCGGCGGCGGCGGAGAGCTGCTGGGGAAGGGCGTTGACGGAGGAGGGTGCTGCGACAATGGCAACGGCAGCGAGCGCAACGAGAGCGAGCAGCATCCTCGTCATCGTCATCAAATACAAAAGAGAGAGAAAGAAAAAGAGAGATAAGAAAATAAAAAGGAAAGACTGAATGAATGGATCAAGATTGAGATTGAGATTGAATGGATCAAGCTTGAAATTGAAACGGCGTTTGTGTGTGAGCTCCTGTGTCTCAGTCAAAGGGGGAGAGATCCGACAAGTAAAGACAGTGGTGGCCTTATTGTCAACAAGCAGTCTAACGCGACACGCTGTGATCGACTGATCTCTGTCAGCAGGTGGAGATTGGCGATTTGCTCCAGTGGTCGAGCATTCCCGTTTCCTTAGAACTCCCATCCCTCAGCTGCAAGCTCTCAGATGAATACTCTGACCGAGCTGATCTGAGCTGAGCTGATCTGATCTGATCCACTTTGGTTTTGCGTTTCAGTCTCCAAAATCGTTACAAAAAAGGCTATTCAATGGCAGATTCAATGGATCCGAGTGCGACGACGACGGTCGCATCCGACGCTCAGCCAGCATCTGCATCAACGAACGCTGGGAACACTATCAAATCAGAACCAGCAGAATCTGAGACGTTGAGCCACTCCGCAGCTGCTGAGACCAAACCGGGCGCCGATGCTCAACCCAAATCCGAGCCCGCCGATGCTGCTGACGCTGCTGACGCTGCTGCCGCTGGGCTGCCGGACGATGCAACGCTACGTGCTGCGATTGCCGACATCCTGGCTGCATCGGACTTGGACAGCGTGTCGTCGCGCGCAATCCGCAAGCAACTCGAGCAGCAGTTTGGCGTCAAGCTCGGCAGCCAGAAGGACGCCATCGACCAGATTATCATGGAGATCATCATGAGCGCGGAACCAGCCGAGGGTGCGCAGGACGACGATGACGACGACGGCGAGCAAGACCAGGACGACCAGGAAGACCAGGAAGACCAGGACGAAGATTCAGAGATCGCTGCACCGGCGAAGGCTGGCAAGAAGAAGGCAGCCAAGAAGCGCAGCCATGCAGAGTCCGAGCAGCGTGGTCGGGCCGACGGAAGCGACGTCGATGGCGGTGAAGACGAGGACAAGGACGAAGCGGATCAAAACGAGGACGATGATGATGATGATGCAAAGCCCGCCAAGCGAATCCGACTCGACAGCGACGCCGATGGAACGCCGACGAGAAGTGGATCGAGGCGTGCAGCGTCGTCGTCCGCAAAGAAGAGCCGGGCGAAAGGCTCGGGCAGGCACAAGAGCGCAGAGACGGTGGACAGCAGCGACGACGAGAGCTCTGCTTCGTCAAAGCCGGCAGCCAAGCGCAAATCTACGGCAACCAAGGCCCGTGCAAGCAGTGCCGATTCCCCACAACGTGCACGAGGTTGGGCTGCATCGAACAAGGATATGGAACTCTCGCCAGCCCTGGCAGCCCTTGTCGGAGCACCTCAGGTAATAATCGATTTCGTTTGAATCCGTATCTGTCTCTCTGGGCCTCCTTTTGTGGCACTCACTCGCTATTACTGCTTCCGTGGATAGATGGCACGCCCGAAGGTCGTTTCAAAAATCTGGGAAATAGTCAAGGCAGAGAACTTGCAAGACCCCGACGACCGGCGTTACATTCGCTGCAACGACGCCATGAAGGCAGTCTTTGGGTCGGCGCGTGTGCACATGTTTTCGATGAACAAGGTCCTGTCCGATCATATTTTCAAGAACGGCGAGACCACTTCGACAAAAAGCCGCGTGAAGGAGGAAGAGAGCAATGATGATGAGGACGATGAAGACGATGATGACGCTGAAGCAAAGCCAGCGGCGCCCAAACCCAAACCCAAAGCCCCAGCAGCAAAGTCCGCTTCTCCCAAGCGTGCTCCTGCAGCCAAGCCTGCCAAACCGGTTGCTGCCCTGACACGGGTAGGGGATTTTGGTTGCGAGCAAACGAGGCCCTTTTCGTTTCGTTGTTTATTGACGTGTTCGTTTGTTCGTTTATTCATTTGTTTGTACGCACATCTAGCCGCTCACAGACGAGGAACTAGCTCGCCAATTGCAAGCCGAAGTCAACGGTGGGCGTCAACGACGCGCTGCAGCGCCACTGCCTCGGAAACCGGCAGCAGAAGGCAAAAGCCGCGGCGGTGGTGGTGGCTTTTCAAAACCCGTTGGTGTTTCGCCCGAGCTGGCTGCATTGCTGGGGGCGTCTGAGGTAACATTCACCGGAGGGAATTATTGTTGTTGATGGACATTTTTGAAATGTTTTGCTTTGCTGACGTTTCTTTTTCGACTTGCATTCCAGCTGCCGCGCTCGCAAGTCATCAAAAAGTTGTGGGTTATCATTAAGGAACGCAACTTGCAGGATCCGACAAACAAGCAGTTCATTTTGTGCGACCCTCAGTTGGAAGCAATTATCGGCAAGCCGCGCGTGCAAATGTTCAAGATGACGCGGGAAATCGAGCGACACATCCATCCGCTCAGCAAGGAGGCTATTGCTGCGTATCGTGCCAAGGCCGAGGCCAATCCAACGACCGACGGTGCACCCGACGATGACGATGCGCCGGAAGGCGACGGATTAGACGAAAGCGCGGATGGCCCGACCGCCGCAACCGCAATGGATACGCAATGAGGGTTGTTGCTGTTGGTGCTGTTGTTGTGTTGTTATTGTTGCCGCAGTGTTGTTATGGTCGTTACGTGGGTTGTATGACAATACCGTTCGTTTCAGTTCGAATCGAAGTCAGTCCCTTTTTTTTGTTAACAGTTTTGACAATGAGTTTTCGCGGTCTTTCGCTTCTACGCGCGCCGGTTTTACTTTCTAGGGCTGTGCGTGCACCGATTGCACTACTCTATAGCTCTGGGAGTGTATCCACGCGACGAGCGGCCTCGGGATCGGCCACGACGCCTCCAGTGTCCAACCAGACCATCTCGCGTGCTGCATTCACCGAGTACATCACCGCTCGACGGCTGCTCGATGCGTCTCATGTAACTGTCAATGCTTTTTGAGCTTGGACTCGTACAAATGTCCAACGTTCGTGTCGGTCGTTGTTCGGTTGACTGAGTTTGCATTGGGTGCCAACGTACAACGTGCAGGCTGCCCCGCTGCTCGAGACGGCCGCCGCGCATGGCCATACAGACGCACTGCACATTCTAGCACTCGACATGTTCAAGGTTGAGTCGCGAGAGTCGCTGTTCCGGTGAGGATTTTGCGAGACCATTCTCAGTTCAGTCAATGTGTAATGTAAACTCACTCATCTGCCATGTTTGAAATGCTGGTTTTTGTGTTTGGTCTGTGGAACAGTGGATATCAATTGTTAAAAGCATCGGCTGATCTCGGACATGCATTGTCGCTTTATCTGCTTGGATGCAGCCATCTTGAAGTAAGAATTCCGAGCGAGACTGACATGGAGGTTTGTTTCGTTGGACTCACCGAGATTGCTGTGCAGGGTCGATATAACATTCCGGTAGACTATGAGTTAGGGTATTCTATGATTCAGGCTGCAGCTGATAGGGTATGGGTCAAGCCTTGGTTAATTCTTTTGGTGTTGGCTTTTGTTCATCTCCGTTTCATTTGGATTTTGGCCAGAATCTGCCGCAAGCCATGTATCATGTGGCTGTAAAGTTGCTTGCTGAATCCGCGCAACCGCCAGACGAAGCACGGGCTCTCTCCATGTTGCGAAAGGCTTCAAAAGTAGGTTTATGGAAAACCTCTTTGTGGGTTGTTTTTCCGCTGACTCCAGATTGTTGATTCTCATGATTTTGGCCTCTGCTTTGGTTGTTCGTTGCTTCAGATTCGATCGGATGCGTTGGAGCGGATTCGGTGTGTATTGGGCTTGCATCTGCTAAGAAGTGAGTGCCTTCGTGACAATCGAACTATCGCCAAACCATCGCGCTTGTCTAACTATTGCTGAAACCCTTTGTACATTCAGAGTGGTATACGACACCAGAAGAGGAGCGAACAATGCTCGAAATGGATGCGTTGAATGAGGCCCTGCCGCTGCTCCACGCGTTGAAGCATGGTGGCGGTCCTACTGCATTTGTTGCGGCCGCCTGGCTTGAGCATATTGAAGAAGATTTGCTGGCTCTTGATGACTGATGCTCGAGTCACGCAGCGTTCCCCTCGTTTCCAAAGTGGTTGATATTTAGTTACAAGAACATTTGCTCGTCTCCGTTTCTAATCCACCTTGTTTCTTAGTATTGTGATCCACACCTTCTTCTTTGTTCTCAGTTGTTATTATTCTTTCTTTTTTTTTTCCCCGCTCAGTCTCTTCTCTTCTGTGTTCTGAATGGCGTATTTCGGCCATCCGCCTTCACTGTCTGTCGACGGCCAGTCGCCTCCCCAGCACCCTTCACAGCAGCAGCAGCAGCCGTACGCGCTCCATCCGCAGCTCCAGCACCTCCATCAGCTCCACCACCACCAACAGCAGCAGCAGCAGCAGGCAGCCAGCAGCAGCACCAGCACCAGCAGCAGTCAAACGCCGCCCGTGCTTTCCTCCGCCGTCGCAGCAGCCGCAGCAGCAGCCGCAGCCGCTTCCGCTTCTCACTCTGCTTCGTCATCATCGTCATCAGGTAAACAAACAAACAAACAATTCACAAACAAACAAAAGAGAGTCGTTTTTTGTTGGTTTGTTCATTGAACGAAAAACGCTGCTGTTTTTTTTGTTTTGTATTACAGCGGAAAAATACGAAAAAAAAAAAAAAAAAAAAAAGCCAGGTTTTTTTATTGCTTTTTGCTTTTTGGCGCTTTTTTTTTTTTTTTTTTTTTTTTTTTCATTGACTTTTTCCATTGACTTTTTTCATTGACTGTTTTTTTCATTGACTTTTTCATTGACTTTTTCATTGACTTTTGAGCGTTTTTTCAAAATGCAATGCAAATGTTCGTTTTGTGCTGCTTTGGCTGACCTCTGATGGCTGACCTCGTTGACCTCGTTGACCTCGTTGACTTCTTTCTTGTTCCAGGTCCGTTCGACGACTTGGCTGCTGCGAACGCCGCGGCGCGCTCGTCAATGCAGTCGCCGGGAGTGTCGGGACGACCCGCAGATGGCGCTGCTGGGAGCGGGGCGGACGGGACGGCGGCCACGGGGCCACGCAAGCGCCGCAGGGTCAACAGGGCCTGCATGTACTGCCACAAGTCAAAGGTTATGTGTGACGATGGTAAGCACATGCATGTGTTGCATTGTATTGCATCGTATATGTGCCTGTGTTGATAGATGTGAGCCATCTTTGGCTTGATTTTGTCGCTGTTTTCTGCTCTCTCACTCTTTCTGCTCTCTGATTTCTGATCGTGCGAAAACAGAGCGACCGTGCAGCCGGTGCATCAAACGGAATATCGCTCACTTGTGTCGAGACGACGAGTTCCAGCTCGAGCACACGCAATACAATGACCACTTTTCACAACAAGGCGAGCAGCGCAACAGCATCAAGGCACAACAAGGTGCGTGTGAAAAACCCAAACGTTGTTCCTTCTCCCATTTTTCAGCTGCGACCAGTTTTGTTCTTACTTGGCTGTTGCTTGTTCGTTCTCTCTGTTTCCTATGCTTTTGTTTTTTTTTGGGGGGGGGGGGCCGCCAGCCGCACAATTCTTGTTCCCCGAAGTCCCCGTTGGCTCGATTGGACGGGCAGATCTCGTTGACCAACAGCAGCTCGAATCCGAGAGTGCTGCGCCATCCGTGTTCTCATCGGCGGCAGATCCAACCCAGGCAGCAGGGGCGGCCCCGATGGATCCCAATGGGCACGATCAATTGTTTGCCAGTATAGATCTCGGCTTTGCCAGCACACCAAAGACAGAGTTGCTCGGCAGTGCAGACCCTGCCCTGGTTCTTGCCGCCTCTGCAAACCAGTCTGCGGCCGCTGGCGAGGCGCGCCCCAAAATTGCGTCTGGCTCCTCTGTTCGCGCCACTCGCTCGTTCACTGCGCAATTCCGCGACCCATTTCAACCAGGTGTCTCGCCATTCTTTGGCGGCGTGCTAACGGGCACTTCGCACGATGCTGGATTGGACCCGGCCATTCCTCAGGACAACAACATTAAAGCACAGATTGCCAGCATCAATCGGTGCGTTTGTCGCGTTCGCGCAGATTCTACATTTCTGCGTGCTGTTTGCTTTCTGGTGACTGATTCTATTCGTTTTTCTCACTCACTCGTACTTTGTCGCCCTGCAGCGTGGACTCGCAACTCGCAGTTCGAGCTCCCATCGATGCCGGTGCGAGCGCTGTTGCTCGTAATCCTGGCAAGGTGTTTAACTACTTTAACAGCTTGACGTCTGTGCGCAAGTACATTTGTGAACGGTATGCAAGCTCTATTTGGCTTTCTGTGGTCTGTTGCTGTCGCTCACTGCGCGGTGCATGCTCTGCAGGCTAACTCCCGAGCAATTCCAAGCCATTGAGGATTTGCTCGAGCCGGTTCGCATGCAAATATTCGAGACTCTTCTCACGCTCGAGTACAAGGACCTGGTCTTTGTTGAAGAAATGTTTGATCGCAAGATTCTGGCAAGTCGGATTTCGCGCATGTTTCGCTATTCGTTGGGGGAGTGAATGACTGGTCTAACTGGGGGTTTTGTTTTTTGGTTCATTCAGTTTTACAAAAAGTACTTTGATGACATTGGAACACCCTCGTGCTTGTGGCGTCGCACAGGAGATGTTGCTTTGGCCAATGAAGCCATGTCGGAGCTTGTCGGACGAAGTGGCAAAGAGCTTGTATCGTCAAACTTTTACAAGGTATGTTGCGCATGGAGGGTTCTTTGAAAAGAAAAATTGCTGCGTTCTATGGACTGGGCTGGAATTGGCTCACTATTTCCATTCTTGTTTGGCTTGTGTGTCTATTCTAGCTCCTCTCCAACTCCACGCTTTACGACTACATTATGCAAATATCTATTCCACTGCTGTCGGCCAACTCTGCTCGAACATTCATTGCTTCAGTAGTGTTTGTGCGACCTGACAACACTGAGATTCTTTGCAAGGCCTCCTTCACTGTCAAACGCGATGTGTACGAACTGCCGCTGTGTGTTGTTGGCAATTTCTTGCCAGTCAATGTGACAGAAACCAATCTGTTGCACAGCATCCGAATTATTTGAGTTGGACTTTATGGTTTATGTTGGCGAGTGCACATTTTGTTATTCTCATTCGATACAGGTATTTTTTTTTTGTTGTTGTTGTTGTTGTAAAGTGCATTGCCAAGCTCCCCTGCAATGTGATACTGTCTCTTGTCCAGGGGGGTCACTTGCGTGTGGTCGAAAAACCCGAAAACGCGCTCTGCAATCCAGAGGTTGCCGTGCCAGAAGAAGTCGACGCGCGAGCTGCGTCCTTGGAGCTTTGGGTGGCCGGGCCACCGCTAATGACAACAAATGCTTGCCCAGCTTCTTGCATCTTCTTGTATGTCGTTTCGCGGGTATGAAGTGGTGTGTCGCCCGCAGCCATCTGTTTGATGAGCACCTCTTCCTCCAGTTTGCGTTGGCGCTTTTCCTGCTTGTTCTTGCCTGGCTGGATGCCGTGGAATTTGTACGACAGGTGGTTGAAAGCCTAAGCACATTTCAAAAGCAAAGAGAGAGAACAAAAAAGGAACAATTCAGCAAACCGAGACAAGCAGCCCAAAGCAGCAGCAACAACAACAACAACCAATTTCCATACCTCTTTGGTGGTCATCGTGCGGCCATTTTCATCAACATAATCAAGAGTAAACTCTGGCGCAGGCATACTGAAAGGATCTGCTTCCCGATCGCGCTCGGGCGGGCGATCGTTGCGGTCGCGATCGGATCGCGAGTCGCGCACATCCCGACGATCTCGGCGATCACGGTTGCGTTCCGCTTCACGCTGTCGTCGGATTTCAAGCTCAATCTTTCGCTCCTCCTCTTGATCCATGCGCTGCTTGCCCTTGTCGCGTTGACGATCGGTCTCGACCACGACAACGCCTTGAGCTTTGCTTTCGTTTTCAATCATACCGCGGCGGGCCATGAATGCCAATGCGGCGCCAACACCGTTGACAAGAGAAGGTTCTTCGGTCAAAAAGTCTTGGAAATCGTTCTTATCGTCGCTCTGCAAGCAAGCAGGGGGCACCAACAACCAAAACATAACAAACCAAAAACCATGCAAGTGAGCCCGAATTTTCCAATGACCTCGAATACATCACGGATTGCTTCAAAACGAAGGTCAATTCTCACCTTTGACTCTTCCTTCTTGATGGGCTGAGTGTCCATGGCCTCTGCTTCGTCGTCGCCGACGAGCTTTGTCCGGCGTGTGCGATTCGCCGCAGGCACACCGACTGACACGATATCCATTGGAGCAGTGACACCGGCTGGTTGCTGTGCCTGAGAAACCAAAGCGGGGACAAACGACGCAGGCTTGGCCGGCTGCGTCTGTACGGGATCTGGCTTGAGATCGCGTGCACCAATATTCTTGACAAATTCTGACGTGGCCGAGAAAACCAACGAGCTATCGCCCGCACTGGCGGCGCTGTCTTCCGTGCTGTCTTCGGATTTAGGACGCACAGCTGGCACAGCAGGACCAGCCAGAAACCCTTCCGCTTGTTGTTTCAAGCGACGAGTGCGCTCGAGGGCTCGCGCCAGCTCGACCTCGCCTTCGTCATCCGCCACAAAGTCAAAGCTTGCGTCTGTGACTGGTTTTAGCGCTTGGAATTGGCCAGGCTCGGGCAGGCTGATGGTCGCCTCGGAATGCTCATCGTCGTCGTGCCGGCCTCGCTTGCGCGATCCTCGATCCGGTCCGCTCGCGCTCGAAGAGGTGTCCATGGCCTGCGAATTGTTGAGCAAATGACGCACAGTCACTGCGGGCTGCACGTCATCCTCGTCCTCTCCGTCTTCGCCAGACGGGGCTTTGCGCTTGCTTCGAACGACGCCAGAAGCCGACTGTTGCGTGGCAATAGAGTCGTCCTCGTCGTCATCTGCGTCCTGCGTCCTGTCGCGCGTTCTTCGCTTCTTGTGCTTCTTGTCTTTCGAGGGCTTCTTGAACGAAATCATCTCCTCTGGAGTGTAAAAGTCTGACACGCTCGTGCGAGTGTCGGAATCCAGCGACACTGCTTTGGCGCGCTGTTTGGCAAAAAACTCTTGCTCGAGCTTCTTCTCTGCGGTATCGGCACTGCCTTGCGCATCCAACACGGTGAGCTTTTTGAGTTTGCGATCGCCCTTCAACTCTTCCTCCCACTCGTCATAGTGTGATAGAAGGCCTGTGGGTGCGCCGAGGCCACTGTCGTTTCCGTCCTCGCCCACAAGCGGATTGTACCCGGGTCGCTTGCTGTTTGCCCGACGAATGGCGTTTTGCTTTGCGCGCTCGTGGTCTGCCATGTTGACATTCTCAAGAACATCCTCATTGTCATCGTCGAGCACGCCCGTGTCCTGCAACACGAGAACGGTGCTGCCTTCTTCAAAGTCCTCGACGTCGTGGGCGACTTTGAGACCTGCGAGATTGCTGCTGTCATAGCTTTGCGCACCCGTCGCAGCAGCTTTCTTTTGCGCGGGTTTGGGTTTGCTTGAGCCAATCGACGTCGATGCTTGCTCATCGAGCTCGTCGAACGCTCGCAGCCGAGCCTCCGCCGCCTTACGCTGCGCATCTTGCGCCTTCCTGCTTTGTGTGACCCACGATGACGCACTGTCGCCTTCCTTGTCTGCAGCGCCCAGGGTCTTTGTTCTGTCAAAGTGTCGATCATTCAAAGCGGGTGTGAGCAAAGAGGTTTGAACATTGTAGCTTGTCAATGCCCCTCTTGTTCAATGATCCGAGTGTTGTTTGTGACTCGTACTCGTCCACTTTAAGGGGGGATTGTATCCTAATGTACTGTCACTGAACTGAACTGACTGAAACGACGCTCGTTCGTTCGTTGCGCATTGAAACTTACGCTTTGAGGCTGTCTTCAATGCGACGCGCTTCCCTGTGCGCAGCGAGTCGCTCTTCCAGCGTCTTGGCGTCCTTCTCCTTCTGGATCTGCGCCTGTTCTTCGAGGAATCTGGTTTTCCACAGTCAAGCAAAAAGACGACAAAACCAAAACGAAAGCGCAAAAAACGGTGAGATCTCGTCCTTCCCCACTCTCTCCCCCGCGACCCTCGCTTGAGATCAGCAGTACTTGAATGCGGCAATGTCGCGACGCTCGTCTTCAGAGAGGGCAGGCGCGGCAGGCTGGTCGGAGGCCGAAGCGTCGTCGGCATTGTTGGCAGCCTTGAGCTTCAGCGGCTTCAATCCCAATGCAGCGCGCTGAGCGTTCGTCTCTTCGATCGAAAGCACCGACTCGGACGACATTTGTTGGACTGAACATGCATGAAGTGTGTTTTATCTTGAATGGAAGAAACAAATAGATGCGTTGAATACAACTGGTCGCGTTTTGGAAATCAACGACCAGCCGAGAACAAGAACGACCAACAAGCTCCAATGCAATGCTCAGCCACAAAATCCTTCGACTTTTTGGGCGTCTCGCTTGTCTCGCTTTGAGCTGTGTTTCAATCATCATTCAACCCTTTTCTTGACGAAACGTTCGTTCTTTCTTTGATTTCCCGCCTTTTTTTCTTCTTCTTCTTCTTTCTCAACATTGAAAACAAGAGTTTTCGTTCTTCTTTGTTTTTTCCCGCCATTTTTGTTTCTATTTTTCTTTGTCTTTTCTTTGGTTTCGCTTTTTTTTTTTTTTTTTTTTTTTCCCATCCAGTCTCCATTGTTCATTTTGTTCATAAGCAGCGCCTTCCAAACTGGCTTGCTTTCTGAATGGCGCAGGTCTCTCCGCCAGACGTGTACGGCATTGTCGAGCCGAATGTCTATCGCAGCAACTTTTGGCACCCGTCCAACTTCCCCTTCCTCAAGAGCCTCGGTCTGCGCACACTCCTCGTGCTCTCTCCAGACAAGCCACTGCGCCCGATCGCTGACTTTTGCGAGGACAACAGCGTCAACGTCGTAAAAGCACTGAGCACTCGACCCCCACCAGCAACCAGCGTGCCGTCCGTCGTCGCTCATCCGTCCTGCGTGTGTGTGTGTGTGTGTGTGTGTGTGTGAATGACACTCGCTTTGTTTGTGATAATGCAGATCCATCTCGGACTGAGCGCGTGGAAGCTGGACGCGTCGTCGTGGAAGCCAGTCAGCGACGAGCTCGTCAAGGAAGCGCTCGAGATCACGCTCGACGTCACAACACACCCAGTCATGCTCATGTGCAGGTGAGGTTGTGGTGAAGTCTTTATAGTCAATGCAAAGGGCGAAGGGGCTCGTTTGAGGACTTTTTTTTTTTTTTGGTGAAATTTTGTATGTCTCAGTCAACCATGCATTGTATGCACACCAATATCAACACCACGGCATGACGGGATGCAGCTCTGGCATTCATCAGACAGGAACGATCGTGGGCTGTCTAAGACGACTCCAGAACTGGAATCTGACATCAATTTTAAACGAGGTGAGTTGTGCGTGTTCTGATTGATTCGCTTTGGTCTGACGGGTTGATGTCTCCTGTGTGCGTGTGTTTTGATTGATTTGGGCTGCTTATCGTTCGGCGGCCGCTCAGTATCGGTTATATGCTGGCTCCAAGAGTCGGTACACGAACGAGCAATTCATTGAACTTTTCGATCTCGATCTAGTGCGCGTGCCTCTCAGTCCTCCGGCGTGGTTTGTGCAAATGACCGAGCCAATCGAGGGTGCGGTCAATTACAACGAAACGGCCGAGCGATGACAAATTTCTGCCTCCCCCAGCAATGTTTGCGTCGAATTCGATTGTAATGTTGTTTCATCAAACAGTGGGGAAAATAGTTGTCCTAGTATTCTGTGGAAACCGAACAAAGGAGTGTATTTTCATCTTTTTGGAATGAAAGGCCGAGGTGGACTGGTGGCCGACCAGCAAGGTATTGCCTTTGGAAACTGCTGACAGAACTTTAAATGTATTCGTCAAATGAGCGCTTTGTGATCACTGTCGGTCGACGTATCCGACATAAAGCGATTCAAATAGCAACTCGTGGGCAAACGTGCTGGGTTGAACTTGAACTTGCCAACCCTCGCGCATTTGTCGGACGATGGGATGACTCGCTGGCCAGATTGTCGCAAGTGCAAGGTTCCAATTGACGAAAGTCGGGTGCACAGCACATTCGTACTGAACAGCACCTTTTTCATCTCGGACAGTCAAATCGAAAGCACAGTCACCGATGTTATTGGGACGCTTCCAGTCACGAAGAACTTGAATTGCTTTCACACGGATTAAATCTCCTTGAGGCAGTCTGACTTTGAGAGAACTGGGTCTCTCGTCAGTCCACAATCGATTGGTATTCTGCACGCCTTGCCAGTAATGCGCCTTGTCCATAATGAGCTCGGCAATCTCGGTTGGTAGTAAAGGTAAACATGCGGGCTGATTCTCCAGCTCCAACCCGCTGGTCAGCATGCCAAACACGGTGTGACTGTCTCCAGCACTCGCCAATCGTGGAAGTAAGGAGAATGCAAGAGGGTTGATCTGATCGCGGAGGCTGTGAAACGAACAAGCGAGGCATGATCAATCAGTGACCACTCCATCGGTGGGAGGAACATTGTCTGAGCATCAACATCTGTTATTGGCAAGAACAGACTTACGGAACCTCACAACCGCAGTTGCGTTTGCGTGCCGCATCGATCGCTTGAGAACCAAGATTGCCAATGCAATTAGACGTCAGACTGTCAAAACATTGGGTGAGCAAGATGACAACGTAGCAATGACCCAGGCTCAATGCGCGAGACAAGCAACGCGCACAGTAACTTACTCGAGTAGCGTCACCGTCTTGTTCGCCTTGAGTGCCGCAGCAATCGCGCACGCTCCAGCATCGCCGATCTGATTGAACTCCAGTCTGTCCATCCTCTTCATCAGCGAGCATTCCACTCTCAAGGACCAGTCAAACGGAGATGCTGTGCCTGAGGGAAGTCAGCGTCGTGTTCACCTTGAGTGCCTCAGCAATCGCCTGAGCTCCGGCATCGCCTAACTGATTGAGCTCCATTCTGTCCATCCTCTCCATAAGCGAGCACTCTGAATTTCCTCTGTTGCATCACCCACTCACATGCATCAGGAAAGTGCGGTGTCTTACAAGAGCGCAGTCAGCGCTGTGTTCACTTTGAGTGCTTCAGCAATCGCCCAGGCTCCGCCGTCGCCAATCTGATTGAAATCCAGACTGTTCATCTCCTCCATCAGTGAGCACTTGTCACTCTACGGAATCACTCACGCTCATGCACCAGTAGATGCGAAATGACTGACTTGAGACAAGACAGCGTCTTGTTCACTCTGAGCGCCTCAGCAATCGCCTGCACTCCAGCATCGCCGGTCAGACTCGAATTCAAACTGTCCGTCCTCTGCATCAGTGAGAACTCTTCACGCCCTCGACGGATTCACCCACTCACATGCAACAGTCACATTGAGATGCCTTACTAGAGCCGAGTGACTGTCGTGTTCACTTTGAGTGCTTCGGCAATCGCCCGCGCTCCAGCGAGGTCAATCCGATTCAGTTGCAGCCTGTCCGTCTCCTCCATCAGCGAGCATTCTGAATATCCTCCACTGGATGACCCGATTTCCAATGCATCAGTACAAGTGACATACTCGAGCCAAGTCAGCGTCGTGTTCTCTTTGAGTGCTTCGGCAATCGCCTGTGCCTCTGCAACGCCAATCTGCGTCCAGCGCAGACTGATCATTTTCGTCAGTACACACGCAATATCACACTGTGATATTCCAATACTTGACTTTCTCTTACGCGAGGCATTTGGTTGCATTCTTGACTCTGTCATACAACTCGCGCTGTCTCCGATTCATACTCTCATGCGACAGCATTTTGTAAAAAGCTCAAACAGAAAATACAAAACAAAAAAAAAACTGGCTCAAACACAAAGTTCATTGTCGTTGAGTTGAACCTTGCATTGGATTTATTGTGTTCCCCGTTTCAAGCAGATTGGCTATCGTGGGTTTGCCGTTCCAACATTAGCTGCATCATGCAATGTTCAAAAACAAAACCAAAAATGCTCAGAATTCATAACAAACCCGCGATTCAATCCAAGCATCCACATCCATGTTGATTTTGTTGTGTTTTTTTCTCTCTCTCTCTCTCTCTTTGCTTGTTTCTTCATTCTATTCACTCTATTTTGTTTTTCTTTTTGACCTCCACAAAGCATGTCCAAGATTGCTCAGAAGCGAAAGCAAGCCAAAGCAGCGCAGCAAGCCACGTCCGACGAGCAGGACGACGCCATGGTCGAGCAGGCGCTCACCGCGACCGGCTTCGACGAGTCCGAGCAAATGGACGACGGCGATGAAGACGAAGACGAAGACGAAGACCAAGAGGACGCTGGCGAGGCGGACGAGGACGCAATGGACACGTTCGACGCGTCCGAAGTCCAACGCGTGGCTCTGGCCGACCACTACGCCCGCTCCTCCTCATCCGCCGCTGGCGCTGCGCCGCTGAGCTCGGCTGAGATTGCTGCTGCAGAGTCACGGCCGCAGTTTGCGCCGCTCTCGGCCAAGGACGCAGGCGTAAGTCAGTCATTCACATGGATGACGAATCCACGTGTGGTTTTTGCAACGCAAGCTCAGTCAAACATGAAGGGGCAATGTGTTCCAGCCAAAGGCTCAGTCAAACATTAGCACTTTTGAACAAGTGATACTGTCTCTCTCTCTTGGTTGATTTCAAATGAGGAAGGGGGAAAGCTCAGCGGGTTGAATGAGCCTCAGCGCTCGGTTTAGTCATAGCGCTCGCAGCCTCATTTCGCCCATTCTCCAGCTTTGTGTTAAACAATGAATGCTCTATCGGCTCGAGATTGCTCATCTCCTGATTTTGGTATTGCTGGGGTCGCTTTTGCTTTGATAGAATGGCAAGGACGGATTCCGCAAGGTGCTGGTGCCCGCGCACCGATACACGCCGCTGCGCGAAAACTGGCTCAAGATCTACACGCCCTTGGTGCAGCACATGAAGCTGCAAATCCGCATGAACATGAAGACACGCGCCGTGGAATTGAAGGTCTGACATTCAAAGAAACGTCTTGAATTGCAACCCCGTTTCCCTGTCTGAACGAACAACCATGCTGACGAAAACATCATGTGTGTGTGTGTGTGTGTGTGTGTGTGTGTGTGTGTGTGTGTGTGTGTGTGTGTTTTTGTATTTCCTTCTCTCTGTGTTTCCTGTTTGGTCTCTTTATGTAGACGTCACCGCAAACGGAAGACCCTTCTGCCCTTCAGCGTGGAGCTGATTTTGTCCGCGCATTCATGCTGGGCTTTGATATCGCCGTAAGTTGGGAGGATGACTGTTTTGGGTTGTTTGACTATGGTCAACGTATCGGGAAGAGGATGTGAACACTGATTCACTCTTCTTTTTTTTCTTCTCGTCGTAGGATGCGATTGCATTGTTGCGCTTGGATAACCTGTATATTGACACGTTCGAGGTTCTTGATGGTCAGTACAAATGGAGTTTGGGCTCTGCACTTCTGCATTGTGCTCTGAGAAAACAAAAAATGGCATTGACTTTCTCCTTGATTCCAAACGACAGTCAAGCCATTGCATGGTGAACACATGTCTCGTGCCATCGGCCGTATTGCAGGCTCTGGTGGCAAAACCAAATTCACAATCGAGAACGTCACAAAGACCCGCATCGTTGTTGCAGACAGGTATGGATATTCGTGTTCTCGAGAGGCATTTCCGTTTGTCCGTGCGCTTACTGTTCCATCTTCCCTTCGTGTGTATTTCTCCCCATGTGATGCAACGACCAGCAAAATTCATATTCTCGGTTCCTTCCAAAACATTAAGGTTTCTCGCGACGCCATCGTCAGTTTGATTCTTGGTAAGCGCGTTATTTGGCGGCGGCTGTTTGGCTTTGGACGGCGATCCCTGTCCAGTCCCCTGACCACCTTGTGCCCCCCCCCTTGTCTGTTTTGCATCACGAGCAGGTAGCCCACCTGGCAAGGTCTATGGCCAGCTTCGCTCTGTTGCTGGGCGCATGGCTTCGCGATTTTGAAGCCTTGTTTGGCGGTCGGTTGTTTTTGCATTTACAAGACTGTGAATTTTGGTTGGTCTTCTTTGTTCATGTTAACACTAAAAGCAAGCTTGATGGATTTATGGCGTGTTTATTTGGGAGAAGTTTCGTTTATGTTGTTGTTGTGTTTTCCCCGAAAACATCTCGATGACACTGGGCCGGCTACTCGGAATCCCCTGGAGGATTAATGCACGGGAATTGAGGATGCGTTGATAACAGCCGTTCGGCTTGCTGTAGGGTGAGGCCTTGAGTGAAGAACGCTTCGTCAAGGCGGCGGGCCGGATGCAGTTCCTCCATCTGTTGTTGCTCGTTGCACGCCATGGTCTACATGCGCACAAGTACATCCAGCAACCTTAAGCTCGAGGCCAAGTACGCTGAATTTTGTCAATGCTATTTCCCGCCTACCTGGAACGTGTGCGAGTCTAAATGGAAAATGTACTCGTCAGGACTATCAGGGTAAGTCAGCACGCTCATGCGACCTAGGACGCTGAACTGGGGACCTGGGTTCTGTTGTGCAAACGGACAGTTGAGCGCATCTTCATCAATCACTCTCCTCACAGACCATCTTGGTCACCGTCACCACCCTTCCATCCTAGCAAGCCTTACAAAAATCTGACTGCCAATCTCTTGAAGACGCACCCGTCTAAAGTTAAAGTACACTGGCCGATTCGAACGAGCGAGTATTTGCAGTTCAGCGCGCGACAGCGTGGTGCGCGGCCGATGGCTACTGACCGCTCGATTCTGATTTGCAGTGGCATGCTCGGGCATGGTCTGTCGCGGTCTACTGACGTCAGACGCTCCTGTGGGCTCCAGGGGCGCGCGTCGTGTTTGCTCCATCTCAGTCCATGTAGGCGCCTGGGATGCCTCAGAGCCAACTGCAGCATCTCGCGCGAGTCGCGCTCGCAGCATCGAACTGCCGGCTCTGACGGCATTCCACAAAGTGCGGCCTACTTTCCGCGATGTCGCCAAGACCGTGTGACCAATCATTGCAGAACGCGAAGTCGATGAGGTGGCTGAGGCATCCGAGTTGCGGGCAGAATCAAACTGAAGGCGGCGTCGAGATGCACTCTCCGTCATGGGACCGCGGGAAGGCCCCATCAGGCCGGTAGTGCTGTGCGAGCTCGGGGAGTCTTGAGGACTCGTCGACAACCGCTGCGACCAGCGACCTTCTTCATCAAAGCTTGCCCGTGGTGCCGAACGTTCGTCAAAGCGTCTTGTGTTCATGTCATCCTGATCGGGCGGCGGGGGCTTGCGGAAAATGTCAATAATGTACTTGATGAGGTAGATTGGTAGCAGGCATATTTGCAAGAGATCGTGGAAAAAGTTGACGCAGGCAGAGCGGTCTTTGTGCTTTTCGCTGACGCCAAGCTTGCAGCAGCACCGAGCGCATCCTCTCAGGATGGCCAAGACAATCGCACTCAATCCCATGATCAAGACCACGCCGTACCCACTGGCGATCGCATCCGCGAGCCATTTTGCGGCGTCGCCCAAAAAGTTCAAACTAAGGCCAGAGCTTGGATCGTTGCCGCGGTCATCATCATCCCCAGGCTCGCTGCCGCCTTGGTTTCCCTTGTAGATGGTGGTGCTGTTGGTGCGGAAGGACACAAACTTTTTGTCCAGCTGGTCGCTGTTGGAATTGACCAGCAAGATGGTGCAGTTGGTATTGCCGCCAATTGGTGTCATTGTCTGGAGTGTAAAAGTGTACCACTTTGCTTGGTATGAGCCAATTGACTGAGATTGCTCTGCGATCGGGAAGATGGCGGGCACGCAGTCAACGACCCGAACCGCGTACAGCGCTTCAAGAGGCGTCTCACTGGCCACAAGGACTCGCAGGGTTCCCCTCTGACTGAGCGATTCAAAATCAGTGACAGAGAAGACTTTGATGCTCGCTTGACCCAGGTTGTTGTAGAATGTAAGCGAGTCGGCTGCAATTTCCATCGTGAACAGGATGGACGCCGGGTCTCTTGGTCGAGTGGCTAGGACATACTGCTGCCCCGGCGACATCGAAACAATGTCTGAGGCGCCTGCGTACAGCCCAAGAATGTCGCCATACCGCTCGAGAAAGTAGTTGACCATCTTTCCTTGCCGACGTAACGTCGTGTCTGCCGTCCAAAAGTCTTTCGGCTGGTTGTTCAAACAGGAGCCCGAAGGACGCGTGCACTGGCCCTCTTGATAGCGGAAGGGAGTAAAGCCCACGCCAATCTTGTCGCAGGTGGCTCCGGTCAGATCCACGGTTGACTTTGGCACGAGCATCCAATCCGATCGGCCCAACGCCACCTGTGGGCTCGTTGGACTCGTTGCCGGCTGCGGAATCAGCAGGTAGTTTGTCGTCAGGTCGTAGTCCGCCACGAATGACTGAAAGCTCCCAATCAGACGAACAATTACAGAGCCATCGCTGTTCTTGGCCGTTCGCTGACTTGGCGAAACGGTGATTGTCTTGTTTTCCGAGCCAGTAAAGATCGTAAACGTAAACTTGACAGCCATCTGAGGCGGATCCAGCGCCACGACATTGTACCACAGCTGATCAAACCGCATGCAATGCGCCGACTGTGATGAGCTCGAGAAGAGTGTGCATGACGTCGACCCTCGAGAATACGGCGAGTCGATTCCAACGACTTCATTGAAGGAGCAAGTGCAACAAAAGCCCTGTTGTGCAGGTGTGGTGGTAAGGAAGCGCTTTGCGGCACATTTGCTCAGCAGGCATGCGTTGGCTGTGCAAGCTTACCTGGCTGTCTCGAATGGGCTTTGAGTTTGCATCCATGTAAACACCGCACGTAGAATCAGTGTTTCCCTCTTCCGCTTTGCAAGAGTCGTAGACGCCAAGCACATTGGATTTCAGAAAGATGGATTCAGTAGGCTTGTTGTTGACGGATTGCAGATAGCGCACAGGATGCATGATGAGTGTCTCGGACTTGGAAACGACCACTCTGATTGGCGTAACTTTCAAAATGGTCCCGTCGCCAGCAACGACGCTTGAGATTGCATCCACGCTGGTAATGGCATCTTGAGCTGCAGCCATTGTTATGGCGACCACTATTTTCTTATTGCAGCTCAGCGTGGTGGAATTTGCTGTCGCAGAGACGTCGCAATTGGTGACTGCACTCTGCGAGATGAGTTGGGCTTGGGCAGCGTTCGGGACGAGCGCCGCCAGTAGTGGCAAGCACAGGCAAAGCCATATAGCAGGGTGGAGGTGTGTCATGCTTGGGATGTTTTTTTGGTGACGGACGCGAAACGTGCGGAAACGCCCTCCAACAAGCAACAAACAGACAATTGGGCAAAACCTTGCACCTGCAACAAAAAGCGAACGCGCAAGCACGCCCCAGTGTCATATGCTAAATTAGAAACAGTCATAGTCTTGTAGGTGCGAGGACAGGAAACCAACCCAGATAGATCAATGTCGTTTGGAGCTGGTGAGAAAGGGTTAGAATTTTTGCAATGAAATTTCGAGCGTACCGATTGGTTGGCAAAGATTGGCAACAAAAAAAAAAAGTCAACCGGTCGAGTATACTGCTTGGGGTGCAAAACTACTGAATTGACCAATGTATCTGTTGCTGCGTATGATACTCTTCCGAGTCTGGTCCCTCCGTGCGAGTGAGTGCTTGAGAGAATTGGAGGAAGGACCGAAAAAAAAAAACAAATTCGAAGAGATTTGGATGACGTTCAATTCTCAACGGTTTTGAGAAAATGGAGAGTGGGATTGTTCGGTAGGACCACAGATGAATCCAGGATGTACTGGATGCTCGATGGAGCGCCATGAGTGGGTGCGGGAGGGTCGGGGAACTTGCCAGACAATTTCCAAAACAACAACAAAAAAATCGCCATTTCAGTGCGCATTGTTCGGTCTTGAATGTGTTTATTATTCTGTCAAAACACAAAACGCACAGGTCGCTCCCATTTTCCAATCCACTTCCACTGAGTGAATATTGGCAACGAAAGCCAGAAAAAAACAAACAGCGGTAACTTCACAAAACAAAGTTGGATCAGTGCAACTCCAGCTTTCAAAAGTCCCTGGGGAGGTGTTTACTCGATGACCAGTGGCGAGTGCTGGAACATGGCGTTGATTGTTGTTTGGCGTTGCAGCATTGCCAACGATGCGTTTCCTTTGTCAAACAGCGCCTTTTGCTGTTCAGGATTGGTGACGCCGGCGTTTGCGTGGAACGAATCTCGGATGAAGCGAAGGGAGTATTCTCTGCCGTGATTCAGACATTGCCAACCAAACATGAAATGTTAGCAAGGTTTTGCGGTGTGTTGTTGGCTTTGTCTGAGAAAAGTCGCGTCAAAAACATGTGCATTTGAGCCAAGACGAAGAGGCGTCATACTAGCTTGATTTTGGACGCTCTGTCCGGCCCCGAGTCCACACCCAACATGCAGGACAAGATGCGCCTTACCGGTAGTTATAGTCTTGGAACTTGCGTCCGGTCTGCAGCAGGTGGCGATACAACCGAAGCGTATCACGCTTGGACGGCAACGATGCTGGCGACGCTGCAGCTGCAACGCTCGCGAGGCCGCGGCGACCCGTGTTGAATGTGTGTTGTGATGATAATGAGGAGGATGATGGTGACGACGACGACGACGCGAGGCAGGACGCGTAGAGTGGGCTCTGCATGGCGAAACCCGCTGAACGGCCGGAAATGCAGCGAATGGCCACGGACATCGAGTGAAAGTACGAAAGGAAAAAAAAAAAAAAAAAAAATCAAACGAGACTGGTCGGAACTTGATGTGGAATTCTTGGACATGAATATGATGGTAGCTGGAGGATGGAAGTGCTGCGGATGGCGAGGGGAAGCTCGGTAGTGGTGCACTTTTGTAACCAGAAATGCAGGACAGCTCAAGATGCGGTGACTGGGAGCTTCAACGCACCCGCTTCTGTGAGAAAAACACTGCCTGTAATGCTTGTGAGTGAGGTAAGGTGCGACCTAATGGTTGCAGTCAATGGCATCAAAATCATCGCTTGTGCCGGGTCAATTGCATACGTTTTCAGGCGAGGTACCAATTCCGATTTCATTTCTAGGTTTGAACCAGAACCAGAGCAACCAGATCAAAGTAAACATCATCCCATGATATCAGAGTGTCAGGACCCGAGTTTGCGTCCGTCCAGCCGGCGAGGTTAGCCGGTGGTAGTTAATGAGGATTTAGCATATTCTGGTGTATTTGGATGCTTTTGGATAGTTGTCATTGCGCATTTTGTATCAATCAATCGACGTTACCTGGCCAATAGCTCTAAGCCCCAACCCGTGGGAATCGGAGTCTCACATAATGCGCAATCAATGAGGGCCACCTGACGTCGGTTGGATGTGATCGGTGATGGTGAGGTGGACTCTGGCACTCGGCCGCTGATGCTGTGGCGGTCGAAGGAAGTGCAGGTCCACGCGGTCTCGCGCTGCTTGGTCCGAGTCGTGTTCCAAGTAGCAGGCCTCGCGCGCGCCGCCAGCCGCGAGATGAACAAGTGTAGTCAAGTCGCCCAAGAGCGTAGACGCGTGAAGACGTCGACGCGCCTCGGGTGGAGGCGATCGTCAAGTTGCAAGATTGGAAGAAGCCATGTGGGTTTTCCACCAACGCGGTCGGTCATGGAAGGACAAGTCGGTCGAAGGAATCGCCATGCCTGGTTGGTCTCCATAACACTGGGACAAGAAGGTCCAACGGAAAGGTGCTGGAGAGCCAGAGCTGGGATTGAAGAAGGCTGTGAACATGGATACGTGCGTTTGGCTGTTGAGACGCAAGGTGCTCTTCGCATGAACAAGTTAGGCGGTCTCTACCTCTTGGGTCAAGGAACAAGCTTGTTGGTTCATATTATTTGTGTGTGTTTTGTCAGGCTGGTGTAACGATGGGGAAGTTGTAGGAAGTGTGTTTTTGGTTCTGTGCGGTGTAGCCGCAATACCGTATCCAGCACAGCGGAGGTCTGTCGGAGATGGAGTAGAGTGTCAGGACCCGAGTTTGCGTCCGTCCAGCCGGCGAGGTTAGCCGGTGGTAGTTAATGAGGATTTAGCATATTCTGGTGTATTTGGATGCTTTTGGATAGTTGTCATTGCGCATTTTGTATCAATCAATCGACGTTACCTGGCCAATAGCTCTAAGCCCCAACCCGTGGGAATCGGAGTCTCACACAGAGTACAACATCCTCGAGTATCAGCGGGAAAGAGTGCACTATGCATGTATACATGCACAGCGAGCTCCAACAAAACCATGATATTTTGGTGTGCATGCAAGGTACATAAAAAAGCTCCCTACAACCGATGGCACGCTCGAACAACAATGTAAACAATATTGCCAATACTTCCCGCACGGTAAAGTCGGTGTATCAGGTCTCCAAGAGATGCTGGAGCTGTACAAAGTCAGGGGTTTGATTCTTGTCGAAAACTTGTGAAAAAGTTGCACTGTAGTTTGCACCGATCGTTTGCTCTTGTACAGCATGATTATATCTTGTCGAATGAATGGATATGATGAGAAACCTGGAGGCATTGAACCATGCGAAGCCTTGGGCCAGGAGCAAAAAACAAGTCAAAAGAAAAAAAAAAAAAAAGCAGTAAAAAAAGCCAAAAAAAAAACGTGCGAACGCCGAGAATCGGACTCGGGTCAAGTCGTTGGCAACGACCTATTCTGCCACTGAACCACGTTCGCATTTCTTGTTGTTTATCTGCCGGGCAAGCGAGTACAGGATAGTGTAGCATGCGCCGCTGGCAGATTGAAACTGAAATTGCCAGTGTCCGAGCTGCTTTGCTTGAAACTAGTGATGCTACTTTGTGATTGGAAAATGATAGCACAACGAGGAAAGACACTGCAAGTCTTGCTGTTCCTTTTTCCGTTCAGCTCCGTTTTGAATCATATCGCCAATTGCCCAGCAGGTCAAACATCAAGAAATGCGAACGTGGTTCAGTGGCAGAATAGGTCGTTGCCAACGACTTGACCCGAGTCCGATTCTCGGCGTTCGCACGTTTTTTCTTTTGCTTTTCGCTTTTTTTTTTTTTTTTTTTTTTTTTTTTTTTTTTTTGTTACCAACAACCTCAGATTCGCAGTACTTTGACTCCACCCACCTGTTTTTCCTGTCAAACGTCATTCTTCACCATCATCTCTACAAAACGGGGTGAAACGCGCTCAGTCTCAATGCAATCGGTTTGGAGTCTGCTTTCCAGCTCTGCGTCTCGTCACATCTTTCAGCATCCAACCCGAGCTGCTGCTGCTGCTGGGTCACTGCACCGCCTCCGCTGCTTCCACACACACCAGTTGCCCTCTTCTACCCCCACCCCGCTGCGCACTGCCTTCGCTGCCACTGCTGCTGCTGCCTGCTGCCGCCACGAGGCTTCTTCCGCTGTTCCACAACCAGCCCTCTTGCGCAGGTCACTCCACGCACACTGCCGCACTGCTACCGCTGCCATCCACACCGCAACCACTGGCATGACTTCGTGCTCGTCCCCGCCGACGCCCGCCTTCGACAGTCCCGGTGGCGATGACGCCATGCTGCTCGTTTCAGCGTCAGCGGCGGATTCGGCCGTCGCTCCGACCTCGTCCAACCCTCAAGCACTCGCCGATGCATTGACTGCACTAGCAGCAGCAAGCGAACACGCTGACTCGGCTGCATCTGCGGATGGGTCCAATTCACAGTCAGCGGCCTCCTCTTCCTCTGCATCCTCAACCGCTACACAACAACAACACCAGCAGCAGCACTCGTCACTGCTACTGCCGCCGCGCAAGATGCCGTACGACTACCGAAACAAGGTAATGCTGGCGCCGATGGTCCGCGTTGGTACGCTGCCGTCGCGCTTGCTTGCACTGCAGTATGGCGCCGACCTCGTCTACTCTGAGGAAATTATCGACCACCGAATGATTCGTGCAAAGCGCACGTACAACCCGCACTTGCACTCTGTCGACTTTGTGCAGCCCGACGGCACTGTCATCTTTCGCACTTGTCCTGCGGAACGCGGCAAGCTCGTCTTCCAGATGGGGACGGCCGATCCCGCGCGTGCGGTCGCCGTTGCCCGTTTAGTGATGCATGATGTGCTTGCTGTCGACGTTAACATGGGTTGCCCAAAGTCATACTCGACCGACGGAGGCATGGGTGCTGCGCTGCTGAAACACCCCGACAAAATTCACGCCATCCTGACGGCGCTCGTCGCTGCCGTTGGCGAGCACGTGCATGTCACCTGCAAGATTCGCGTGTTGGCAACGGTCGAAGAGACTGTCGCGCTGGCCAAGATGATTGAATCCACCGGCGTGAGCGCCCTTGCGGTGCACTGCCGATTGACGCATGAGCGCCCTCGCGAGCCTGGACACCCCGATATGCTCAAGCCGATTGTCGATGCCTTATCCATCCCCGTCATTGCCAACGGCGGCTCGCTAGACATTGTGTCGCATGACGACATTGAGGCCTTCCGACAGCGGACTGGGTGCGCCTCGGTCATGGTTGCGCGGGCTGCCCAAAACAACCCGTCAGTGTTCCGTCCCGAACCCCTTGTTCCTCGCCTGGAAATGGCCCGGCAGCTCCTGCGCACTGGCATCGAGTGGGACAATCCATCTGGCAACACCAAGTTTTGCATCAACACCCTGGCCAACGACGGATCATGGGTCACGCCGCATGGCTTTACCCAGTGCGAGTCACACGCGGCCATGTGCCCGTTTTTGGGCATCGATCCCGCCGAAGTTGTGGCGATTCAAGAGCGGCGCCGCGCTGCAGCCGTGCTCGAGCGCGAACGTGACGGCGATCTCGTTGTTGTTGTTGGCGGTGGCGCTCATTCGAGTGCTCCCACTGCCAAGCGCAATCTGCAACGTGCAAATTCGTCCGAAGAAGCTAGCGGTGATGCAACCAGCTTGGTCACCGACGAGACTGAAAACGCGTCAAAGCGAATGCGGATGGATGCTGCTGATCCAACCCCCACAAACGTCGACCCACTTCTTCACGAAACAAACACCATTCACATGCCGCTCATCTTCCTTTCAGACACCATTGTGCGGCCTCAACCCTATCCCAAGGCGCTCGTTGATATTCTCGCAAATCGGCCTCAATTCACCACGGACGAGGCCAATCGCATGTTCCGCGTTCGCCTTGTTGAACCTGAGACTGGCACACAGTTCTGCTCTTCCTTGTTTGATAAACGCAAAAAGGTTTCTGAACACGCGGCTGCGCTGGTCTACCTGCTTCACCGTCATCCAACCGAAGCGGCGCAATTCGCGCAGAGCTACAAGCTTCGGGGCGACGATGAACACAAACAATTTGTCTTCCAGAACGACGCCCCTGTCGTCAGTGAATCTACACCAGCAGCGATCTGACCGCCTTCCAACATCTCGCGCCTCTTGTTTGTTGTTGGTCCTTTTTAAGTGAAATATCAATAGTTTATCGCCGCATTGATTTTTTCATTTTTCGTTCACCGAGCGCGACATTTCGGAGAGCACGCAAGATTGTATTTTGTTCTATACCTAGGACATACAGCAGCAATTCACACAATATTTATAGATGTATAGCATCACTTTAACAGAGCTCCAATGTCGCGGAAGGTCCCAACCGCTGCGCCTGTAAAATGGTCGCGCAAATCGCTGCTGGTTGGACGCTCCGACGGGTTGAGAGCCCAGCACTGCAACAGCTGGCGGTATGCTGCCTCTGAGCATGCCGCCGGGCACTCGAGACGTCGGCCAGTCTCGATGTATGCGAGAACATCACGGCCTTGAATGGATCCGTACGGGCTCGCACCGTACGAGTACACCTCCCCTACAAACCGCGGCAAAAAAAAAAAACAACAACAAAAAACAAAAAAAAAACAAAAACAAAAAGAAAAGGTGAGCCAGAGGACACGAGACACCAAACATGTACACCACTGAGGCTTACAAGCCAGCACAGCAAACGCCCAAATGTCGCTTTGGTGAGTAAACTTGCGGTACGCGAGACATTCTGGAGCCATCCACTGAACGGTTGTTGACATCAGAATTCACACGACCGTGAGTGCCACCACCTCGATGTCCCAATCCAATCACTTCAACCACAACCCTTCAAAGCGCCCCCCTCTTCCTCCCTCCCACTCGCAACGCTTGCCTTGGCTGGGAGGCGTCCGCGGCTCTCCATGTGATAGTAGTTTTGATCGGCTTCCAACGAGCGCGACAGCCCAAAATCGGCAATCTTGACCGACAGGGACGCTCCAACGAGACAGTTTCGCGCAGCAATATCGCGATGAACAAACCGCACCGACTCCAAGTAATTCAGACCGGACGCAACTTGAGCGAGCGCGTGGGCGAATTCGCCAGCAGTCCACTGAAACCTGGCTGCTTCCGATTTGACGAGCACATCACGCAAATCGCCGTACGGCACGCGCTCCAAAATGCACATGAAGGGAGTCGTGTCTAGCAGAGCGGCAATTGCTCGCACAATGAACGAACTTCGGAATTGCACAATCACCTTGGACTCTTCGATAAAATCGTTCCGCGCTTGTTCGGACGCGTCCTCTTTGAGAAGCTTGATGGCCACTTCGAGCTGAGGCTTGGAGCTGTCCCGAATCAAGTACATGGCATCGGTAGGGACCAATGTCGCGTCGAGGAGGCCGCGCATCACAACGCCAAACTCGCCCGAACCGAGAACACTCCCAAGCAGCACTCCGGCACGCAACTGATGAGCCACCGCTCCGTTTGGATTGTCGTAGACGCGAGTTTCAAGCTGTTCCGCAACCTTAGGTGTTGAGAGCAGCACGACTTCTTCCGTGGACGGTGCGGTTGCTGGTCGATTTGTCTCGCTGGGCAGACTGTTGCTGTTGTCGTAAATACCCAGCTGTACCACGGGAGCTGGCGAGCTGGGAAGGCCATCAATCTTTGACACCGCATCGCTCGCATGCATCGTGGGAGCGCCTTCGTCGGAGCTCTTCTTGGTGAAGCTCGACCTGGGATTGTCGTACGAGACCGCGGAGAGCAAGTTTCCATTTCCATTGGCTTGATCAAGATCGGTGTAGTGCGACGAATCTGCAGCGTTGCTTGAGGCAGTCGAGTTGGCCGACTTGGGATTATCGTAGGAAGCAGCAAACAGCAAGCTGTTGTTGCTGGTGGGTTGGTCAAGGCTCGTGTAGTGCGCCTCGGCCGACGCTCCTGCGGTTGGGTTGTCGTACAGGATGATCTTGCCTTTGGAAGCAGGGGCATTGCCCTCTTCGGCCACACGTGAAAGCTCATACAAGGGCAAACCATCGGGGTGCTGTTTGGATACGTTCGACTGGGATGCAGCGTGGCCCGGTTGACGATTGCGACGGCGGCGACGGATGAGGAGCAGCGCCAAAATCGCAAGCAGCACAAGCGCGACACCACCACCGACAGCGGCACCAACGACAAGACCCATGGAGTCGGTTGTCCCCGCATTTTGTGCATTTGCAGTAGCAGCCAGGGAGGCAGATCGCTCATAGGCTTCCGACGCGGAGGATGCCATGGTGGCTTTCGAGGCTGAAGCCATTGTTGCGTCCGACGCGATCGTTGCGTCCGAGGCCCTAGTGGCATCATAGGCCATCGTGGCTTCAGAGGCCATTGTGGCTTCAGACACGATTGTTGCCTCAGATGCCATCGTGGCATCAGAAGCCAACGACGCGATGGAAGCTGCAGATGCGGCAGAGGCCCTCGAAGCTGCTACAGCGCCTGCCGAAGCAGAGGCAACAGAGGCCAAGGATGCAGCAAGGTCTGCCGACGCAGCCGATAAGCTCGCCAACGATGTCATTGACGCCACGTTCGCGAGGGACGAGGCTGCGACATCCGAAGCTGACGACGCCACTGATGCCAACGACGGGGCTGCGAGAGATGCTGCAGACGCCTTGCTAGCAAGCGAAGTTATCATGGCCGAGATTGATGATGCGTCCGACGCAGAGCTACGAGAAGCTGCCGAAGCAGCCGCGACCGATGCTCCCGCATAGCAAGTGGTTTGATTCAGGACGTATCCGTCATAACACTTGGTGCAAGCGGTTGTAGAGCCCACAATCCCACAGGTCGCGCAAAACTCCGAGCAACACAGGGAAGCAGACGCACAGGTTGCACAGCCGGGACTGCAAGCTGTAATTGAGGGGAAGGGGGCGCGGAGAGGCATTGTTCAAATTTGTCACGAGCGAGATGAGCAGACAGGAACATCAAAGCTTATTCCATTTGTGTGCGCACGTACGGGTGAACTGCGTCGCGGTGCCAAAGGTACTGAGAGGTGCTCCAGACGAGCCTGGAAAGGCGTTCGGGATCAAGGTACTGTTACCGAATGGCGCCTTTCCCTGAAAGAGGCCAGGTGGGGTGACCTGCAAAACTGGCGATCCCAGCATGCTAACCGGTTGTTTGTTTTGTTTTCCCCCAAAAACCATCAAAAACACTCGTTTGAACACGAAAAAACTTTTTTCACAAGCACAACCAACAACCGAGAATCTTGCACCACTTACAAGGTTGACAGCGCAGTGAGACGAGCGAATGTTCCATACCCAATCGTAGTAAACTGGTTGTTTTGCAGCAGACTGTCAGATTCAGATTGTTCTTTACATGTGAGAAAACCAAATGCCTACGACTTTTCAACTGCAAGAGCTCTCGTTCACAAAGTTACAGCGTGTTCAAGTTGGTGAAGCGGTCAAAGTCGTTGCGAGGCAAATCCGTGATCTGGTTGAATGAGACATCCCTAAAGTTCAGCAGAAAAGTTGAGTTCATGTCTTTGGAAACAAACCTGGCGACCAGAAATCAACAAGAAAGCGGCGAATCGCTTACAGGGAGAGGAGAGGTAAGATGTTGGCCATTGGATCAAACGCGCCAGTTGGAAACGTCGTGAGTTGATTGTACGCCAGATTCCTGCGAGAGTGACAATGTGAGCGACAATGTGAGCGACAAGTGACTGCAGCGACTCAGCCATCAACGTCGCAAGCGCCAAATGTTACAGCGTAGTCAAGCTCGGCAGCATTCGAAAAACTCCCGCTGGAAGATTACTGAGCTGATTGTTCTTCAGCAAACTATTTGACTCAACAATGTAAGCAAGCTTTTGATAGATTCAGCTAGGCAGTGCTTGAAAGACTTACAGGGTTTGCAGATTGGCAGCACCTGCAAAAGCATCGGATCCAAGACTCGTGATGCCGGAATCTGACAAGTCACTACAAGCACGCCGGCGATGATGAGGCGCGGGCCAAGCACTTTAGCAGCATACAATGCTATGACTCTTACAGCTGGGTAAGGGATGGCACGCCGTTGAATGTCAAATTGTAGATCGTAGACAAGTTGGTGTTGGACAAGTCCCTACGCCGCGAGCAGTATCAAAAAGATAGTCAGTCAGCATCGGGGGTGGTTGCTTCGGCTTTCAGTTCAACAATGCCTTACACAACAGCAAGCGAGGGCACGTTGAAGAAGGCTCCAGGCATCACGCGGGTGAGCTGGGAACTGCCGCTCAGGTCCCTGTGCATACCAAAAACGATCAAACAAAACAAAACAAAACAAAACAAACCAACCAAACAAAACAAATGAACAAAGACCTGTGAGGTACCTGCGCCGCAGTGGAAACAAGTACAATCAAAACTCTTACACTGTTGTAAGCATTGGCATGTTGTTTAAAAAGCTCGCAGGAATGGAGGTAACCACTGACGATCTCATTCGCCTGGAATTGCACAAAGTGAGTTGTCATCACGCCGTTCAGGGTAGATGTGATCATCCCTACAGAGTTTTCAAAGTCTGCAATGCAGGAATAGCACCGGGCGGAATCATCGACAGGAGGGAGAGAGAGTCCATGTTCCTGTTTATGGTTGAGAGCAGGGACAAGTTAGAACCAATGCAGAGTCCACAATCAACAGCGGCGACAATAAATCGCGTACAGCGTCGTGACCGAGGTCAGAGAGTTCAAACAGTCAGGTAGCATCTGAAAGCCATTGTTGGAAATCGTTCTGTACCAAGCCGATGGAGTGGGCAACGACGACAATTTCAAAGTCGAAACACACAGACAGTTCTTTTTTTTTTTTACAATGTTGTGACGGGCACGCCGTTAAACAAGTTTGACGGCCACGCAGTCGTCACGCCAGGGGTGAAAGTATTCTGCAGGTTGCTGTGGTGTACGGGTGAGCAAAGGAGCGAGACACCAAACTGTTGACAAGATCAACAGCCAACAACATCAACAACCAAAAAAACAAAAAACAAACAAACCAAAAACATACAGAGTGGTCAAGCTGGGCATGCCGGAAAACTGCGTGGCTACAAGTCTTGTCAGCGTAGGGTTGTCGCTCAAATCACTATCAGAAGAGACATGATTTATGCACATGCAGCCAACCAAAGCATGCAAGTGAGCGCGCGGTAAAAACAACCAGCAGGCAAAAACCAAACGTTGGTTTTGTTTGGTTTTTTCGAAAGGCCAAAATAGCCGAAATACAAACAAGCCCTTCGTACACAATGGTCATTGCGGTAGAGCCAGCGAGGAATCCTGCCGGAATACTGGTCAGAAGGTTGTTGGACAATTTTCTAGTAGTCATACCAGATGCATTGTCTGTGAGAGAGAGGCGGAGGGAGTGGGGTCGGAGCGGCGAACCAAACGCAAGCCCTTACAAGACTTGCGTATTCGTCGGAATCCCAGTTGGCACTTGTGTCGCAGCCTTGTTGGAGCAGTCAACGGTTTTGGAGGCAGAGTTGCAGGAGCATTCGATGGAAACCCAGGTGTTGATGTTGCATGCAATCAGTTGGGCGCCCAGGACTGGCCGGATCAAAGCCAGCCACGCGGTAGCGACCACAAGCAGTATTGTGGCACCAGAATGCGAAATCATCTCGTTCTAGCAACAGCAACAACAGAGGATTCCAATGTCAGAGCGTGCCGCGCCGGTGGACAACAACATTGACAGCAATAACATCAACGGATGAGCTGCCAGATTGCCATTCAGGACTCCAGTGAGATGAGGGGCTTACGAAAAGTACCAGAAAACTAAAAAAAAAAAAAAAAAAAAAAAAAAAACCAAACAAATAAAAATAAACGAAAAATGAGGACTGCGGTTGTTTTGTTCTGGTCTGATACTTTATCGCGCATTGTTCGCCTGCTCGGTGAAAGAGAAGCAAGCGGTAGTACGCGGTTGGGTGTAAAATCGCAAGTACAAAGGACAAGATTTACCATGGCCGAGCGGTGCGACAGCATCACAGTGAGTGCAGGAGGAGCAACGGGGCAAGACCAACCCTCGGAGGTGTGTTTACAAAAAGTCTGCCTTCTTTTTCATTTTTTCGTTTGTCTCGCTCCCACCCTTTGCAGCAAGGAGGAAGGGCTGCCATCGGGTTCCCTCATCTCACTAAAAATAAAAGCATCGCAAGAGATGAATTTTGCACTTGCGGGCGACTACCGCGCCGATTATGCGGGATGTGAGCGAGCGATCGAATGAGAAGGTGTGAACAGGATAATGCTTGTGAAATGCTTGTGTACCAGTTTGTTGTTGGCAACCCCTACTGTGAGGGCTTGATGCATAACGGATGCGAAGGATTAATAAAGTGAGAAGTAACCAAGTTTGGTCAAAAGTGAACGTCGTTATGGGAGGAGAGCCGCTATCCTGCCTTCTCTTGGTTTTGTCGGCTCGCCTTTGTTTTTTGTGTGCCTTTTTTATTTTTCGTTTTTTTTTCTGTTCTGCCCTTCCTACCGCTCTTCGCGTCGGTAACTGCTTCAGACATACAGATGTAGCTTATACAGCCCAGTGAGTCTTAGCGTTCTTTCTTTGCGGCTGACGGACGGCTGTGGAAAAATTCATTCAACTCAACTGCCGTTGCTTGGACATTGCCTTGGGACACTCACATCACCGCGCCGCTCCTGAAATATACCAGCACAATTAGCCGCATTGCCTTGTTCCCTCAGTCAAGCCCTCAAAGCTCGTTTGATAGAGGGCTCGAACATTTTCTCGATACGATTGGACTCTGACCTTCAAGTTCGCCAACCCAAAATCGATCGATTTTGCAATTTCACAAGCCACCAACAGACTGCCCCTCTCTGTCTCTGCTTGCGCATCGCCAACTCATGCGGCAACAGTTCACGACGGTACAACCAGCTTCCTCTCTCATCTGAAACACTGTATGTTTGAGTTTTTTTTTTTTCTCGCTTACAACCAGTTTCACTAAGGACTGATTGCACTATCCCTCCTGTTCCAGCATTTCTCCTTTTTGCTTCACTTACTCCCCTCAATGCCTTTAATTTCCTTCTTCCCTTCTTTCCTTCTTGTTTTATTGCTTCTTCTTCTTCTTCTTCTTCTGCTTTTTTTTTTCTCGCTGTTTCAAAAGCAAAACAGTTGTTTCACTTTTTTTTTTTCAATTTCGCGCCAATTTTTGATTCACTTTTCCCCCGTCCTCCCTTCCTGGCTCTTGTTTTTGTTTCTATCTCGTTCCTTGCACCAGCACACATTCTAAATTCCCCCCCCCCCAGGCCTCACTCCTCCACTCATTTTCAATCTGATCTTCTTTTGTCACGATGGACGAGCTTCCAATCTCACGCGGGCAAAAGTTTGAAATCCCAGAGTACGCTGACGATGCAACGGCCGCGGCTGCACTGGCTGCGTCTGCCCCATCGACCGCCAGTCCCGCCCGCGCTGCACCCGCACGTCGACCTGCAACGTCGTCTGCTGCTGCTGCTGCTGGCTCTGGTGCGCCGGCAATGTCCGACGAGCGCGCTGCAAAGGCAGCTGCTGCTGCTGCACGCCGCGAGGCTGCGATGGCTGCGCTCAAGGAGAAGAAGGCCGCCGCTGCCGCCGCCGCCAAGGCCAGAGCCGCATCCGGCGAGACAGACGAGTTTGCCGTCTCGTTCGGCGGGGCCAGCGAGGCGCCAGTCGTCATCCAGACCGATGCTCCTGCTGAGCAGTCTGCTGCTGTACCGTCCAGCAGCAGTGCCTCGACTGCTAGCACTGGCACAACCAAAGCCCTTCCTGCTGCTGCTGCCGAGATTTCCATTTCGTTCGATTCTGCAAAGGCGGCGACGATCACGCCAACGGTCGACTCGACGACACCCTTCTCGTCGTCCTCCCCTTCCTCGTTCAACCCAACCTTCGATTTGGGTGCTGCCAAGCCAACTGCATCGTCGTTCAAGCCGACTTTTGATGAAGATCCAGTCTCAAATGGGTCGTCTACAGCCTCTTCGCTCCAGCCAACGTTCGACTCGACGGCGCCAACAAAGTCATCCTTCAACCCGTCGTTCGACTCGACACTGCCAACGAAATCGTCCTTCAACCCGTCGTTCGACTCCGCTCCCACCAGTTCGACGACGTCATCGTTCAAGCCCACCTTTGATTCCGCCCCCGTTTCGAGCTTGGACTCGAGTGTGACTGCGACCGGTCGCCCTGCTGCCACGAACGGCGCACCGGCTCCAAGCAATCTTCTTGACATTTCTGTAAACCTGCTTGGCACCCCAGTCGGTCCTTCACGTACAGTGGCCTCGTCTGCACTTCCAGCTGCGACTACTGCAAAGGTCAGTCTTCTCGATGGTGGGGACCTCGCTGCGCCAGTGGTCGAAGACAATGCCGCCCAAGACGAGTTTGATCCCAGCAAGGAGCAGTTCTATTCGCCGGGCACTGCACTGCGCAAGTACCCAACCGGCGCCACCAACGATTTTAACGTTGACGAGCTCGAGCAGCGATTCGGAGGCGCAGCTGCGGCAAAAGTGCGCAGTGAAAAGCTTCGCCAAAGTCTGTACGTTAAATTCGACCCATTGTCAGACCCTGACAGCCCCGGCGGCGGGCTGCCTCCACTTCAAGGCCTTGGATCGGCTGCAGAGAACGCGTCGCGCAACGCATCTTCGGCCGTGATACCACCAGGCCAGCGATCCCTTGCAGACCAGCTTATGAATGACACTCCCGGACGACCAGTGCCCATGACCGACGCCCTTCCGTCAGCGGCGGCAGCAGCAACAGCAACATCAACATCAGTTCCATCGCATGTCATCAGCTCACCAGGCGATGGAGAGGTTGAATTTCGACCTCCCGCGTCTATTGCGCACCTTCTCAATCGAAATGCCCCTGCTTCGACGGCTGTTGCCAAGGATTTGTTTGGAGCAGGAGCAGAAGCAGCACCTGCATCAACAGCAGTGACCAAACCGCTGTCCAACGCGCTCCCAGCCGCTGTCGCTCAGCCCGCATCAGTTGTGCTTTCCGGCACAACCAAAGTGCAAGCTGTTACCGATGTTGCTTCAGCTAGCCCGAGAAAATCCCAAAGTTCCGAGCAGGTAAGTCATTCGAAATGGTTAGATGTGTCTGTGTTGTTGTTGTTGTTGTTTTTGTTGTTTTTGTTGTTGTTTTTGTTGTTTTTGTTGTTGTTGTTGTTGTTGTTGTTGTTGTTGTTGTTGTTGTTGTTGTTGTTGTTGTTGTTGTTGTTGTTGTTCTTGTTGTTGTTCGTTACTCACTCAACGCCTGGCGATCGCAGTCTTCACAAGAGACCGCTTTGCTTCAGGCAGAGTGCACACGGCTACGCAGCAAGCTGCAGGCGGAGGCCACCAAGAACAAGCAACTGACGGCTGTGATGGACGAGTACGAGCAAACCATGCAACGGATGCTCTGTAAGTCAGACGCTCTTCTGCGTACACGGGCAAGTTCTTCAAAGCGCATATGAACGAACTTTTTTGTTGACCGATGCCTACGTTTGTTGCGTTGCAGCGGACGCCGAGCTGACCAGGGGAGACAACAATGCCGCATCCGATCGCTTCCGAGCGGAGCGCGACCAGTTGGCTGATGATCTCAAGTCTGCTGAGACTGCCTTCTCGGACTTGCATCGCCGCTACGACAAGTTGAAAGAAGTTCTTGAGAACTACCGGAAGGTGAGAGATACTCGCAACGGGAGCTCCCTTTTTTGTTGTTGATCCGAACTTTTTATCTCATTTTTGTTTCATGATTTTTTTCAATTCTGCGCTCAGAATGAGGAGACGCTGAAGCAAGCTCTGTCAGCAAGTCAGCAAGAACTCATCCAGTCTGATCAGCGTTACATAGCGCTTCGCGCGCATGCCGAGGAGAAGCTCGAGTCGTAAGTTTCATGCTCCAGCAGCACCCCTTCTGTCCTGTTGCTTGTTGAGCATACCCGTATTGACTGGCTCCCCGTTTGTTTCTTTTTGTCGCCATCAAACAGTGCCAACTCTGCGATTGAAAAGGTCAACGCCACGTACCGCGGCGAACTGGCCGTCGCGAACGCCAAGCTGAAGAAGGCCGAAATGCAAGTTTCCAGTCTGGAGAATGCATTGCAAGCCAAAGAGAAGGAAAACCAAGAGCTGGTGGTCATTTGCGACGAGTTGATTGCCAAGGTTGAGCGATAATTGCTGGAAAGCGCTTTTGAAAACATTTTTGCAAAAAACCGGATTGATATTTGATAAAAGCGACATTTGATAACTTTGACTCTTTGACTCCATCCTTCTTTGGTTTGCGATTGATCACCGAATCAAGATCGCACCCATCTTGTAGTTGATGCTTGAGCTCGTTTTTGAATTGAAATCAAGCGCGCAGTCTCACTTTTTTTCTTCCCCCCAAAATGTCTGCCACTGTTGGTCTGTCGGCACCAGTGACCACGTTAGAGACAATCCAGCTCGGCGATCGGCTGCTTGCACTCGCCGCGATGGGACCTGTAAACAAAGATATTCAAAAACCCCTGCTTCTTGCGCCAAATCTCTGAGAAATCGTTCCCTTTTTTGGGTTTTGACTGTGTTTTTTGCAATCTCCGCGTGCTCTGCTGCGTTGTTTTGAATGTTGCGCCACCCAGCATTTGCTTGCGTTTGATGCGCGCGGTGGCAAGCGAGTGCCTGTCGTCGAGTGGAGCGAGCGGGACGTTGGCGACGGCGCTGTGCAGGATGATGCTGATCCCAGTAACATTGGCCTGGCTGAGCACGCTCGGCGACGACCGCTGCTGCTCGATCCGCTCGGGGAGCGCGGCTCGTGGCGCATCCATGGCATCCGACGCGGTCATCGTGATGCTGCACGCCCGCGACCTGCGCCGTTCCAAGACGCTGCCCAGCCGCTGCTGCTGTTTGGCCAAAAGTCGTGCGCGCTCATCACAGTGGCGACCCGGCAAGCACCACCGCAGTCATCGTCCAGTGGAGCTGATGATGATGCTGGTGATGCTGATGCAGGTAGTAGCTCGTCAATAGTGCTGCTCGTCGATCGCGTGTCGACGCTGCCCGAGGCGTGCGACTGGATTCTGGACGCCGCATGGCTGCACGAGCAGGACGACGCGCTGATCGCATTGGCACTCGCGCACAATATGGCTCAAGGTAAGGTCAATGTCAACAGAAGCCAACCGGAGAAAACAAACACGAATGCATAGACACCTCGCTTCTCACACGAAAACAATGATTCAAACGTTGGCAGTCTGGAATTGGAAATCGCAGACGCTGTTGCGTCACATCCAGTGCCAAGAACGATGCATCAACTACTGCGCAAGGTTTAGCGGCGATACACTGGATTCGCTGTTGCTTGCCACGGGCACCGTGTTCAACTCGGTTCTCGTCTGGAATTTGCAACGCGACCCGAACGTCAATCACTCGCAGACAGTTCTCCCGCCGCGGCTTGCTCGGCAATGTCCCAATCCTCAAGCAGTCGAACTAGTGTTTGCGCCAGCACGAGTCGAATGCAAGGGGCACACTGGTGTGTTGTTTTCAGTGAGTTTTGACGCCACCAGGCAGCGGTTGTGTTCAGTCTCCGACGACCGTACCGTTCGATTGTGGTCGATTGCTGCTGCACTCAAAGAAGCCAGCACAACAAAGCAAGTCATTGAATCTACTTCCACGTTCTTTGGGCATCGAGCGCGTGTCTGGAGCGCCAAATTCACGTCGTTTGGAATTGTGTCTGCCAGCGAGGACTCGACGTGCCGAGTATGGAGCTTTACCGGCACGCCCCTCCTAGAACTAGAGGGCCGGGACGGCAAAAACATTTGGTCGCTTGCTGTTCACGAGGCGCAGACCTTGGACGATTGTGTTGCCGTCACAGGCACGGAGAATGGCACCATCCGTTCCTGGTCACTGAATCGGTTGTACTCACAGGCTGCTTCCTCGCATCAACTTCCGACGGCCGATGGTACTCCTGGCTCTGTTGTTGCGCACCGCATGAGCAAGCGAGAGAAGCGGAGCACCACCGTCTACAGCGATGCGGGTGCGTCGTGGATTGCGCCATGCCCATACCCAGGCCAACAGCCGATTCCAAGCAATGCTCCTCCACAGCCATCAAACACAAGCACAAAACGCAAGCGGCCGCGAACCCCCGAAACGCCGCGACATTGTGTCTTTGTGACGGCCAATTTGGCGCTGATTCTCTCCGCGCGTGGCGACCTGTTTGCATTCTTCCTTGAGAGCCGCACATACCAATTGTTGCTGGCTGCTGAGCCGCATGGTGTGTCTTTCTCTGCTGCATTCGTTTCTGCCTGCATTGTTCACACACCAAGGCGTGAAGGCGATCGCGACGAGCTGTGCATGTTCGTTTGTGGCGCCGCCGATGGCGTGCTTTCCGTTGGCATGATTGCGTTTTCGGCCTCGCCATCTAGCTGCAACCTGCTTGCTACAGTTCGATACGAGCAGGAGCGGTTCACCCCGATTCACGCCTTCCTTCCCGACAACCAGCGTTGCGCTCCCGTCGTTTTCGACTCGTCAAGTGGTGTGCTGCCATTGTTTGTGGTCAACGCGCGCAACTTTGCGCATCTTGTTTGGTGGGATGTTCGTGTGACACTGGGCGACACGACCCTCCTTGAGCTGGTGCGTCGTGGCGAGCTTTGCATGGGAGAAGGCGCTTTGGCTGGCAAGCCGTCGACCGTTTGCTCGCTGCCACATTCGTCCATTGTAGCTGTTGGTGCAGCGAATGGTTCGTTGCATTTCTTTGATCTGACGCGGGCCAGCGGCGCCGTCACCGAGACTCACCAGCATTTTCCCAGCAAACGCAACGTCTTGCTGCAACAGCCTTGTTTGCATGAATTGACTGCCACCGAACCTGCTGGTACCCCAAGCCTGTATCTCCCGTTGGCTACCATCTTTAGCCTTCATGGTCGAGACAAGCGGCTGTCGCACCTCGTTGTCGCTGAAAGTCGACCCGACGCCGCTCTGACCCGCTTTTGCACATTTGGAGCCGATGGCTTCCTGAACGAGTTGGAACTTTCGACACAGCAGCTCAGTTCCAGCTCAAGTTCTGGACCGAGCGAACTGGTTTCCCAGCTCAAACTGCACCAGCATGTCGTAGACGTTGCCCTCCACGCTGCGGATCTTCCATGGACCATCCGACACTGCTCGAGTCGCCTCGTGTCCCGGAATCCTGGCGAGCGATTTGTGCCAGCCATGCAAGGGGAAGCGGGCTCGGCATTGTCGCGAGCGCTGCCGGCGGCGGGACTTGTGGCGGCGTTTGCTGTGAATCAGTTTGTGCTGTCCGATATTGCCAGTGGCGAAACCTTGGCGCGCATTCCCTTGTTGACCTCGACCTGCTGGGACGTGCTTGCTGATCGCCAGTTTGGTTGGCTGTTAATGTTCATTGACGATGAACTTGAATGCCGCATTGTGCACGCTCGCCCAGGCGTGGCCTCGTCCTCTGCTTCCTCCTCTTCATCTGCATCGGGGCTGGCCGGAACGGCTGGCATGCCTGCTGCTGATACGAAAAGTGCAGGTCTGTTGTTGCGTGGCTTCCATCATCGTGAAATCCGAAGTGTGGTTGTTCTTCCTGCTCCACCCCTTGCACCCGCTTGGAACTCCGATGTGGTGCTGTTTGCTGCGTGTGGCGAAGACACGACTATTACCATTGGCGCAAGCATTGTTCCTCGGCATTCGGCGGCGGCGGCGGCCGAGATGCTCCGACCGCTGCGCTTGTTGCTGAGGGTCACTGACCATGCGGGTGCTGTTCGAACGCTGGCCAGCTTGCCGGATCCGTGGCAACCACCTGGCATTCTTCAACAGCCGACTGTCGGACCAGTGTATTCCTTGTTGCTGTCGGCTGGAGGCGACTGCGCCTTGGTTGCGTGGCGGGTATGCATTCACCCCGCTCGGCTACCTGATTTGCTCGCCGAGGAGTCGACAGCCCTGCAGTCCCTGTCGCCTCCCGTCGCATTCAGCAAGTTGGCAGTGTGTCAACCCTCTCTGTTAACATCACTGAGCCAATTCGATGCGAATGAGGATGATGTGTCTTCCACCTCTGTGCGCCTGCTTTCTATCGACGCAATTACGCTATCAGGGCAGCACCAGGACACTTTTGTTCTTGTTGCGTGCTCTGACGGGTGGGTTCGGCTCCTTGGACTGATTGGCGAGGCTGCCGGCTCGCAAGGTGCAGCGTTTGTTCACCTTTCGTCTTCCAACTTGCACCAGAGGTGTCCTCTTGTGGTCAAACTTGCTGCTTTGCACAACTTGGAGCAGCATGGCACTCAAATTTTGCTGGCAGCGAGCGCTGCAACCGACGGTCGAGTGATACTCTGGCACTGTGTTCCCAATGTCAGTCGCGCCAATGCAGCCGGTCTTTCTGCAGTGATGACGCCAATCGCACAAGTTCGAGCACACCAATCTGGCGTCAACAGCTTGAGTCTGGTAGAGTTGCCGACCGGAGTGGAGGGCACCACAAGACTTTGCGTTGCCACTGGCGGCGATGACAACTCGATCGTCCTGTCAACCGTCGATCTGGCGCTGTCTGCCACCGGCGACCAGCTCTCTGTGACGCAGGTGCGTGCTGGAAGCACCAGTCAAGGCCACAGCTCGTCAGTCACCAGCGTACACCTTACGCGCAGCTCTGCAGGCGCGCTGGTCTTGCGTTCTGCATCGATCGACCAGCGAATCAACACTTGGATGATTGGAGATTTGTCCAGGCTGGAGCGCATTTCGACTCCTCCCCTCACAACTCCACTGAGCGACCTTCGGCAGGTTCCACTGCCTCCTCCGGCTGTTCCTGCAGTTTTCATCCACCACTCGTCCGCAATTGCACACATTCCAGATGTCGGTGCAATGGATGTTGTCGAGTTGCCGGTCCAACGGCGCTCGCTTGCTTTGATTTCTGGGATTGGCATCCATGCCATTCGTCAGGACGGGATGTGAATGGTGCCATGAAGCGAGCAAAATAGATTTTCATTTTTTTTGTTTCTACCACAAACAGCTATGTCTCCCGAAAAAAAACAAAAACAACAACAAAAAAAAAAAAACAAAAAAAAAAAAAAAAAAAAAAAAACAAGCTCGGTCTCAAACATGTGCATTTGACATATAAGGGGCTGTTTTTTTTTTTTTTGTTTTAAAAGGTAGCATGAAACCCCCAAAATATGTCGTTCATATCCACCACCGTGTCCTACGTCGCTTTCCGCCGCTGGTGCTCTGATTGTGTGGTTTACACCATGTCATCAGTGTACTCGAGGGTCGGGGGCGCAGCGGAAGTGCGTTGGACGGCGGGGCGGAGCGAGAAAAGGAGCGGTTTGTGTCGCGGTGTGATTTCTCAGCCAAGCTTTTCCCAGCCCTCAATCTGTGCCACTGCTACATTCTGTTGCGGGTTCATCTTGTCAAACAATAATCGGGCCGCAGTAGAGGGCGATTAGCCCCAGCACACTTGGTTAAATTAAAAACAAAAAAAAAAAAAACTCTTGCATGTCCAAACCGAGTGCTGAACTGTCTTATGCACTCTCTCAGCTTCTGGCTCCTCCTGCCCGTACCAGCCATTGTCCCGATCTCCGATCTAAAGAATTATTTGATGTGGTGTGGCAGCCCGCTGACACTGATTTGCTGCGACGAGGTTGCGTTGACCGTCACACCTTCTCGCGGCCGTACAGTCGCCGGCGGGACAGCGGCGTGTGGTCTGATGCACCGAGTGGCATGGACACATGGTCTACTCTCTCGGGCGGGGGTTGCAGGGCAGGGGAAACCAATTGCAGAGCTCAGCGACGCGATGGGAGTGAAAGACATGGTGATGCTACCTTTTTCAAAAAACAGCCCCATAAATCACAGAAATGCATGATCCCAACACGCACCATGTTTTCAAACGATCCAAAAAGCAAAAAGACATCAACAAACAACAACAACCACAAAATTTAACAAGAAGGAAAAAAAAAACTACACAAAAGTCGCAGGGAAGTTGCTGACTTCATCCAAAACCTCCACAGGGGACTGGTTGACGGTAAAGTTGATCTTGAGACGGAAGCGAAGAGGACGATGGGTGGGGTTGTCCACTTGCATGTCCTGAACAACACGGCCGCCAGGCACAAGATGGGCGTCGGAGGGTTGCATCATGGTGAGCTTGACCGACTTGGGAGCCGCTGCTTGGAAAACAAAGTTGTTGAATGCGTTGGCCGTCTGGTTGACCGAAGTAACATGGATGGCGAGCAAGCCCGAAGCCGGGTCTTGGGACAAGTCGAAAGTGATGCGCAGGCCATTCTTTTCGTACGCAACAATGGTCGTGGCCGGGTTGGCGGCAGGAGCAGCAGCAACCGGGCTGGAAAAGTCGCCCATAATGTCCAACAACGAGCTAGCAGCAGGCTGAGACACTGGGGCTGTGGGTCCCGGAGCAGAAGCGCCAAAGCCACCGCCAAGCAAATCCAGCATGTCATGGCCAGCGCCAGCAGAAGGTGCTGCACCCATGCCAAAGCCACCAGCAGCGGCGGCACCGCCACCAAAGGATGTCGCAGCTGGCGTCGCCGAGCCGCCAAAACCAGAGTCAAGGAGGTCGAGCAGGGAGCTGCCGCCGCCGTTGAAGCTGGCGGGCGCAGCAGCCGCGGCCGCCTGAGCAGCCGCGTGGTACGAAGCAGCAATCGCGGTGGGGTTGATGGTCTCTTGCTCGGGCTCATTCATGACGATGCCCTCGTTCTCGTTGTGCTCGGCAATGTGAGACACCAACACTGGCATTCGCTCGAGCAGTGGCGCGCGCAGGTGATCCACAATGAACATGTTCGAGTACTCTGCCGAGCGCTGCTGCAGCTCAACCTCGAGCGAGCGAGAAAAGAAGCGCAGCACGTTACGAATGCGGTCAATGTTGCCCGCCGACAAGCGCGTCGTGAGTTTGATGAGCGCGTTGATGGAAAACTCCTTTGTAATCACGGACGAGTGGGGGGACCGGAGAATCGACTCGATTAGGCTGAGCACGTCCGACTCGGGAATCTGGATTGGCGGCTCCTCGGTCGAGGGTTCGCCCGAAACGAGCAAATCACCATACTCGCCAATGCACCAGACGGCGACCTGGACGAGCGGCTGCTGGATGATGTCTTCCTGCAACGCCTGGTAAAGGTGCAGCGTGGCGTACCCTTGGAGCTCGGGTGTCTGGGTGATCAACGAAATGAGCGACGAAACCGAGTCATCGCGGACAAAGGCACCAGCCATGGTGATAATCCTGAGCACGGTGTCAATGTGCCAGCGGCGAGAAGGCGAGTAGCTGTGAGAGCAACGATGAAAGGGGAAGAGCAGACAAAAAAAAAAGTGAAAGTTTCAGTGAGCAAAGCATCTTGAGAGCATACAAAAAAACAAACAAACAAACAAACAAACAAAAAAAAAAAAACCATCCCGCCGTTCCGCGAAAAACATACCGCTCGGCGACAAGGAAGAGCTCAGTGGTTAGGAAGCTCTTAAACTCGGACTCGCAGTTCTCGAGGAACAATAGCAGCTCTTGGGCAAGAGCGCGAATGTTGGCTTGATTGACGAGGGCCAGAAGCAGCTCGACGGCGCGACGACGGATGGTCACGTCCGAGTCTTTCAGGCACTCGAGAATTGTGTTGCTGCACAGAAAACAAAAACAAAAACGGAGAGTCCAATGGTTGGTGAGTCACAATTGTAGCAAATAGGTCCAAGCCTCTCGAACGACAGGCAAGTGACTTGTTTACCGATGGCGTTGGACTGCCGTTTGATCGGCATGAACAATCTTGAGCAGCGTATTCAAAGCCACGTAGCGAATGTTCTTGTCAGAGTTGCCGAGGAAGCGACCGAGAATGTTGACGGCAAGGACGCGCAATCCCGTCTCGGAGCGAATATCCATGATGCAGAGAACGGTCTCGTAGAGAATCGAGTTGCCGACGTTTTTGACGGTATCGGTGTTTGTTGCAATCTGTCAAGGAAGCGGGGATGAATTGGGTTGGGATGCGCGCCAAGAACATTTTGGGGCCGACTCTCTTACCTGAGCCAGCAGATCGTTCAGCGCCTCACTGCTCTCAGAATCGTCCTTGGCCAGCATACGGAGCAGACGCAGCACCTTGACCTGCAGGAATGGATCAGTAATACCGCCGACATCGTGCTCGGCGCTGGAGCCCGCAACTTGCAAAGCCTTGAGAATGCGAATGAGGTGCGGGACGAGCTACAGCCAATAGAGCAAGCGACGAGAGATGAGAAAAATGGAAGCTCGAACTGACAAAACAGCACGGTGACGGCAAGGAAATAATAGTAATACAACAAAGCACCAGTGTGCCTCTTTTGAGTGTTTACCTTGCGGAAGTGGACGAGAGAATCGTGCGAAATGGCGCAAATCTCGTTCATGAGGGTCACGCCAGTAAGGAGGACGGCGTGGTTGCGCTCGCCGAGAAGTGCGCGAGTGCCAGGGACAAAGTTTTCCACAAGCTCGGGCACCTTACGAACAATGCGCACTGCAGCCAAGGCGGCCTATTGCAGGAAGAACGAGAGACAATCACAGAAAAGTCAGAAAACAAATTGCTCACAACTACTCAAAGACACGAGCTTTCGTTGTCGACGTTTGTCTGGTCACCTTCTTGCGAACAAACGCGTTCGAGCTCTTGAGGAGCTTTTCAACCTCGCTGGCCAGATCGCGGCACATTTCGGGCGAAGCAATCGAGCCAAACGTCGACAAGGCGAGGCCGACAATGTACTGATTGGACGAGCACATATCGCTGTCACACAGGAACAACAACATTGCAAATGTTGCGAGGTGAGTACCAGACAAACCGAAAAACGTTGTTCCAAATTTCATCAAAGCTGCTCAGATTTTTTTTTTTTTTGCAGCAGTGTTTCCAACATCAAATGTTGCTCGAACGGGATTTGCCGTTTGATGTTCGGTTGCCTTGCATGATTTTCATCAAACTCGCAACTTTCTCAATTGTCTCGATTTCCTCAAAATTTCTCAAACTCAACTCACAAAAAAAAAAAAAAAAAAAAAAAAAAAAAAAAAAAGCAAACGAACGATCTTCGCTTTTGCTTTGTTATTTCAGGCTTTGGTTTCTCGTTTTGAGGAGAACTTTGATCGACGAGTTTGTGTTGCTCAGCAAACACGATGCATTGAAACGTGCTTCACAGGCTGCAAAAAAAAAAAAACGCGCGGACGCGCGAGGATGAAGAAGCGGAGGAGAAACACAGCACAAATCTCAAAAAAAAAAAAAAAAAAAAAAGAGAGAGAGGGGGAGGTAGGATTTGGTACCCCCTGCTAGTGAACTTTGCCTAAGAGCAAACCAATCCAGCGACAAACAAAAACCAAAAACTCACTTTTTCAAGCAGTTGGTGACGAGGAGACCGATTTCGGCCTTCTCGTCGAGCAGGAGTGCGACGCCGAGGTAGCCGATGCGCTTGTCGACAAAGCGCGGTGATGCGACGAGCTTCAAGCACTCGAGCTGGCCAAAGTGCGCGGGGAAGCCGAGCATGTGAATGTAGAGGAGCTTGGCGACGTTGCGGCAGCGGTACTCGGGCTCTTCCTCGCGGATGGCCGTGCGGATGAGCGCGCACTCCTTGGTGATGACGGCGCGTTCATCGGCGGCGGTCTTGGTCGCGCGGATCTGGCGGATCAAGTCGCGCAGCTTGGACGGCGGCATTTGTGTTTGAGCAAATGGGACTTGTCTATTGAGAAACAGGAAGGACTGAGCCTTCAATCTCAGTCCCAATCATAATCCAACCGTCAGCAAAGTCATCTTCCTGATAACTGTACCATGTCGGCTTTTGATGAGGGGGGGGGAGGAAGGGGTTTCCAGCTGAGCTCAGTCTCTCAATCGCGCTCAGGTTTGGCATGAAGAGCTTTCTGAAGGCGTTTGCAGTGCGCTCGCTGGTCATTCTGCCGCTCGCCATCACGCTGACAGACAGCGTCGCAAGCGTTGCAGGAGTCCAAGGCCGATCCATGCAGGTGATGATGATCATGGGTTGCTGAATACGAGTCGCAGGTTGTTCTAGTTCTTGGTTGTTCGTGTGGACTGATCCCCGTCTCGCCGTGGAACTGAACTGTCGCACGCACAGCCAACGCTCAATCCAGACATTGCGGTCGATCACATCCTCTTGGACAAGTGGTCGGTGCGAGACCATCGGCACCGGCGCGGCGAAGTCGTCGTGCTGTGGTCAGTTTCGAATCACTGTTTCGTTCCGTCTTGGCACTCTTCAAGCCAAACGACCTGTGTGCTGTTCTCAGCATATCTGACAATGATTTTGCGTTGGTGGATACCTTTTTTATTTATATTTATTTTAACAAACGCAGGTCGCCCGATGAACCGACTGTGGCGGTGATCAAGCGAATCATTGCGCTTGAAGGCGATGTGGTCAAGACGCTCTCGTACAAGGATCCGTTTGTTAAAATCCCCCGTGGGCACTGCTGGGTGGAAGGCGACAACCACATTCATAGCAGAGACAGCAACACATTTGGCCCGGTATGAGACACGTTCATTTATCGTGCTGGTGCTCGTGGAAACGTCCCAATGTTGCTCAGATGTATGATTTCACCAACACAGATACCTGTCGCTCTTATCGATGCTCGAGCGACTCATGTTATCTGGCCACCTGCGCGGATACAAAAGATTGAGACTGTTGTGAGTCCCGATCGAATTGAGCGGTACGGCCGTGCCGGTCGGTGACCCGCAAAGCACGGAAACACCAAGCATTTTATTCGTTTCGCTTCCTGTACAACAAATCAAAGCTGTAGTTCAATGATGCCATCAGATATTGAGCGATTTGTATTGCGTTGGGCTCTGACGTTTTGATTGGCTCGCTGGGGAAGGTTAAAATCAGGAAGCATGTATTTGCACAAAAGGAAATCAACGGGGGGGGGGGAAACTGCAAGAAGATAGCAAACACGCATGACAGGCACAGCCAAACCAAAACGTGGAAGAGGGCTCAGAGATGATACAAGGAAAACTTAACAGACAGGAAAGCGGCCGCAAAAAAAACAAAAAATCATGCAGCACGCCAAAACAATCAAAAACAGCAAAACCAAAAGAAAACATCACGCCAAAGATCGTGCTTTGGAGGATGAGTAAAAAAAAAATCGCAACAGCAGTAATAAAGCACAAATGCACAACGCACAAGGGCTGAGAAGGAACCAATCTCAACCATCACAAGAAAAAACAAGAAACAAAACTAAGTGTAATATGTTCACTCATCGCGCACGGAGAGGCGATGAAAGGGGCGAAGAACTGCCCGGAATGGACCGTCTGGTGTCTGTCTCCGCCTCGGGTGTGGAGCAGGCAGAAGATTCGCGCAGTTGCGGCAGGCCAGGGAGCACTCGCAAGGTGCCCTTCTCAACCTCCACGGTGGATCGCGTTGTGTCTTTCGCAGTCACATCCTTCTCAACGGGCAACACCTCGGGCGCGGCTGCCTCCACTGACGATGCAGATGGCTGTGAGCGCTTGGCTGCGACGGGCGACGCAGTGCTTGCCGGCTTGATGTCTGTCGTCCTCCGGTGCTTTCGGTAGGAAGCAAGCGCAGACACGAGTCCAACCACCAGCATCACACCAGCACCAACACCCAAGAACTGGAGCTGCTTGGCTGTCAGGATGGCAATCTTGTGCGAGGTCGTTGTTGCGTCTGGCTCGACGGCGTCCTCTGGATGAGATGCGGCTGCTGCGGCTGCTTCTGCTGCGGCGGGTTCTGGCGCAACGCCACGGCGGCCGTGACTCGACACGCTCGAGTCGTCAGAAGAAGCAACGACCCGCTCGACCGTTTGCTCGGGCCGTGGTTCGTTCAAGTCCAGCGAGCCGACCTGGGTGATAATCTCAGTAATCTCAAAGTCCTCCACAAAGCCATCGACTTGATACGACAAACCCTCTTCCGGCGGCGACATGGAGTTGAAGATTTGATGCAAGTGGGGAAGCTCGCGACGACGATTGTGCAGCGCTTGCAAATCAACATGCTTGATAATGATGCGCTTTGGCTGCTCGCGCTCCTGTCGAGCCTCCAGGGCCAATTGCTGTGCTCGCGATTCCCGCGCCGCCTGCTGACGCGTTTCGTGCGACGCGAAATGGGCCTTGAGAGCAGGGCTGCGAACTTCATTGTACAAGGCCAGCTCGTTCTCAATTTCCTGGTCCATGCGCTGAGCAATGATGGCGTCGGCATACGCTGGGAAGAGTTCGCGAATCTCATCGTCCGAGAGCGGCTTGGGCGCAAAGAGCTCGGCGTCTCGACGCTTGAGCTCGGCCACACGAGCATTCTCAAGCTCGACCCACTCGGCTTCCAGCTGGGCGTGGTGCTCTGCGGATGGGGAAAAGCTGGGATCGAGGTCGAAGGGCTTGATGGTGTAAGCTGTGGCCTCGTAGAGCTCCCTGCTAGCCTGCATGCCTTCCTCTCGTCTACGTGCGCGGGACGCTTGCTCCTCGGTGCTGTTGTTCTCGGGACGACCAATTACGTAGATGGTAACGTTGCGCGGTTCGCAGTCGAGGGGGCACGAGACGAGCGTCTCCTTGTACTGGAAGAGCGTGGGACCGGCGCCCTGAACAACCAGGTCGCACTTGCCGTCGCCGCACGTCGGGCACGCCCCGCAGTCGGCCCAGCAGTTCTGGCACGTCTCACGACCATTGCACACTTTGTCGCCGCACGAAATGCACTCGCCGCAGTCGTTCGGGCACGTATCGCAGTGCTCGTTTCCGTTGCACACGCCGTCGCCGCACGACGGGCAGACGCCGCAGTCATGTGGGCACGAGCGGCAAGTTTCGTAGTCGGTCGAGCAAAAGCCGTCCCCGCACACGCGGCAGGTGCCACAGTCGACCGAGCAAGACTCGCAGGACTCTGTCGCGTCGCACTTGCGATCGCCGCACACACTCCGCGCAGCTCCTGCGCCAACCAGCGTCATTCCTGTGCTTGGCGACGAGCCCGCCCTTCCCGACTCGCAAAACAGGTGGCTTGTCGGCAGGAATTGCATCTTGATGGTGGCCAGGTAGGATTCCGCCGACGCATCGTCAGCGACGCTCAGTTTCACTCCGCGGCAACCCGGGGATGCCAGCTCTGTCGCGAGCGCCGTGTATGCGTTAAAGCAGCTTGCCAAGCAGACTGTTGCTTGATTGAGGTCTGTCATGGTTCGGGGGAACAAAAACACAGATTAGTCACTTCAAAAGCCACCTGCAAACTTTTTTTTTTCTCCCCCTCGTTTCACTGCTTTGTTGCTGCAATGCGCTGCGTCAACACAAAAACACAAGAAAGCACATCTCCACCATTGAAAAAAAAAAGGGGCATCAAACCATTAAAAAAAAAAGAAAAAAAAAAAGCCAGCCAGCCTTAATAAAGGCTTTTTCAATGGTAGATTGATTGGGTGAACATTATAACATTGCTGTTTTTTTCTCAATCACACCCAGTATCACAAAAAAAGACAAGATAGAATGAGATAGAATGAGATAGAGTCAGATAGAGTCAGATAGAGAGATAGAGAGAGAGAGAGAGAGAGAGCACAAAGAAACAAAAAAAAAAAAAAAAAACCCACACTCGAAAATTCCTCCTCTTTGATTGATTATTGATTTTTTGATTTTTTTTTTTTTTTTTTTTTTGGATTTGAGGAAAAGAGAGCGAAGAAGACGAGAAAGCGAAGGCAATGAAAAGGAATCAAAGAGAGGAAAGCGAAGCGAGTATGGAAGGTGGAGTGGAAGGGGGGGGTGGAGTGGAGTGGAAGCGGGGTGGACGGACCATTCGAGTGGCCGAGACAGGCGGAGCGGTAAGCAAGAGAGAGGACTTGACCGCGGCAGGAGGCAGCGTCGCGTCGCAGTCCCAGCTCATGCTCAGTCTGCTGCTGCTGCTCCTGCTGCTGCTGATGCTGATGCTGCTCGGCACCGGCAGAGTGGAGCGAGGCAGCAATGTGGCCGTTGAGCAAGGCGAGGTCGGCAGCCCACTCGACTTGCACCCGCGCAGACACTTCGCCGAGCGCTTGCACCTCGGCCAGCGCACGAAGCTCGTCCACGTCAGAGGGGGCGGGCTTTGGTGCAACCATGGCGTCGACGAGGACTGGAGCGAGAACAGAAGGGGCGACCACCAGCGCCGCCAGCACGAGCGCCAGCAAAGATGAGGATGCGGATGAACGGGATCGCATTGGAAAAAGAAAAAAAAAGAAAAAAAAAAAAGAAAAAGAAAATGACTGGGTTTTTATTGTAAATGAAAGCGTCCGTCGTTCTCACAGTGACTGAGATATCAGCAGTGATTCAAAGTAGAAGCTCACTGCATGCAGTTGCGAAATTGTCAACGTGTGACTGAGTGAACGAGTGACGACATTTTGAGCGCTTGTCTCAGTCTAAAATCCCATTGTTTTGGAGTATTTGTGTTTTGAGGTTCGTTTGAGAGTTGCTGTGCGTTGAGCTCCCGCCCCCCGGTTGTTGATGGCCTCGTCAGACCCGTGTGCTTGGACGCTGTGCTTGACGGTCGAGGGGGCGAGTCTGAGGAGCGTTGCTTGGAAGGAAAGGCATCGGGAATGCTGGACACTTCTGCCTTCGTTCGTCCCGCCGCCATCAGTCTCAGTCCGACGCTGTTCACTCCTGTTTGAAAAGGGATGATGCGAAAGAAAGAGAGTGGGAATTGGGTTGAGGAAGTGATCAGGGTCCGGTCCGGGGGGTGGATACCAAAAACAAGGGCTTGCATTCACTCCATCTTTTGTTTCGCTTGCTCGGAATGATAGGTCAACCATGGAGCTTCGTAGTATGACGGAGAGACAGCGCGAGTTGTATGACCAAGTCAAGAACGCGGATGGAGAGCTCAAGCAAGGGAAAAGCCCGAGTTGATTGGAACATCACAGTGTGATACTGACGAACGGACTGGGTTGACAGATTGGATGGGAATCGGATTGGCAATGTTGAAGTGCAGGCGATTGCTGAGGCACTCAAAGTGAACACGACGCTGACCCAGCTCGAGTAAGGCATCTCACTGTTACTGAAGCATCCACGAGTGGGTCATCCAACGGAGGACGTTCAGAATGCTCACTGATCAAAGGGATGGACAGGTTGAGTGACAATCAGATTGGCCATGCTGGAACGAAGGCAATTGCTGAAGCACTCAAAGTGAACACGACGCTGACTAGGCTCAGGTATGGCATCTGATGCATATGAGTGGGTGAGACATGACAGTACGAGTAGCTCACTGATGCAAGGAATGGAGCAGTCTGAGTGGCAATCAGATTGGCTATGCTGGAGCACAGGCAATGGCACTCACGACGCTGACTGTGCTCAGGTAAAGCATCTCCCTTTGACTGTTGCATGTGAGTGTGATTCCAGAGAGGGCGTGAAGCGTGCTCACTAATGAAGGAGATGGTCAGTCTGGGTGCGAATCAGCTTGGCGATTCTGGAGCTCTGGCAATTGCCGAAGCACTCAAAGCGAACAAGACGTTGACTGCGCTCGAGTAAGGCATCTCAATGTGACTGAATCATCCACGAGTGGGTCATCCAGCGGAGAGCGTTCAGAATGCTCACTGATGGAGGAGACGGACAGTCTGCAACTGAATCAGATTGGCACTTCTGGAGCGCAGGCGATTGCTGAGGCACTCAAAGTGAACACGACGGTGACTTATCTTGGGTAAAGCATCTCACTTTGACTGATGCATCCACGAGTGGGCCATCCAGCGGAGGACGTTCAGAATGCTCACTGAGGATGGACAGTTTGGATGGGAATCAGATTGGCGATGCTGGAGCTCTGGCGATTGCCGAAGCACTTAAAGTGAACACGATGCTGAAGGGGCTTCTGTAAGACATGTTACGTTGACTGAAACATGCCCGTGAGTGATGCAACAGAAAGAATTCAGAGTGCTAATGAACGGAGAGGACGGACAGTCTGTACGCAAATCAGATTGGCGATGTTGGAGCGCAGGGGATCGCTGCAGCACTCATGGTGAACACGACGTTGAAGGCGTTCCCGTAAGTTACTGTGCGTAAAGTCATGCCTTGCTACGTCGTCATCCTGCTCACCCAATGTTATGACAGCCTTGCCTACAATTGCATTGGCCATCTTGGTTCTCAAGCGATCGATGAGGCACGCAAACGCAACTGCGGATGTCTGGTTGAGTAAGTTTGATCTTGCCAATCACAGCCGTTGATGCTCAGACAAATGTTTCTCTCACCGATGGAGTGGCCACTGACTGATCATGCCTGGCTCCCAGAATTGGCGATCAGATCAACCCTCTTGCATTCTCCTTACTTCCACGATTGGCGAGTGCTGGAGACAGTCACACCGTGTTTGGCATGCTGACCAGCGGGTTGGAGCTGGAGAATCAGCCCGCATCTCTTCCAGCGCTACCAACCGAGATTGCCGAGCTCATTATGGACAAGGCGCATTACTGGCAAGGCTTGGAGAAAACCAAACGATGGAATTTTCATGTCGATACCCCCGACTGCGTTCTGAAAGTTACTGTGCCTCAAGAAGATTCAATCCGTGTGAAAGTAATTCAAGTACTTCGTGAAAGGAAGCAGCCTCCCAATAACATCGGTGACTGTGTTTTGAATTTGACTGTCCGAGATGAACAAGGTACTGTTCAGTACGAGTGTGCTGTGCACCCGACTTTTGTCAGTTCAAACCTTGCGCTTGCGACAATCAGGCAGGCGAGTCATCCCATCATCCAGCAAATGCGTGAGGGCTGGGAAGTTCAACTTCGACCCAGCACGTTTGCCCTCTATGTGCTATTGGAAAGACTTTATGTCGGATATACTTGTATCTAATGCCACATTTTTTTTTTTTTTTTGGGGGGGGGGGTAAACGCCCTCCGGTAACCAATAAATGGAACGTTCCAAACCTGCAACCTTTATGAGAACAAGCACCATCCTCCAAGCGCACTGAAAAGTTTGGTTTCTCCACAGCCGGAACGAAATCAACCCTGTTAGATCTATTGCGAAGTGCCAGCACTTGCAACATGAAACGTCGTTGCCCAGCAAACGCAGGATCAAAAAACAAATGCAAAAAACCTGCTGGACGGCTTCGGTCTCATTGACGCCTTGATTCTCATCGCTGCTACTACGCGCACCTCTTGCTTTGTAACAGAGACAACCCCAGTGTTGTTGTCTTTCAACGCCGGGTTTAGTTCACCCTCCCCGCTCCTCCAATTGCTCAACTTGTTCAGCTGTTATCATTTGGCTTTGGATGACACGGACTTGCATTCCGCGTGAGATCTTTGCACATTGCCTTCCCACTACCATAAACGGGTGTCGATGAAGTAAGAACGACGTAAACACTGCACGTCAACAAACAGTCACATTTCTGGTAATCGTCCATTTTGCTCCACCCCGCTCGCACCCGGGTTGCTCCCTTCCGCTGAACCCCCCCCCTCGCCCTCTCTCTCTCTCCAACCTGCTGTGTTGGCGTCTTGGTGTGCTTCCCCACCCACCACGGTCTTGGTTTGCGCTGAAGAAGGTGTTCTCGAAAATTGGATCTGCTTGCTCAAGATCTAACGCCCACCATATTTGGCTTTGTTGTGTTTGTTTAAAAGCGCGATTCAAGCAAAATTCAAACCGCTCAGTCTTGGTTCTTTTGAATTAGTTGATCTCAACCCTCTTCAACCAACTTGACTTGTCTCGCGTCAGGCCAGCAACCCGGAACCAACATCAACAACGAAAAACAAAACAAAACATGCAGTTTACGAAGCCAGTTCCGCTGCCGCCGGGCCCGTCGTTTGTCGTCGCGTCGCAGGCGCCGGTCGGCTCGTGGTCGTGGTCGCACACGTACGCCTACAATGCGAACGGCATGCGCGGTGACGACGGCAGCACTGGCCACGCTGGCTCGCACGGCATGGGCACCGGTGCGAATGGTTTCCGTGGCGGCGACGGCACGCCCGGTCTGCGTGGTCAGGACGCAGGGAACATTACTCGCACGATTTTCGCAGACGAAACCTCAAACCAGACCGTCCTTGGCGGCGGCGGCAGCACCTCGGAAGACCGCTGCACGCTCGGCGATCCCTCTACGTCCATCTTCATGAGCGCCATCGGTGGCAACGGCGGCCGTGGCGGCGACGGTGGTCGAGGCGGCGACGGTTCCATGGGATACCGCGGCACAGACGCGACCCAGTACTCGAGCGGCGGCAACGGCGGCCCTGGTGGCGACGGTGAGTCGCTTTCTTCTCGCTTTGTTTTTTAAGTTGTTGTTCTGGTGAATGTGTCGTGATGGTGTGTCGATGAGCAAGTGTGAGGGATTCGGTTGTGACGTGTAAACTGTTTGTTTCGCATTTGATCTTTGACCGTCTTGCTCCCTTTCTCTCTCTCCTTTTCCTCCCTCGTCGCTCCCTCTCTCCCTCTCTCTCTTTCTTTCTCTCGTCTCCCTGTCTTTCGGTCTGCTTGCTTCGCTCTGCTTGGGAGCGACGAGTGGCTGCCTTGGAGTGGCTTTTGTTTTTGTGGTCTATTTTCGTCTTTTTTTTTCTTTTTCTAAGATCCACACTTCCAAATATGACTTTTTCGTTCGATTTGAATTTTTTCAATGAATTCTTTATTATTCATGTTTTTTAACTTTTATTATTTATTTTTTTTTAAAAAAACTCGTATTTTCAATTCCCATCGGTGGGTTTTAATGCATTTCAGCCGTTGTGTTGCTTTGAAGCGTTCTCTGAGAGTGAGTCGCATTTTCTTGCTTTCTTTCTCTCTCTTTCTCTCTCTCTCTCTCGCTGTTTCTTCATCTGTGTTTCTTGTGGCTGATTCTCTTTGGTGCAGCCACACTGGCGGGCGGGTGACTTGGCACTCCTTTGGTGGCAATGATTCACCAGTCGGGTGACCGGCGTTGTGTTTTTCTTTGGTTTTTTTCTTTGGTTCGCCCCCCCCCCTCCGCTTCTCTCTCTCTCTCTCAATGTTGCGGTCTCACATGAAAGGAGTCTGAGATTACCAAACATCAAAAACAGTGATGGACGTAGATGGGGTATCACATCAGCAGACGCAAAAAATTTGGATGAGCTGGTCTTTTGTCAACAACTGTTTTCAACAACTGTTTTCACTCACTGCCATTACTCTGATCTGTCCGCCCTTCTGTTCTTTTTTTGTTTGTTTGTTTATTCAGGTGGCCGAGGCGGCGATGGTGGCCGAGGTGGCGATGGTGGCCATGGTGGTCACATTGTGCTCCAGGTCAACGAGCGTGATACGGATCTGCTCATGCTGCTCAAGGATGTGCCCGTCGTTGTGGGTGGCATTGGTGGTGATGGCGGCTACGGTGGCCCTGGTGGTTCGGGAGGCCCCGGTGGCCCCGGTGGCTCGAGCTACAGCTGGACCACGTACGAGACGCAGTACTCGACCGACGCGAACGGCAATTCCTACTCGACGACCGTCTCAGTCTCTCACACCAATCCCGGTGGTTGGTCGGGCCCGTCGGGCTGCTCTGGCGCTTCTGGCGACACTGGTGCATCTGGTTACAACGGCAACAATGGCAGCTTTGGCATTCCCGTCACCTCGGCCGATGATGCAAGCATGGTGATTGCCACCTACCCGCGGCCGTACGAGCTCAACCTGCGCAACGTTGCGATGGCCGACACCAAGGCGTACGGCATCATTGAGCCGACCGCGACCGTGGCCGTCGAGGTCGAGTCCCAGAATGTGGGTGGCATGCCAACCCCCGGCTACCAGGATGTGGTGTTCACCATCCGCGACAACCAGTGGGTGAACTTCAATCCTGCCACTGAGTCTCGGCTCGTGCCGCGCAGCATTCCTGCCGGTGGCTTGGCCAACCTCTCGGCCCCGCAGCACATCACCGTGCCCGACGTCAGTGGCCCGTCGCGTGGCCTGCCGCTGTACGCCCCTGCGCAGCTCGAGCACCGCGCCACGGTGACGCGTGTCAACCAGGACTTTTACCACATCCGCGGTCAAGACACTCCCTTCCGTGTCCGGTTCCCCCTCGAGCTTTCTGCCGTTGTCGGTGCCGAAGCCATCATTCCAGGCGCCGAAGCCCCGATTGCCTTGCGTGTCAAGAACATTTCTCTCAAGCCCATGGGTCTGAACTCTGAGACCCGTCGCTTGATCCTGGCACACTTGCGCCTGCTCGTGACCAAGGATGTCTTTTTGACGGCCGACGGCGTGTTGGTGCTCACCAACCCGCCAAACCCGGAAGACTATGCCCTCTCCGGTTTGCCCGACACGCTTCCCTTCCCCGAAGGCGACATTGTGCTCCGCGACAAGAACGGCAATCGCATGACCCTGCTTGGCGGCTTCACCCAAGAGATTGCCGAATTGATGCCGGGTCAGGTGTGCTACATTGCGGGCACCGTTGCTTTTGGCAACCCGGACACCCCGATGTACACCAAGGTCCACATGCAGGCCACCCTCGGTGAGGGTCGTCTTCTCGCGGCAGACCAGCTGCAGCTCATCCACCAGCGCCCGTGGTCCATCCAGCTCTGCGAAGCGTACAACCGCAGCGACTCGAACGACATTCTTCTTGTGGTCAACAACCTCTCCAAGGCCGAAGAAGTCACTGCCTGGGACAACATTGCGCGCACCTACGGCATTCGCTTGGCCAAGTGGAACATTTCGCTGTACACCGGTCTGACGCTGCGCCACGTCAAGATGAGCGGCACCTCCCTCGAGCAAGACTTTTCCGGCAAGACCATCATTGTCCTGAACAACCCTTGCATGGAGGGCGAGAATCGCGACCGCATTCCCTTGCAGAGCATGCCGACCGGCGAGCTCATTGCCACCGCGCGTGGTCCCCGCGGCATTCGCTTCTACGTGCCCGGTCGCATGGATCAGGCCGATGCTCAAAACCACCTCGTTCCCCTCGATGTCTGGGAGTGCATGGCTGGCTACACTAGCGTGAGCAACTTCCTCAATCGCCCCGACGAAGCCGAGATTGGCCCCTTCCCTCGCGGCACCGAGATCGCCAAGGACATTGAAAACACCTTCTGCATGCAGATTCTGGCGCGTGGCAACAAGGTCCAGCGCCTCCATGCCATCCTGCACAAGCGTCCGGGCATTATTGCCATTTACGAGCCACTGAACCTGTACGTCCCGATCGCCGTCATCCGCCTGGTCGGCGCATTCGTCCGCCTGACTCAGGTGCCCGCGAGTGCCGATGAGCCAATCACCTCGTTTACCGTCGTTAGCAGCGCCCACACTGTCACCTTCAGCGACTTGCCGGCAGACCCTCCTTCGACCGACCCCAACTACATTGCCACGCCGCCGGCCTGCCGCGTCTGGTACCCCATCGTTTGCCAGACCATCCTCGAGCTCTCGCGGGAGCACGTCCAGAAGATGCACCAGACCGCCGCTCACCACGAGTTCCAGCACCACCAGTATGTGCAGAGCCAAACCCGGGCCGCGCCGTTGCCCCAGCAGCCCAACGCGCCGCGCGCATCTGTGGCCGCCGTCAAGCTGCCGGCTGTCGTGGCGCCTCGCCGCTTTAGCCATCGTCTCACCTCGTCGCTCTCGACTTCGTCCAGCAGCACCAGCGGTGTCGGCTCCGATCCCGCCACCCCTGGCGCTCCCGTGTCGCCCTCTCCCTCTTCTGGTGCGGAAGACGACGGCGTTCCCGCTGCCGAGAAGATTGCGCAAAAGGGCGTCATTAGCGGCTGGCTCCAGGTGGCTGCTGGTGCCAAGGGCACTGCTTTCTCCGAGCGCTTTTGCGTGCTCGAGTCGACCCCGACCTGCGTGCTGAACACGTACTCGAGTGCCAACCTCGAGACCGTGACCAGCACCATCGCTTTGGACACGGTCATTGTCGTGGCTGGCGGCAAGCCCAAGCGGCCCCAGTTCTCCATCATCAACGCCATGACGGATGCTGGCTCGGTGACTGTCCGTCCGAGCGAGCAGCACTCGCCCACTGCCAACCCCGCCATTGAGGACTGGCTGGAGGAGCTGTACAATGTCATTACCAACTCGCGCCCCGGCAAGGTCATCCCCACCTTGGCCCCTGCGGACGAGACGGTGGTGCAGATTGGCGCCGAGTTCAAGCCCGGCGATGAGGCCACCAGTGTCTCTACCGCCGCCATGCAGCTCGAGTCGTACACGTCGACGGTTGCCAACCTCAACATTGCCGGCGCCCGTGTTCACCGTGAAGCGTGGTTCTCGCACGAGCGCGCGGCACGCATTGTGGTCTCGTCGGCTCGGTGCTGCTGCGGCGGCCCGTCCTCGGAAATGCTCGTTAGCCAGGCCACCAAGCTCGCCTACACGCTGTCTCGCCGCTACCCCGGCAACCGCTTTATTGTGGTGCACGAGTACGACGCTCAGATGATTACGGACGGCATGTTTGCCAAGTACATGGTCGGCTCGATCTTTGTCTTCCGCTCGCTCGAGAGCAAGCGCGCAAACGCTACCTATCTCTCCGTGGCCGACGACTTTATTCACACGGCAGAGTTTGTGACCAGCGCGCAAAACCAGTTCAACATGCTCAAGAGCTTGCCGCTGAAGCGCAAGTTGGCCCTGCTGCCGAGGCGCGACGCCAACTGCCCGAGCGCCGAGGACTGGGCATTGGAGACTCGCGCGACCAGCCCCATTGGCCTTGTCTTCTCTGCCATTCTGTCGGATCTGGCTGATGAGCAGGCAGCTCTGCGCAATGCAAAGTGGGTTGGCGAGCTCAGCTCGTCGTACGTCAACACGCAGCTCGATGCTCTGCGCACCGTGCTCGATTTTGCCTACTTTGACGAGGGTGCCTGCGTGGCAGATGGCGCCGCCGAGCAGCTCATTGTGCAGTTGCTGGGCAGCATTCTCTTCCTTGCGAATGCCACCAAGAACTGGGCCGATCGCCTCCTGCCCCGTCGTCGCTCCACCCTCGTGGCCAAGCTCACCACCGACCTCGTCATCAAGGCTGCCAAGACCACCCTCTTCCGTCTCGGCAACGGCCAAGACGCGCGCAACCGTGCCTCTGCCGTGCAGCGTGCCTCCTCGACCATCCAAGCCGCAAACAAGCGCGCCAACCCCCAGCAGACTGCCGGTGATCTCTTGCACGAATTCTGCTTCCCTAGCTTTGCTGCCAGCGCCAGGCGTGACAACTTTGCCGCAGACTTTGCTGGCAAGCACCGCAAGTTCCGTCTGCACCACTACAAGACGGACAACCTCGTCATGTCCATGGAAGAGTTTGGCAGCCGCCGTATGAACGCCAACTTTGGCCGTCCCGTCATCGAGGAGCTCAACCTTTTCGAGACTCCCGAGCAGCGTGTCCGTGCTGTCGAGGCGTACATGGGTCGTGCCGACTAAAATAAAGCGGCAAAGGTTCGTGTGTTTGTGTGTGTGTTTGTGTTGTTTATTTGTTATTGTTTGTCAGCGAGTCGTTGCTGGTCAAATAGTGTTTCAGTGACTGTGTTTGTGAGATGACTTTGATGTTGGATCTTGAAAGTGAAATAAACTCTTAGAATTGTGAATTTCAGCTTCTCTCCGCTCTACTCGCGACCGCTGACAGAGCACAATCAGCCACAACCCTTCCTTTCCATTCTAGAGCTCGATTCATCACTGACTCGACCCGACATTGAGCTCGGGCGCGACTACATTTTGATCCTTTTTTGTTCGTTTTTGTTATTTCATCCTCTGTGGCCTCGTTCCGAATGAGCCAACCCTCCCCTTTTTTTTTCTTGTTTTCCTTCATGTTTCTTTTGTCTGTTTCTGAGATTCATCGAGCTCGAGCTCGGTGCGCATCGTCACTAGATAGCCTTACAGTATTCTCGTTTCTTTCGCACCTTTGTTCTCGTTTCTTCCATTCATTTTTTGTGTTTCATATTTTATTTTCTATTTTCTGAGCTTTGTCGCTTCTTCTTGTTTTGTTTTGCTCAGTCCACACATTGATCATTGTCGTTTTTGCAACATGGCTCAATCGATCGCTCAATACAAGCTTGCCATGAAGATGGGCTGGCGTCGCGCTCTCTCCCAACTGCTCCGGTACAGCAGCAACACTGATGTAGCGGCCCCTTCTTCCACATTCCCAAGCAGTCTACTCGGGGAGAGCGGGCGGGCGGGGGGGCCAGGTTGCGGCTGGGGGAGAGAGAGTAGAGACAGAGGCAATGGAAGAGAGGGGAGATCTTCACTCACTCACTTTCACGCACTCACTCACTCACTCACGCACTCACTTTCACCCGCTTGTCTGCCTATGTTCGTTTTGCTCCTTGGGTGCTACAGTGAGTCAGACATTCGCGGTGGTACGCTCGTCGGCGAGGATCAGTTTGGCAACAAGTACTATGAGCGACCAGACCATGTCTTTGGTAGGGAAGCTTGGAAACCATTTCATACGAAAGCGAAAGGAGAGCGAGTTCAAATTGTAGTGGATTTTGAGGAAGCGGCGGTTGGCGGGGTTGGCGGGGAAGAGAGGGATTGCGCATGTTCATACATTCAGCGAGAAGTCCAGACGAAAAGCGAACGAGCCCACTTGTCCCAGGATGTTGAAGTGTTGTCGATGCTACAAACACGAAACATGGCTCATCTATTATATGTATAGGCCTGAACCGCTGGGTCGACTACGCCAAGGAGAAACACTACTACTGCTACGATGGCAGCAAAATCCCACCGGAATGGTAGAACCTGTCATTGCGTCCTGTGTTTGTGCTGGGCTTGTGTTTGGCATTCTGCCAATTGTGACAAAGTGAGGAGCAGAGAGAGCCATGTGACTGAAATGCTTGCGGGTTTTCGTGTTTGTTTGTTTTGTTTTGTTTTTGTTTTTGTTGCAGGCATCGCTGGATTCACAACATGTGCCAGGAGCCGCCGCAGTCGGATCCAAAGATGCTCTATCGCCCCTTCTTCCAGGAGGCATACCAGCCAAACCCGACCGGCACAGCCAAGGCCTACATGCCATGGAGCACCACCAAGGCAAAGATCGAGGCCTGGGATCCAAACGCGCCTGCCAAGCAGTGAAACAGACTCGAAAATCCAGCAGTGCTTTTCGCGTTTCTCTCTTTAACTCTGTTTGTATGTCGTGATTTCCTTTTTTTTGTTCAAAGTAATACTACTCGGCCATTGTTTTGCATTCAGAATATTGCGAAACTGGCAGTCATCCACCTCCGCCAACCAACGCAGGTCAACAAACTGACTTTGCTCGGTGCTAATGGAGGGTCTCTGCGACTCCAGTGCACCTTGGGAGATGGGGAGGTTGTCTCGATCACTGAGCAACTCAAGTCTTGACCATTTTTCAATCATTTCGTAGTTTTCTCAATTGGTCAGACATAGCGCAAAATCACGTCCCTTGAAAGGCTTTGTTGTTTTTGTTTGTTTGTTTTTTTCGCTTTCTCAGACATGGTTTCTCGTTGGTATTCGTATTATGTTGTTTTATTTCTTCTTTTCTCAGACATGTCACTCTTGTTGTTCTCGTTCGCCGCGTCGATCTCGTCCTGCGACGGTCCCTGGCGAGCTCGGCATTCCCATTCCCACCATCAGCACGATGAGCCCTGTGCTCGAGTCGCGCATCCTTGCATCGCACGCATTGCTGGACGCTGCAGCGATCGGCGACCTCCACGCGCTCAGCCGCATCATCCTCGCGTCCACAGCACCACCACTCCAACCACCACTCCAACCACCACTCCAACCATCATCGTCAACATCATCCCAAGCACCACAAGCACCACAAGTGTCGCATGCAGCCTCATCGCAGGCAGGCACACCCGTCGAATCTGCGAGATCTCCACACATTCGACTCGTCGTCGCGCTTCCAGCACAGCAGCAGCAACAACAGAACTCCATCCCGAGCTACTTGCAGCGACCTCGTTCTGCTGCTGCTGCTGCTGCTGCTGCTGCTGCTGCGTCGGTCGAGTCGGTCGCAGTGGTCTGCTCGGAAGCCCTGCCTGTGATCCTCCGTCTCGCTGCGGCACTCGCGACCACCACTCCAGTGACCTCAACCACGGTCGCCAACAGCATAAACAGTAGTATTAGCAGTAGTCATAACAGTAATAGCAATGGCACGAATCATCATAGGCAGAGACACCGACCGCCATCCCCGCCAACGCCAATGGTCGCCCAGCCAAGGCTACATGGACAAGGAAGGCAGTCCAAGTCAACCATGATGATGGAACGGCCAGACAAGGCGGAAGCTCTGACGTCGAGTTCCGACGTTGCTGGATTATTGCAACAGCTCGTTGCTGCGACTTCACGAAATTCCACGCTCGCAATCGTGAGCTCGGGCCATGCATCGTCAAGCACATCGCTCGTACTCGCTCCAGAGCCAGTGCGCGCTATCCCTGCAGCAATAGCAGCGCCCACTCCAGAACCAAGATCTGCCACTCCGGTTCGTACTGTCACACCGCCCGTCACTCCGACGCCAATGTCTCCCAACGATACGCCGAATCTCCCTGCCGCCATCAACGGAGTGACTGCATTGCATGTGGCAGCCGCCACCAACCGACTTGCTATTATGAATGTGCTCTTGTCGCACGCGAAATGGCTCGCTGCAGAGCAAGACCAGTTTGGCAACACTCCACTCCACCTGGCCGCGGTTACTGGGCATCTTGCGGTGGTGGAGCGGTTGCTGCAGGAGTCTGGCACCAACATCAATGCTGCCAACGCCCTCGGCCGCACGGCGTTGCACTTTGCCGCCGCCAACGGCTGGCACATGCTCATTCCAGCCTTGCACCAACACGGCGCTCATCTCGACGCTCGCGATGGCAACCACCGAACGCCACTGTTTGTTGCGCTGCTCGCGGGTCAGACTGCCGTGGCCGAGCAGCTCATTGCGTGTGGTGCCGATGTCCACGCCTGCGACAATCTCGGAGCCACGCCGCTTCTGTACGCTGTGACGGGCCGGAGGCTGGAACCGCTCATCCAGCTGTTGTTGGACCGCGGTGCAGACACAAACGCAAAGGACATGCGCGGATTCACCCCGCTTTCAACCGCCGTGTCGAACAACCTGCCCGGCGCCGTTTCCCGCCTCCTGCAAGGCGGCGCCAATCCAAACTTACCCGGTCATATGGGTCGTACTGCACTCAACCGTGCGTGCACTTTGGGCCAAGTGGAGATTGCACATGCGCTCCTTGAAGCAGGGGCAAACCCGGCGATTGCCAGTGACGCTGGCGAAACCCCTCTCCATGCTGCGGCGCTCAATGGCTCGATTCCGCTTGTGGAAGCGCTGCTTCGGCACGGAGCCCCGCTTGATTGCTTGGCCGCGAACGGTAAATCGCCGTTGCACATGGCTTGCATCAATGAGAACGGCTCGCCTGTGGTCTCGCTGCTGGTCGAAGCAGGGGCAAACGTCAACGCTGTGACACGTGATGGCGAAACACCGCTTGCTATTGCCGCCTCGAATGGATGCCGTGCAACGGTTGATCGACTCTTGAAGGCCGACACCATTCGGCTTGATGCGTTCGCGCGGAATGGATGCACGGCGTTGCATCTCGCCCTCTTGCATCGGCACGAGTTTATCGCCTTGTCCTTGATCAACGCCGGCGCTGGCATTGACTTTCCCGACTCGAATGGCCTTCTCCCTCTGCACCATGCCGCCGCGGCTGGATTTCACCGTGCAGTGACCCTTTTGACAACCCGCTCCAACAACGCCGATATCAACACCCGCGACAGGCTTCATGGCTGGACGCCGCTGCTCCATTCGGCCAAGTGCGAGTCCGACAAGCCTCTCAAGATGCTGCTGTTTGCACCAGGCGTAGACCGACACGTGCGAGATGCGCAGGGGCACGATGCGCTCTTCATTGCTTCGCAGCACGGCCGCCACCAACACGTGCGACAACTCTTGTCGCAGGGGTTTCGCCCAGACTCGCCTGCGTCAACCACAGGGTTTAATGCTCTGCACATTGCTGTTCTTCACAACCATCTTGACGTGCTGAATGAGCTGCTGGTGCGCAAACCCCGACTCGACTTGAAGACGGACGCCGGTGCAACTCCCCTGCACATTGCAGCACACTCGCGGTCTGTGAATGCGGTCGCCTCACTGCTTTCTGCTGCCGCGGGCCAGCAGAAATCCAGCTCAAACCCTGTGCTTCCAGAGCTGGTCGATGCGGTCGACGCGACGGGATGTACTGCCCTTCACTACAGCTGCTTTTTTGGGCAAGAGCGTGCAGCAGCCTTGTTGCTGGAGTACGGTGCAAGCGTTCATTTGGTCAACAGCAAGCAGCAATCCGTGCTGCACAGTGCATGCCGCGCCTTGGATGCCGCCGCGTGCAGTCCCAAGGGGTCGTCGGCGCCAGCAGTGTCTGAACGGGATGTGCTCCGCATCATTGTCCTACTCATCTCGGCAGGTGTCGACTACGCAGCCAAGGATGTGTATCAGAAAACAGCATTCGACTACTGCGACCCTGCCTTTGTGCGCGATCGGCTGGGCCCTGCTCTTCAAGAGCTGCAAGAGTCTCAATCTCGAACCGACAAGACCGAGTTTGAGATGCAGCCGCAATCACCGGAAAGTTTCTCGGCAGCACCAGCATTTTCATCGCTTCCTCATCACACCAGCAGCGGCAGCGGCAGCAGCAGCAGCAGCGCTTCACCGCTGGTAGTGTCGTATCGCCACTTTTCCACGACTGCGGCGTCGCGCGGGGCTCACGCGTTGAACTTTGACTTGTTAGCTACCCACAAGGCGTCACCAGCAAGGCATCAGTTTCTTCATCCGCGCGGGCGGTCGGCTGCAGTGTCGAGCCCAGCCGAGTCGGTGTTGTCCTTGGCTGCTCCAAGCACCAGCGGCCCCACGTCCCTCCCGCTTGCAACCTGCCACACACTCGTTCGCGCTTTTGGCAGCAGTGCGCTTCGTGCTGCTGCCTCGCACATGCTGCCAACACGGCAAGATAGCATTTTGCGCAAGCTCGACTTTCCGACCTCGATCGTGCTCCTGTCCTTCCTCACTCCCGCTCGCTACAAGTCCTATGGCTGGGCCATGCAGGTGCTTCGCAGCCGTCGTTGAATTTGTGGCCGAGTGTGTGTGTGTGTCGCATCATCTTCTTCTTCTTTTACAGCTCTTTCTTTTAAGTTATTGATGGAGAATACATTACTTGCTCCTTTTTTTTCTTTTTTTTTTCTTTTTTCCCCATCCGCTGCAGTATTTCCTCTGACTCTAAACCACTTGAACAGTTCCTCAGAGTCATCGCAGACGCTTCCACGCCCCAGTCATCACATCGCATCATTCCGGTAAGGAATCAAAAAGTGGTTGCTTCACGCTTGCAGTCCCCTCCGGTCAACCCACTGAACAGTCCGTTCCTCATAGTCATACCAAACTCTTCCATCATCACATCATACTGTATCGTCCATCACTGATGGATTTTGATTCTGATCCCAGTCTTTCTTTTTTCTTTTTTGAGCTTGTACAAGTATGGCAACCACTCCGACAAAGACGGAAGCGCCGCCGCTGCGCCCGACGCTTGGCAGCAAGCAGATCTCGCTGCGAGGCATCCCGAAGCTCGAGAATGTGGACGAGATCAAGGCGACGTTCATCCGCCACGTCCACGCCGATCTCGCCAAGGATCGCAACGTCGCGACGACCAACGACTACTACCTCGCTCTTGCGCATACGGTGCGTGACCACGTCGTCTCAAAGTGGATTCGCACCCAGCAGACGTACTACAACACCGATCCCAAGGTAACCCCGATGAGCAAATCAAGTCGGTTTTTTTTGTGCCTTGAACAGCAATCATTCAACAGCCGGCTGATCAGGGGGCGGGGAAGCGGGGGGGGGGGAAAGTAGGAGAGAGAAAGAGACAAAGTGAGAGGGACGTCTTGTCGCCCTCAAAAAAAAAAAAAAAGAAAAAAAAAAAAAAGTCGCTTCTCTTCTTTGATCTGTGTTGGGGTTTTTTCGAAAGTGAGAGGGAGGAGGCGGGGGGGGGGGGTTTCGATTTCCACGCTCTTTCTGATTCAAGACGAGCCTTTTGCCTCATGTCCGCCTTGGAGAGGTCGTCGCTCCGCTTGGCTGCCTTTTGGAACAGTGAGAATCCATTGCAAACAACACATCCTTTTTTTTTTTTTTTTTTTTTTGGAAGTGTTCCACAGTGATGAACTGCAGATCGCCGTTGCGTTTGCACTCGCGTTTGCTTCGATGAGATGCGTCATCATCAGTGCGATTGCGTATCTGTGATTCTGCTGTGGGGGTTGGGTTTGGATGTGTGTCTTGTGCATGTAAAGTTACAAAAAAAAAAAAAAAAAAAAAACACGGAAAAAATGGCGAATTTTTAAAATTGAGGGGGTTTTTTGGTTGTGCTCTTTTGTTTTGTTGGGTCGATCAGTGAACTTTGAGTAAGATTCGCTGGCCTGGAACGACCGAATCACTTACTGTCGTAATTGGTTGTGTTTGTATTTTGCGAAAACCAGCGCGTGTACTACCTGTCGCTCGAGTACTACATGGGTCGCTCGCTGTGCAACACGATGGTCAACCTCGGCATTGCCACCGAGTCCGAAGAAGCCATGTACCAAGTACGTCGCCATTCCACCGCAGTCGAAGCCATCCATCCCTGCGTGTCATCGATTGCTCACTCACTCACTCACTCACTGCGGTTGGCTTGCGTTCTGGTTCCATTCCATGTGTATCTGCACAATAGCTTGGTCTCAACATTGAGGAGATGGAGGAATCCGAGGAAGACGCTGGTCTCGGCAACGGCGGCCTCGGTCGTCTCGCTGGTAAGTGAACCCACAAAAAAAAAAAAAAAAATCCGTCGTTTTTCCATTGGCACTTTGCACGCTAGCTTTCTCAAACTCACACACTGGGTATACCCCCCCCCCCAAAAAAAAATGGTATCATCACCTGAATCCTGGATCCAAAACTCTAGCTTGTTTCTTGGATTCGATGGCAACGCTCAACCTCCCGGCCTACGGATATGGCATCCGCTACGAGTATGGCATTTTCAAGCAGCAAATCCGCGACGGCTACCAGGTCGAGCTGCCCGACTCGTGGCTCAAGCGCGGAAATCCGTGGGAGATTGCCCGCCCAGAGTACATGCTGCCCGTCCAGTTCTACGGCCGCAGCGAGCTCGGCCCGGACGGCAAGCACAAGTGGGTTGGCACCCAAACGGTCATGGCGCTGCCGTACGACAGCCCCATTCCCGGCTACAAGACCAACACGGTCAACACGATGCGTCTGTGGTCTGCTCGCTCTCCGAACGACTTTGACCTGTCCTACTGTGAGTTTGTCCGAGCTAGAGAGTCAGAGAAACGATCATGTTTGTAGCGCGCTTGCCTTTCTCACTCGCGCCTTTTTGTCAACACAACAGTCAACCATGGCGACTACATCAAGGCCGTCATTGATCGCAACCTTGCCGAGAATATCTCTCGTGTCTTGTACCCCAACGACAATGTAAGGACCTCGCTCAAAGCATCTTCTACCTCGAGTCACACTCCAACTCACAACCTACTCCCTCCATACCACAACAGTTCTTCGAGGGAAAGGAGCTCCGCCTCAAGCAAGAGTACTTTATGGTCTCGGCCACCCTGCAAGACATTGTGCGTCGCTACAAGGCGGCCACCTTTGGCAGCCGAGAGCTTTCGCGCAAGAGCTTTGACCTCTTCCCGGAGAAGGTCGCCATCCAGTTGAACGACACCCATCCCTCGTTGGCCATTCCCGAGCTGATGCGCATCCTGGTCGATCTCGAAGGCTGCACGTGGGAGTACGCGTGGAAGATTTGCACGGCAACTTTTGGCTACACCAACCACACTGTGCTGCCCGAGGCGCTGGAGCGCTGGCACGTGTCCATGCTCGAGACGCTGCTGCCGCGTCACTGCAGATCATCTACGACATCATTACTTCCACCTGCAGGGTGTCGCGCTTCGCTTCCCGGGCGACCACGACCGGCTGCGTCGCATGTCGCTGATTGAGGAGGACGGCGACAAGCGTGTCAACATGGCCAATCTCTCGATTGTCAACATGGCCAATCTCTCGATTGTCGGCTCGCATGCCATCAACGGTGTGGCGCGCATTCACACTGAAATTATCAAGAACTCGATGTGCGGTTTTTTTTTTCGCTTCTTGCGATGTCGTTCTCTGTGTCGTTTTGTCTTTCGTGTGTGCTCACAACGTTTCTCTCCTTTTTGTTCTCCTTTTTGCTGTTGTTGTCCTTGTTGTTCTTGTTGTTCTTGTTCTTGTTCCTTGACAGCTTCCGAGACTTTTTCGAGTTCACTCCCGAAAAGTTCCAAAACAAGACCAACGGCATCACGCCGCGCCGTTGGCTGCTCGTGTCGAACGCTGCACTTGCAGACCTCATTACCGAACGCATTGGCGAAAAGTGGTCGTTGGATTTGCGACATTTGCACAAGCTGGAGCAGTATGCCGACGATCCAGATCTGCAGCGCGCCTTCTTTGACGTCAAGCAGAGCAACAAGCAGCGCCTCGCCACCTTGATCAAGGAGCAGTACAAGATTGAGATCAACGTCGACTCGATCTTTGACTGCCACGTCAAGCGCATCCACGAGTACAAGCGCCAGTTGTTGAACGCGCTCCACATTATCACCTTGTACAACCGCATCAAGGAAAACCCGAGCGGCGACTTTGTGCCCCGCACCGTCTTTATCGGTGGCAAGGCAGCGCCCGGTTACTACATGGCAAAGATGATTATCAAGCTCATCTGCTCCATCGCCGAGGTGGTCAACAACGACCCGATTGTCGGCAACCGACTCAAGGTGGTCTTCCTCGAAAACTACCGCGTCTCTCTGGCCGAGCGCGTCATTCCCGCGACAGACTTGTCCGAGCAAATCTCGACCGCCGGTACCGAGGCCTCGGGCACTGGCAACATGAAGTTTATGCTGAACGGCGCGCTCACGATCGGCACGATGGACGGCGCCAACGTTGAAATGTCCGAGGAAGTCGGCGCTGAAAACATGTTCATCTTTGGTCTGAATGTAGATGAAGTCGAAGCCCTCGCCAAGGCCGGATACGATCCGAACAAGTACTACCACGCCAACCGCGAGCTCAAGCATGCGCTCGACCAGATTGGCAACGGCTACTTTTCTGCCACCAACCGCGATTTGTTTGTGCATGTTGTGGATTCGCTTCTCAAGCATGGCGATCGGTAAGGCGAAGAAGTGTGTGTGTGTGTGTGGGGGGGTCTGGTGCGCAAGTTGTGATTCCGTACGACTCACCTTCGTTTTCTCTTCCTACGACCCGACACACACAAAAAAAAAATCGCCGATCAGTTACATGCTGCTCGCCGACTACGCCTCGTATGTCGAGACGCAGGATCGTGTGGCAGTCGAGTTCCGCAACCGCAAGCTCTGGATGCGCAAGTGCATCCTGAACGTGGCTGCCTCTGGCAAATTCTCGTCCGATCGTACCATTCAGGAATACGCCGCGGACATCTGGAAGGCCGAGCCCGTCAATGTTGTTCTTTGAACAGGTGCTGACGGCTTGGCGGTGTCTTTGTTTCCATTTTTGCGCGAACTCGCGCCCATCTCTGTTGTTTGTTTGTTCACCAGCCCAGTACAAACTCGAGTCTTGGTCCACCTCTCGCACAGACCAAATTGCCAACACGCTGCGGGACTCCCTTCTATTTCTTTCAGTTTGGCTGATGTGTTCGTGTCGTGATTTTCCTTTATCGTGTTGTTTGACTGGATGCATGCTCGAATTCCAAAACAAAAGTAACGTTCATGAACGGACAGTCGACAGAGACGCGAGAACATTCAGACAACAAACGAAGGCAGACAGATAGACTGGCACAGCAAAACGGACAGAGCGGGAGTATCAACTGCGATGACGCTCACGCAATGCAAACAAAGCAAGACCAAGCACAAGAGAGCACCACAACAAGCAACCAGTCTTCCAGACAGACAGAATGAGCAACGAGTACAGAAACACGACAAAAAAGAGATCGTCCTACTGTAATCCTCGTTTTGGAAAGGACGCCGCCACTCTTTGTTTTTTGGTCAAGTTTCTGAGAAAACAACAACAAACAGAAACCTCACAAAGCCAAACGGCAGTAACTAGATCTGCCTGCCGAAGCCCCGATCAGTTGAGCTGTTGGTTGAAGTGCAACGGTCGACCCAATGAGTCTGAGCGTATTCGAAACAGCAGAGCAAGCGGCAGCCGCAGCTGGAATGCACTCACAAGTCTTCTCTGCTCCTTCAGCAGCAGCAGCCGCGGCTGTGAGTGCTGATTAAAAGATGATGAGCAAGCTTTGTCGTATCGTTGTTGCAGTTGCAGAGCGATGCTACGCCTTTGGCCTGCTTCTCAGTCGTTTGACTTTTGTTCTGACTTCTTGTGCTTGGGGGCCCTTCCCCTCCCAAACACCCTCGTCTCCTCGCTCGATGCAGATCAATCAAGCCATGTCACAGGAGCCTATCGAGAGGCCTTCAGCCCACGGAAGCACTGGTGGCTTGAAGTGAGGAGCGCAACATGAAATGCGAGCTGCTGTCTCGAGACCGCTTGCTCACACTTCACTCACTCGTCGCCAACATCATCTTGTGACGATTGTCATGCTCGCAACAGAATGAACAAGAGGCACCTCAAATGGCTCGAGGGAGTCAAATACGACGAAACCCAGCTCTAGTAACCAATTCACTCACTGTCAGCATCAACCGACCGACTCGTCGGAAGCACTCAGTTCTGCTCACTGATCATTGAAACAGTCTTTCTGGACGTCATATTGTTGATGAGGACATGCCCGTCATCATCCAAGCGCTGTGGCTCAATCCAGAGATCACGATTGTCCAGTGAGTCGTACTAGCGAACTGCACGTTGTGCCGCATCCCTCACACAAACTCATACAATACCCGACAGTCTGGGTGACAACAATTTGGGAACTGCTGGAGTGGTCCAGCTTATGGAGGTGCTCAAGGACCTTGAAGCCGTGACCAAGCTGAGGTGAGTGTAGTTTCATGCATTCGCTTGATCGTTCCACTTGCCAAAACCAAGCATACACTCATTCCCCTTGCATGTATCGATAGTCTAAACGACAACGCCCTGGATGTCGATAGTGCTCGTGCGATTGCCGACATGCTGAAAGTCAGGACCAGTTACGTTCGGCTCTTGTAAGAAACCTCCGGGATGGCCGAGAAGGCGGTTGCAACACTGAAACTCATCGAGAGCAACCAAAACGGATAGTTTGCCACGCAATGACTTTGGTGTAGCAGGCGTGCAAGCCATCGCCGAAGCCCTCAAACTGAACAAGACGTTGACTTTTTTGGAGTAAGGTTTCGCAAGTAGACACGACACGTTGTAATCGAAGGCCAATTACTCATCAATAATCAATATATCGCTCTCTTGTGCAGCCTTGGTTGCAATGCTATTGGGGACGACGGTACAATCTCGCTCGTCCATGCGTTGCGTGGTCACCCAACGCTTAAATCTTTGATGTGAGTGTTTGGCAGTGACATGTTTCCAAGCAATGTTTGGTTGTATTTCTATCAATCGATGTGGGCTGACAATCGTGGCAGTTTGCTTCAAAACGAGATTAGTGACGCAGGAGTGATCGTCCTGGCTGATTTACTCAAACAAAACAAGTCACTCACAAGCCTGATGTGGGTGTTTGGACATCTTTGCTTGCTGTTTCTCGACTTTTAGTTTTGAGCTAACCATCGCGGCAGTTTGTCTGAAAACGAGATTGGTGACGCAGGAGCGATCGCCTTGGCTGATATGTTCAAACACAACAAGTCACTCACGAACCTGAAGTGAGTGGTTCGACGGTTTTGCTGCGGTACCTACCGTTGAACTAACGCGCGACAATTGTAGATTGGGCAAGAACAAGATCACTGAAGTCGGGGCGCGCGCCTTCTCAAAGGCTCTGGAGAATGTTCCATCCAACGAACTCAAGTATATTGAGTAAGCAAGTGCTTGCTCCTTGTTCTTGACCATCGCTCTCTTTGGACGTCTTGTTTCGCTGCGCTGACACTGTTCTAGGCTGTCATACAATATCATTGGCATTTCCGAACAAGAGGCGAAAACAAAATTCGGTCATCGGTGAGGCCAGCCTTTTGCGCAGAAGCGAATATTGAAATCTCACTTTCACTCACCGAACGCCGGAGACATCAGCTTCTTCATTGACGTGCAACGAGATCCTGCGACCATTTACCCGCCTCTTCGCCCCGAGTTGTCGCCCCTGATTCCTGAAGGTGCGAGCACACAGACACCAAGGGGCTCGATTCTCGTATTGCACGCCGTCGACTTACTTTTTGTGATCTCCAAACATGTAGATGTGCGACAGAACCTGACGCCGGTGCAACGCAAGCTGCTTGAGAGCCTCATGGAAGCAGGCGATACATTTGCGTACGACCTCGTTTTGATGTTCATGGTCGTTGGGAAAGTGCAACTGTTGTTGATGGCTGTCACTCAAAGAGCTGCAAACTATATGTGAATGGTGTCTCAGACCCCGACTGAGAGTGTTTGACGACGCCACTGCTCGTGTGTTTGCCGAAGGTCTCAAAGTCAACACGACCCGAACCAAGCTCGAGTTCGTGTCCTACTGCGTGACTGTGGCTGTTGTGCGTGTCGATATTATCGCGCTGTGTTGTTCTCACGACTTTTTGTGCTTTGTTTGTCGTTTCAGTCTCATGGGCACTCGCTTCACTGCCACTGGCCTGGCCAGCCTGGCTGAGGCCATTGGAGTGAACAAGACTCTCACCGAATTGGAGTACAGCATGAAAATTATGGAGCGGATATCGTTGAGATTTTGGATTTTCGCTTGCATTGTCATTCTTCGTCCTTCACTGACGATACTCAAAACATGTGCTGTATTGTACGCGAACCAGCATGACCAACATGAACATTGACGACACGCTTGCACTCTCGGTCGCCACAATCCTTCAGACGACCACTTCTCTGACTGAAATCCGGCAAGTTTCGTGCTGTTGTTGATTCGAGTATCTGTGAATTCTTGCTGTTCTCAATTGTTTGCTCACGCCATCCTTCCTCTGATAGTTTGATCGACAACCAGATCGGGCATGTAGGTGCGCAAGCGATTGGGCAAGCTCTGCCTCATTTGAAAGTGCCCCACCTCCTGAAGTAAGCTAAGGGATAGTGCGCAGATTGCAGCTGGAGCTGGGCCTGCGACGCTGATTTTCAACTCATCATCACTTAGTTTGTCGGGAAACCCGCTTGGCGACTTGGGCGCTGCCGCCATTGCTGAGGGTCTGAAAGAAAACACGGCTCTTTGGCGCATCGAGTACGATATATCGTTCACCGTTTGTAGGTTGATGTGGGCGAGATCGCCACTTACACAAACTACACGTATAGACTGAATGATGCCGAGATTGGTGATTCGGGCGCAATTGCTCTTGCGGAGGCTCTGAAAATCAACCTCAAGACGCTGTCCATCATGAGGTATGCTTTGGCTCTTGTTGATAATCCTGTCCTATTTTCCGTTTGTTTCTGTTCTGACTGGATGACATTGCTCGTGCGACATTGGATCCCATCGTGTGATTGAATCGCAGCTTGGACCAGAACCACATCACGGAAGAGGGTGTCTCCGGCCTGTTGGACGCTCTGAGAGTTCACCAAAAGCTGTGGTGTTTGAAGTGAGTGTGGATCAAGTTTCACTGCTGTTTGATCCCAATAAGCCAACACTCATCTTTTGAAATTATCGCAGCCTGGAGGAAAACCCGTTCAGCGAGGAGGTGCTGAAGGCGTTTATTGCCCGGCCGATTGGAGACAAGCGGTTGTGGTTTGTGCCTGATCGGTATTATACTCAGACCCATGTCGGTGCTGGTTGTTGCGAGGAGTGGTTGTTCTCACAAGTCTCCTTCTTGCGCTTCTAGTGCCTCCAACAGGTGGAAAAGTCTTGTCCGACAATGGAATTTTGCTGCTCAACCCCAAGCACTTACCTCACCGCCGGCGCTTCCAATCGGCAATCGACTTGCTTCTTTTGGCAGCTCTGACCACGTGATGGTGGACCCCCGAGCACTCCTCACTTGCTGCAGCTCCTTCGGCTGACGAACCACTCGGCTCGGTGTTTGCTGTGGCACTGACGCGATTCCGGCGGACGGCACGCTCGCTCGGCAACTACGTCTTTTCGTTTGTCTGGCGCTCCGATGATCAACGTAAGTGCCACCATGTCATCAACCAAGCGCGATGCACGATTGGCTTACCTTCCGACGCTCCGATTTCGGAGCAGGTGCTTTCTATGAAGCCTTGACTCCTGAGCAGCGGTTCATTTACGACCTGATTAAGAATGGAGACAACCCTGGCACTGGCCAACCTGGCTATGTTTCGTAAGATGAAAACTTCTGCTGATGACGCATGTCACGAAAGTGTTTCTCAGTACTGCGCGAGTTGCCGGTTTGATTTTTTTTTTCGTTTGCTTTGACCACCGACATACAGACTGAGTCAGATGCGCATTGGCAATGAAGGCGCGCTGACCGTTGCGGCTGCACTCAAAGTGAACATGAACGTGACGAAGCTCGAGTGAGTGTGCTTTGTGGCGTGTGGACTGGAAGAGCGCGTTTCAGTTTTGACTCATTTTAAGGACACAGTTTGTACCAAAACGGTATCGAAGCGGAGGGAGCCAAGGCCCTTGCTGAGGCGCTCAAAGTGAACAACACGCTGGGAGAGCTGTGGCAAGGCTTTCTGCTTTTTGGTAGAGTTAACTGAACAATGTGCAGGTTTTACTGACGATTGATTTTGGTTGGGCGACAGGCTTTCCGACAACAACATTGACGATGAAGGCGCGATCGCGATTGCAGAAGCGCTCAGGGTGAACACTGGTCTGGTCAAGTTGTTGTATGCGAAGCGATACTGAGGTTGAGGAAAGCGTGCAGTCCGTTGATTCCTTGGTCCTCACCCCACAAGAATGATCTTGCATGACAGCATGGGCGACAACCGCGTGGAAGATGCAGGTGCGATCGCTATTGCAGCGGCCATCCGTTGCAACAAGTCCTTGCGTGTGCTGATGTAAGTGCGAGCTGCTCTGTGCAAGGGAACGTATTGCTAACTCTGGAGGTTATGGTGCTAGCTTGAGCAACATTTGTGACCCCTCCTGGATTCGGGTTCAAGGCTGGACGGCACTGCAACAGGCTGAGCTTGCGAGCGGTGGTCGCCTTCGACTCGCAAAGAGCAAGTAAGTGGGACACTGTCCGGTTTGTTCATGTTTTGGTGTTGTGGTTGGCATTCTCCTTTGAAGCTGATGGGATTCTGTTGTTGTGCATCCATTCAGCTGGGATTTGATTCCTGCCGACGAACTGCGCAAAATGTAGGACAAATGTAGGACGACGGCGGTATCGTCTCGGTTTGTTTGAATGGGCGAACTTAATCTGGTCGATGTGTTCGTTTCGTGATTGTCTTTTGTCGTGTTGTTTGAATGAATGCATGCTCGAATTCCAAATGAAGAAACGTTCATGAACGGACAGTCGACAGAGACGCGAACATTATGACAACGAGCAAAGCAGGACGGAACAACCGAAACCAGACACACACACACACACACACACACACACACACACACACACACACGTGCAGCGATGGCAGTATCGCATTCGTCTTCGAAGCAAAGCGCCGTGCCCAGAAGGTAGGGGAGAGAATTGGAGAACGGAAAACAAAAGAACTTTGAATTTTGCGCCTCTTTTCACGATCGCCCCTCGGGTGCCCTGTGTGAAGTATCGGCCAGGCAAACTCCGCACATTGCTCTCGAGGAGAAGACGCGAAAGAGATGAATAAAATCCACAGACCGGCATGCTTACGTTGAGAGTGCAACAACCGACGCAACAAAGAAGGGCGACCTCACTCTTTCCTAAATTGTAACTCGTTTCCCGCCGAGACTTCCTCTACCACGATACACTTTGACCGAGTGATCCTTCAATCAAGCTGTTTCGGCTCTCTTCAGAAAATAAATGAGAATTGAGTGGGAGACAAAGGGCTCAAAATCACAACAAATCACAATGGTTTTGAGTGGCTTTAGGGGTGATGCAGCTGCTATGTGGGGATGATGTGTCTTTCTGTTCTTGACGTTGTTCTTGATGTTGTTCTTGTCGTTCCTTCTCTTCGCTTTTGGTCGGTTGTATGAATGTATGAATTAAGAGTGCAAGTCAGTCTTTTTTTTTTTTTTTTTTTCTGACCGTTTCTTCCCTCCCTTTCACCCCATCCATTTTCTTTCACTCATGAGCACAAGTAGCAGTGGCAGTGGCAGCAGTAGTAGCGGGGCAAAGCGACCTGCTGAATCCGACCTCGCTGAGCTGCCGTCCGCCAAACGCCTCGCTGTCGACCTCGCTGCTGCTGCCGGTGGTGGATCGTCCCCGTCCATCCACAGCCCGGCCTCGAGCAACGCTGCTCCTCTGGGCGAACACGCCCATCCGCTCTCATCTGCCGCTGCATCCGCCAGCCAAGACGCAGCCGATGAGGAACAAGTACGAAAAAACCTGAACCCCGTTTTTTTTTTTTTGACCACTTTTTGTATGGGATTTGCATTGCGCTCTTTTTTTTTTTTTTTTTTTTTTTTCGCTGGGCTTTCCATCAGCGGCGCCGCTGTTCGGACTGCTTGCTTGTTCGAGCCCTTCTTTCGTTCCTGAGGTCATGTGGTCTCTCTCTCTCTCTCTCTCTCTCTCTCTCTCTCTCTCTCTCTCTCTCTCTCTCTCTCTCTCTCTCTCTCTCTCTCTCTCTCTCTCTCTCTCTCTCTCTCTCTCTCTCTCTCTCTCTCTGCCTGTCCGGTCTTGATGGGCGACCTGAGCTGGATCAACGAGCGAAAAGCGTCGCGAGCGAGATCTCTTCGCTTTTGCCTTGTGAAGCCGCCTTACCACCCAGTCCCAAAGCGTGATGGGCGTTTCGGTGCAAGTGCACTGCTTTGAGCATGGGTTGAGCTTGCTGACGACCGTGGGTTTTGCGGATGCTCGAACGCGACACGTTGAACCCTGACTACTCGCTCCCAATGCTGTTCTGCTGCGATGACGACGGATCACTCAGCTCGGCCAAGTGCACTCACTCGTTTGTTTCTCTCGCTCTGTTGCTCTTTTGCCCTTGTTCGTTGTTGCAGACGGGTGGCTTCCAAGCAGGAATCGTCAAGACCCAACTCGCACACTTGCGCCGACAGTTTGCTGTCGTCAAGTCGGAAGCAGAGACGACGCGTGCGCGCGTTACACAGCTGACTAGTCAGCGCAATCAGGATGCTCTGGTTGCAGATGAAGTCATGCGCCAATGGACACAGGTTTGTACATGGGAGTGTGACGTGATTCTTGTTGCTTTGACCCAGTGTTTTGAAACGAGCTCTCATTCCTCACTCCATCGTGATGGCTGTGCTGCTCACAGGTCCAAGACGAGATGACCAGCACGCTGATGAGCATTGATCCCGTCAGTGGCTTGCAAGAGCATGCGCAATTTGGTATGTACTCTTTCGTCTGCGCTTTGAACTACGAAATTCATTTCATTATCCTGCCACTCACCTTTTCCACCTGCTTTACGCTACCTCTCTATCCACCTCGACAGTCGCGCAGCCGTATTCAACCGGGTTGGCAGCACACGTTGCAGAGCTCAATAGTCAAACAACGCCAACACTGGCAGACACGGCGTGGTTCCTCCGCGTTCGCGACACGACACAGGCGCGAGCGCAGCAACTGCGTAGCGTGATTGCCAAGTTGGCCGTGTCGATTGACCAGCAGCGAGCAGTCATTCACGGTCTAACGCAGCAACGCAACGAGCTGATGAGCAACTCGGCGGCCCTGTCGCCTGTTGCCGCGACCGTTGCCCAGGAAAATGCCCAGCAGCAAACCAAGCTGCACGATCTGCAGAATGCCCTTGCCGCACTGCAACAGGAGCTCTTCCAACGCAGTAACGACCTCGCAAGTCAAGCTGCAACCGTCGACCTCAAGGCGTCGCTCGCCGCTTCTCAGCACGAGATTGAACTGCTCAACGACGAGTTGCGGTCTGCTCAGCGCAAATCCCTCAAGTTGGAAGAGGAAGTACGCGAGTACCGAGAGGCGCGCTCAACGAACGCGGCGACATCTTCGTTGGCAGCATCCACATCAGCGTTGCTGGCAGCAGCCACTGCTGCGACTGATCCATCAACTGGTCCCTCAACCCCTCTGACTGCGCCCCCGACGCTTCTCCCCGCTACCTCTACCGAAGGAGGCTCAGCATCCTCCTCAAACCCTGCCGAAGTTGAGGCATTGCAACGACAAGTAGCTGCGCTCCTCAAGACCATGCAAGACCACCATGCGGCATTCGACACACACCGTGACGAAAAGTCGCGACTCCTCAAGGAGGTGCAAGCATTGAAGCAACAGGTAGGATGAGTCTGCTTTGACTTGATGTTTTTTTTTTTTGTTTCGTTGCGTCATTTCGCGCTTTGTGTGTGCTCATCTTTTTCTTTTAACATCCCATACGACAGCTTTCCTTCCTCCCTGATGCGGTGATCGCAGGCCACCCCATGTACAAACAACTCAAAGTGCAGTGCGATACTGCTGTGAAAGAGCTGATGGACGCGCGCGTTCTGATGGACATGCTGCAACGCGAACACTTCAAGCTCATGCAGGCTCGAAGGGTTGAACTAGAGCAAATTGAGCTGGCTGAAGTGGCACGGCGTAACGGCTATGTGGAGGAGTTGCGGCGGCTGGAAGATCACTATGCCAAGGTCAAAAACGAGTATGACAAGCTCCTCTACCGCCAGGAGAAGAAGACCTTGAGCGAAACGACCATCCAATCTAGCACTGCCAATCAAGAAATGCGTGAGCTCATCCAGTCGCTGCAGAGTCAAAACACGTTGTTGAAATCGGAGGTGGCGCGAAACCGCTCCAAGGCCGACGATTTGCGTGTCGCCCTCGCGAAATTGAACCCGAACGATCCGTTGGTTCAGCAAGCAATGGCGGCAGCTGCCGAGCAAGACTCTGCATCTGGCGGTGCAAGCACCTCCAGTGGCAGCAACAGCGGCGCCAACTCTGAAGCGGTTGCCACCATCAAGCAATTGCGCGAAGATTTGAAGTGAGTGTGATTGGTTTTGCATTGTTGAATCATTGATTCATTGATTGATTTTGAATGTCATTCTGGTGGATGGTTTGGAGATTTGCGGGAATTCTCATGGGGTGCTCTTTTTTTTTTTTTTTTTTTCTTAAGCACAAGAAAACGAAAAAGAGGCTGTCATGCTGCTCAATGTCTACAAGTCGTCTTCTCGCGAGCCACGAGATAAAGTTGATGTGAGTGGACTTTTTATTTTTGCGGAACGCGGTTTTGCTGCTTCTCTGCTTGTCGACTGACTTTGATGCTGTGTGTCGTTCTTCCCCCAAATAGGTGCTGGCAGCGGAACGGAGAACGGCTGCTGAAAATACCGAACTGCGCGCGCGTTTGAGCGAGTTGGAAAAGCTCACTCAGGGAGGCGATGTGGGAACTGCATTCCGCGTTTCTCGCCAGCAGGTGGAGGAACTGTCCCGTCAGTTGGATTCAAAGAAGCAGGTCGGTCGCGCTGCGTTCAATTGCTTTTTTGGGGGTGGGGGGGTATCTTTGGCTTGATATTTTATGAGGGCTTTGGGTCTCACCTTGCCTCGTTGGTGTTTGATAGGATGAAGACGCTCTAATCGCCGAGATGGACTCAATCGGCCAGTCCTTCCAAGATATGCAAGAGCAGAACTCGCGATTGCTCCAACAGCTCAATGAAAAGGACGATGCCAATTTCCAATTGATGTCTGAGGTGTGGTCTGTGTGTATTGGTAGAATTGGGGAAAAACGGCAAAGTTGTTGCTTGTGCTTACAGCCGGTGTTTTGATCGCCTCTCGATTGAAATTGTACAGCGCTTGAAGGCATCACAATTGCAGCAAATGCTGCGCGATGAGAAAGACATTATCGAGGGCAAAATGGCGGCCATGCAAGCTCAAGTGGAGGCCCAAAACGAGTTGTTGAAAAAGTTTGAGGAGCGCGAACGTGCCATTCATGAACAACTCGTGAGTATTCGGGGTTTGGTGAGCTAGCGTGGGGAACAGGGGTTCTGAATTTCAACCATGGTTTGGTTTCTCGCAGGACGTTGCCGAGAAGGATGGTTTGCTCAAGATTCAACTAATTGAAGGATTCAAGCGCAAGGCCGTCGACCTGAGTGCTGAGGTTCAGCAAAATAACGCCGTGCTCGAGCGGTTGAAAGAGGCTCATGACAAGGTGCGTCTGCTTTCTTTTATGTGATGACGTGTTTGAGTCTGGCTGCCCTTTGCAACTCACCTTTTTTTTTCCTTTTTTTTTTTTTTTTTTTTTTTGCACCGTACCGCATCGTCCAACAGCTCGAAGAGGCACTTCGTGTCAAGACCGAGCAAGCCGAGACGCTCGCCAACAAGGAGCTCAAGCTCGTTGTATGTTTATCGATTCGATTGCACCAAAAATGGGCTGTTGCTGTGCTGCCTTTGCTTTTCTGACTTGCTTGTCTCGCTCACTTTTCTTGAACGTGCAGGATGAGAATAACTACTTGCAAGCCAAAATTGGCAAATCCAAGAAACTGGAGCTCAAAGATAAAACCAAGATATCCGACAAGTCTGAGAGTCAGCAATATCGCGTACGCTGAAGGCTTTGTGCTGTTTGGGAGATCTAGTTGCCTGTCACTCATTTTTTTTTATTTTTTTTTTTTTGGTTTCCTTTGGCACTCTCTGCAGCAACTCATCTTTTGCCCAATCTGCCGCACAAACGTCAAGGACACTGTCATGCTGCGATGCTTCCATTCGTTCTGCAACGAATGCGTACAGAAGCGGTATGACACGCGTCAGCGCGCTTGCCCAACTTGCGCAAAGCAGTTTGGTGCGAATGATTTCCAGCGGTTCTATTTGTAATTCTTTCATGGGCTTGGCCTAGCTGCTGTTTCTTTTCTTTTTTTTCCAATTTTGGTTGAGGTTGTTCAGTCTCTGTGCCAACTTGGATGTATTATTATCACACAATCACTCTTTGGTCGCGTTGAACTTTGCGCAAAAGGCTGGGAGTGAGGTTTAATGACCCTTGTACTTGGGTTCGCGCTTTTCCTTGAAAGCGAGGAGACCTGTGTGAACACGAGCGCGAAATAATGAGACACGAGAACAGCAGGAATCCGTATCAGGGTACGAGATGGAGATACCTTCGAGACGATCCAGCGTAGGAATGACCTTTGCGTAGCACTCTTGTTCCAAAATCATGCCAGCGGCGCTGCAAGTCCAAAAGATGAGTCCAAAAACGTCCATCAATGAAAAGATCTTTATCAAGAACTGAACGGCTTACCGATCTCCCTCCAAGGCATTGTCGACTGCCACTTTGGCAGCCTTGATAGCAACGGGACCTGAGAAAGGCCAGAGTGGCAGCAGCACACAGTAGTTAGCACATGTGTGGAGTTGAGAGAATAAACGCGCGACGCAAATTCCTTTACCTTTGGGAAGAATCTCGCGAGCAATTTCCAGAGCCTTGGCGTAGGCAACACCTTGCACGGCGTGTTGAACCAGACCTGCAGGATGCTCACTGTCAGTACAACGACGATGGTTGCCAGCGAAAGGGCCTGCATGAAAGACCAGAAAACGCATACCGTATTTCTCAGAGGTGGCCGGGTCGAGAACGCGAGCGGTGAAAATGAGCTCTTTCGCACGAGCAACACCGACGACACGAGGAAGGCGTTGCGTGCCACCGGCGCTAGAAGGTCAGTCAACAGATTTTCAAGCGAAACGATGAGATGCAGGCATTTTGCAAAAGTTGACAAAATCTAAAAAAGCAAAGATGGCGCACCCGGGAATAATGGCGAGCTTCGTTTCGGGAAGACCAAGCTTGGCGGTTTCGCCTGCAATAGAAAGCGAATTCATGTGGGTGAGATTGGACTGGCAAAAATATCACTTGCACACACCAAAAAAGCGCCTCACCAGCAACGCGAATGTCGCAGGCCAGAGCCAGCTCCAAGCCGCCGCCAAGAGCGGCGCCGTCAATAGCGGCGATGGTGGGAATGGGGAGTTCCTGCAGCAGCGTCAAACTTGCGCCGTGAGACCTACAGCAACAAAGGCAGTTCCAAATTGCTAACTCACCTCAATGGCAGAGAAGGTGGTTCGCAGGCTGGTGACAAACGCGCCGACTTCTTCGGGAGTCATAGACAAGCGTTCCTGTGTCATCATGGGAGCAAGTGAGAACAAGTTAAATCGATGGAAGAACGTACAAAAACAAACGGTGGACAAACCTTAAGATCGGCACCAGCGCAAAAGACCTTGTCGATACCCGATCGGATGACCAGTACTCGAATATCCTTGCTGTTGCGCAGCGATTCCAGCTCTGTCTGGAAACGAGCCAGCAGTGCGCGGCTCAACGCGTTCCGGCTGGTCGGATTGGCCAAAGTCAACACGGCGACACCTACACACGAAATGTGTCGCCCAACAACAATTCAAAGCACAGGTACATTGTCAGCACATTCGTGTTCAATCCAAGTCAAAAAAAAAAAAAAAATACACGGTCATCGTGGCGCGGCGATTGCAAAAAAAAAAAAAAAAACTGAGACAAAATCTGAGCAATTCGTACCGCTGTCAGCGCCGGTCAAATCCTCGCGAATGAGCGGATTCTAATGTGGTTATTTGGGGAGGGGGGTTTTCCATGACGCATTCATGTTTGTAATGGAGGTGACAAGGACCAATGACACAGAGTGAGTGAGAGCGTGATCATCATCACTGTGGCACGACTGGTTTTTTTTTTTTTTTTTTTTTTTTGGCTCGTTGGCTGTCCAAAGGAGGAGCGCAACCCGTTACCGCAGTGGTGCTCGACATGGATCGCTTCGAAGCAATGGCAGCGGCGTGCTGGTGCTGGGCGATCGCGGCGGCGGCGCGCGGGACGACGATTGGCGACTGGCGAGCTGCAGCAAGCGTGACTGGAAGCAAACGGGTCCACAGTGACATTGTGAAATGGGGAGGAAGACTGAGCCCAAGAGCAAGTAATATAAGTACCAAACTGAGACCGAGGAAACGTCACAAAGTCGTGGAATCGCGGGATTGGATCGAGTGAAAGAATAATGGCTTTTTGAAAGTACAATGTAGCGTAGAAAATACAAGTAAATACAGCGTGAAATATCATAAGTGTTAACGGTCAATGCGCTTGGTCGGAGAGCCTGTACAGGTGTGCGCAGGAGGAATGGTTGTCGACGTGATCAAGTGACGTGCACGAGCGAGGTGTCTTGAAATGCACGAGGACAAACGGCAATGTGGGGTGAAGCACGGCACGGTGAATCTTTGGCTGGCATTCGCAAGCGAGAGGGGTGTTTGTAGCTGCATGTCAAAGACAGAACAAGCTTTCGATGAAGATGGCATGCTCGCAAAACCCAGCAGCTTTCAGATGGTGAGCAATCTACCCTTACATATCGAGCCAAGGAAGTCGCCAGACTCGAGATCAGAAAGTATAAGGGTTTCTTGCCGCTCGTTCAGGGCGGCTTGTGTCGCAACCAGAGATGTATGCAGAGAAGCAGCTCTGAGGTCGACAAGAAAAGCAATTCAAACAATGAATGAGTCATCCTGCCTTTCCATCGCCCGCCCCACCCCCCAACACAGACTGACAAGAAACATACCTCAATTCGCCATCTACAACCGGCTCGGTAGTCCATAGATGGTGCCAGCTCGAGGTGCTGGCTGCATTTTGGTGAAAAGCAAAAGTGGAAAAGGCTGATTTGGTTGTGGTCTCCAATCCAACGTCACTTGCGGCCTGAACATGGCCCAAAACTGCGACGAGATCCCCCTCTCGGCCTAGTTCATTCAAGGAGGAAATGCCGAGGAAAACAGACGACCCAGCAGACGCCAAAGCAGTGGGGGTAGGAAGAGCATGCACAATTGGCATAATCTTCGCATCCAAAGACAGAGCCGTAGTCGGAACAACCCACTCAAGCAGACGGCCGTCCAGTGTAAAAGCAAAAACAGACGCCAGCGTGTCAGAGGAGCCTGAAGGTGCCGAACACCAATGGTAGTGCAGCTTGTCAGCAGTGCTGTCCGCCAAGCGACATCCGACAGGCCAGTGCAATGCCTGCTCGACAGACCTGTGTCGGAAAAAGTAGATCCGGAAGCAGGGGGTCAGGGACACACGCATCGACTTTTCAACGCACAAAAACCTTGTCAACCCAAAGCTTTGGCGACTACCGCGTACTGGAGTTTGGACCCGGTCTGAGTTCGTCGCAGAACAACGGCTGCATGAGATGACCTCGTTTGTAGGAGCAGGACATTGGCGCTGGGGCAGTGGACGCGATCCACTGTTGAGGAATCAACCTGAGGCAAGCTCCACTCTTCGTGCTCGTGCACAGTCGACCCCTTGAGTTCAAACGTTCTGTCAGAGGTGTGGTAAGTCTCGACACTTCACGCAAGTAAACAACGAGTCTGCCGGAATGCTCGACAAACCTGACAACAAGGGAGTTGGCCGAATCCGAGCAACAAACGAGAAGCACATCAGCAGTGTTTTCTGCAAATGCACACGCCACGACGCTATGTGATGCATCGAACGAGATCGTGTGCTCAACTACCAGCTTTCCGGTCTGAGTGTCCACGCCCGCAATGTAAACATGGCGCTTCAAAGCAATCGCGACGTTTGTGACATCTCCGGCGTGCTTTGAGGCCATGGCGAAAGCAATCACGTCGCCTTCCTCCTCCTTATCGTTCGCATGCGATGAACCAACTGCGCCTGCTCGAATGCAGACAAGCAACTCGACTCCGGCCTCTTCGTGCTCTGAGATCTCGACGTGACCACTGACATGGTCGGAAGTTTGCGGCATGCCCTGATGCTGCGAGCGCCGCTGAGTTGAGATGGTGGGTGCAGACATATGTTGCGACTGCGTCATTGGGGCGTCCATGGCCTTCAACACTTGGCTGTCAATCTGCTGCATGGCGAGAATGGCATCCATCGGTGCAAATTGTGAGGCGGACATGGAGCATGGGTCGTCGCGAGTCGGGTCAACAGCAAGAGGCACTGCGGATTGCGCCATGTCCGTCACGTGTGGAACGGTGCTCGTCTGACTGCTGCGCCGAGGCAACTGCGTGGCTGTTGCTGGCGATGCGCGTGTCACGTCCAAGTCCTGTGTTGGTGGATTGACGCCATGAGACGATGAATGAGGTACGACTGCTGTTGCCCCGCCAGGGAGCGTGTGCGTGGAAGGCTTGTCGTGATTGGGCTGAAGCACCTTTCCAGATGCGCTGTCGAGCGAGAACAAGACTGCAGAACCAGAACTACAAGGCTCATCCGAGTCACTCCGGGACCGGGTTTGGGAAGCAACCGCAGCGGCTTGAGCATGACGCTTTGAAGGCAACTCGTTCGTCGCCGTACCTGCCGCGTGGAGAAGAGTTTCCTCGGGGGCTCGATGCAACGGAGATGCGAAGAGCGGTGGTGAAGCCATGGGCTCGACGACTGGTCGATGTTCTTCGATGTTCTGTTGAGGAAGGGGTGAAGTCGAGGACGTAGATGGCTCAAACAGCATTGGAGACGAGAGCAGAATCGGAGACTGGAGTGGAACGGGGTCCACTGGCTCGCGAGGGCTGTGGTAGCTCGGGAAAAGCTCAGGTTGAATGGCCGTTGAGTCTTGAGCAGCACCAACTGGCGCATCAAAACTGGAAAGGAGCGGATGCGTTGGTATGATGGGTGGCGGCGGACGATGACGGAACAGTCTTGCTGATGGCGGCAACGCGGTCACAGCAAGCGGCGGCGTTGAGCGAACAACGCGTCCAGAGTGAGAGGTTTCCATGTTTGCGTCGTCATTCAGAGAGATGGCGGGAGGCTGGACATGGTATCGAGACGCGTTGAGGCGTGGAGGCCTGCCTTTCTGCGGAGGGATTAACTGGCGTGTTGTGTCGGCGGGCAAACCAGTCGAGGTCGAAACTTGGTCCATCAGTGGAACCTGGTCCAACTGCATCGCTTGTGGGAGAAACGGCTGAGAGGGGTTGGAGGTGCCATCAGGCGAAACGACAACCGCAGCGGTTGCTACCATGGACGATACACTGGGAGACAACATTTGAGTAGGCTGAGTGACGGGGCCTGAAAACAACGGGAAGACCGAAACAAATCGAGAAAGGGGTTTGTGAGCACCGTTGTTGCGGCCCATGTCGTGAAATGGCTGTGATTGGAGCTCACTAGGAGTGGCGTCTAATTCGAGCACCTCGCCATCAGCCTGCTGTGGCAGTGGGGCGGCGGTGAGCTCTTGCGAGGGAGCTATTGACTGCGTCACAATAGCATCATTCATATCCACGAGCATGTTCGCTGGCGCTAGTAGTGGTGGTGCTCGTGGTGGTGGTGGTGGTAGTGGTGGTGGTGGGGGTAGGGGCTGAGGCTGCTCGACTGCGACAATCCCGCAGGCTGATGGAGGGGAAGATGGCTGTCGCGCAAACAGCAGCAGGGAAGCCCTTGGGTGAGAACTATCAACACCAGCTTCGTTACTTTGTGTGTAAATTGATGCAAGCGAAGTGTCCAGCGCAGCCGCCACAGATGTAGATACAGGAGGAGCCGGACGAAGCAATAATGGCTGACTTGGGAGTGCCTTGCTCGATTCGCCGGGCTTGGGTGCTCCAAAGAGTTCTCGGAGTTTGGCCAGTTTGAATCTTCCGAATTCGGGATCGGGCAAGACAAAGTCATTGACTGCTGCGTCCCATTGCGCCAACCACGGTGGAAAGATGGGTTGTTGTTGTTGTTGTTGTTGCCGGTGTGTAGCGGGATTCAAATCGGCCGCGGTTTGTTCTCGGCTGGTCATGCAGACCTGACTCGCCGCGAGTGTGGCAGCGCTGCGATGAGAGTTGTTTGCTGAAACGGTGCAATTTTCGTCTGTTGCGATGGATTGCGAGTAGGTTCGCTTCGAGGCGAGTGATGCTTGACGCGGTTGCGGGGCTGGGAGCTCGTGTTGCGAGGTCGGAGAGCTCGAGCTTTGCACATGCAAAGTGCCAGAAGCGGGTGGCCGAGTTGCGGTTCGATCTTGGGTCTCGGGTTCCACTTGCATGGCCATGACTGTCGGTTGTTGGCTGCTGTTGGCGGGAAGCGCGGGATTTGGCGCCAAATCGTACTGCCTCCCTGCCGCTGCAGACGCGCTGATTTTGTTCTTGAGGCGCTGGTTGCGCCGGAGCAGGTACTCCTTGTATGTCTGGATGTCGTTAAACCCCTTTGGGATGGACAGCGATGCTTGGGCTGCCTGCTGCTGCTGCTGCGGTGCTTGGGGAGCCGCTGTTTCACTTGCAACCACTTGGCTTGCTTGAGCTCTGACAACGGCGTCCTGCGCCAAACTACTATTACCATTGCTACTCGCTGGCATCGCTGTGCTCATATCCGCAGTCATCACCGAGTGCTCGGTTGAGGCAGAGTCGTCCTTTCTGTGGTGATGATGATGATGATGATGTCTGGAGCGGGTCGGGCTTGCACGCGCTGGGCCTCCATCAGTGTCGCAGTGCTGCTGCTGCTGCTGCTGCTGCTGCATCGTCGTTATTGTCGCAGGCGCTGCACTGTCGGATGCGTCGTCTTCATTGGCTGTGACTGTGACTCGGACGGATGATGATGATGATGATGATGATGATGGTAATGGTGACGACGGGCGACGGCGCCTTGCTGCTTGCTTGCCGCGCTCTGTTGAGATTGGTTTCGCAGGGTCGACCTGGAGGCCTTCTTCGCTTGGTGGCTCTGAGTGAGATGGATGATCTAGTTCGACGACAGGCAACACGACTGCTGCTGTCGCAGTGGCTGTTGCTGTTGGTGCGGATGCTCGTGGCGGCCGCTTGCGTCGCGGGGCCATTGCTGCAATGAAAAATCGCGCGGGAACAACGAATATCAAAAGAAATGAGACTGAGACGCTCAGAAATTAAATTGATGGGGGAGGGGTGTTGAAAATGGAGCCCAGAAAGGCTTTTGTGGTTTGGTCGCACAAACAACCAACAATGAGCAAAGAGCATTTGCAAAGCCAAGAGATGGAATCAGATGCAACAAATTGTAGAAGAGGAAGCACAACAAACACGACATGTCAAACAAAGTCAAGCAACACGAACGCACAACGTCAAAAAAGAAGGACACATGAAACACTCAAACAAAACAGCAAACAAACACGTTCACGGAACAAACGTTGAAAGTATCCTGGAGAGACGAGGTCGAGAGACGAGGTCGGGATCGCTTTGTGATCACTGTCGGTCGACATATCCGACATAAAGCGATTCAAATAGCAACTCGTGGGCAAACGTGCTGGGTTGAACTTGAACTTGCCAACCCTCGCGCATTTGTCGGACGATGGGATGACTCGCTGACCCGATTGTCGCAAGTGCAAGGTTCCGATTGACGAAAGTCGGGTGCACAGCACATTCGTACTGAACAGCACCTTTTTCATCTCGGACAGTCAAATCGAAAGCACAGTCACCGATGTTATTGGGACGCTTCCAGTCACGAAGCACTTGAATTGCTTTCACACTTAAATCTCCTTGAGGCAGTCTGACTTTGAGAGAACTGGGTCTCTCGTCAGACCACAATCGATTGGTATTCTGCACGCCTTGCCAGTAATGCGCCTTGTCCATAATGAGCTCGGCAATCTCGGTTGGTAGCGCTGGAAGAGATGGGGGCTGGTTCTGCAGCTCCAACCCGCTGGTCAGCATGCCGAGCACTTCTTGGATGTCTTCAGCACTCGCCAATCGTGGAAGTAAGGAAAACGCAAGAGGGTTGATCTGATCGCCAATTCTGGGAGCGAGGCATGATCAGTCAGTGGCCACTCCATCGGTGGGAGGAACATTGTCTGAGCATCAACAGCTGTGATTGGCAAGAACAAGCTTACTCTAGCCGAAAGTTGCGTTTGTCTTGGCATGCCTTATCGATCGCTTGAGAACCAAAAATGCCAATGCAATTATAGTGAAGGCTGTCAGAACATTGGGTGAGCAGGTTAACGACGTAGCAATGACCCAGGCTCAATGCGCGAGACGAGCAACGCGCACCGTAACGTACAAGAGCAAAGTCATCCTCTTGTCTACTTTGAGTGCCTCAGCAATCGCCTGCGCTCCAGCATCGCCGATCTGGTTGTAACTCAGCCTGTCCTCCATCCATGAGAATTCTGAATGCGGTCTGATGAATCACCCACTCACGGTATCAGTACAAGTACTCGTAAGATAACTCACTTGAGCCAAGTCAATGTAGTGTTCGCTCTGAGTGCCTCTGCAATTGCCTGCGCACCCTCATCGCCAATCTGATTGCTCCACAAACTGTATATTCCTTGCATCAGTGAGCATTCTGAACGCCCTCCGCTGGACGACTCGCTCGTGGATGCTTCAGTAACAGTGAGATGCCTTACTCGAGCTGGGTCAGCGTCGTGTTCACTTTGAGTGCCACAGCAATCGCCTGTGCTCCAGCATTGCCAATCCGATTCCCATCCAATCTGTCAACCCAGTCAGCTCGTCAGTAACACAATGTGATGTTCCAATCAACTCGGGCTTTTCCCTTGCTTGAGCTCTCCATCCGCGTTCTTGACTTGGTCATACAACTCGCGCTGTCTCTCCGTCATACTACGAAGCTCCATGGTTGACCTATCATTCCGAGCAAGCGAAACAAAAGATGGAGTGAATGCAAGCCCTTGTTTTTGGTATCCACCCCCCGGACCGGACCCTGATCACTTCCTCAACCCAATTCCCACTCTCTTTCTTTCGCATCATCCCTTTTCAAACAGGAGTGAACAGCGTCGGACTGAGACTGATGGCGGCGGGATGAACGAAGGCAGAAGTGTCCAGCATTTCCCGATGCCTTTCCTTCCAAGCAACGCTCCTCAGACTCGCCCCCTCGACCGTCAAGCACAGCGTCCAAGCACACGGGTCTGACGAGGCCATCAACAACCGGGGGGGGGGGGCTTCAACGCACAGCAACTCTCAAACGAACCTCAGAACACAAATACATTTTAGACTGAGACAAGCGCTCAAAATGTCGTCACTCGTTCACTCAGTCACACGTTGATAATTTCGCAACTGCATGCAGTGAGCTTCTACTTTGAATCACTGCTGATATCTCAGTCACTGTGAGAACGACGAACGCTTTCATGTACAATAAAAACCCAGTCATTTTCTTTTTTCTTGTTTCTTTTTTTTTTTTTTTTTTTTTTTCCCCGTTCGTTCCCCAATGAGCAGCAGCCGTCACTCGGCCCACCTGTCTGACTCCCACGAAACACACCACTCTCATCCCCACAGCAGCAACAGCAACAACGGCCTTAGCACGACGACGACGACGACGACGACGCATCAGCATCCACACCAGCCGCCGCTGCTCACGTCTTCATCTGCTTCCTCTGCTCATCCCAGCCAGGGCGCCCTTCTGCCGTCCGCCAACCTCCTCACCACTGCAGCCGCCGCAGCGAACGCCCACCTGACATCCCACGGCGCGAGCAGCACCAGCACCAGCACCAGCACCAGCAACATCAGCAACGCGCCAGCTGCTTCAGCAATGAGCGAGCATCGCACCGTCGCTCGCCAGGCCTCGGCGCCGCTTGCTCCGAATTCGACCAGCTTTGCAGAGCTGCACCACGGACAGCATCATGCCGGCCACGCATCGCACCCGTCGACGCCGCAGCAGAGCGCCCAGCAGCAGCGTCACCGCTCTGGATCTACGTCCTTGAGCGAGCATCTCGCGCCTTCGTACGCCTCATCGTCATCATCGCCCGCGACCACGACCGCCGCCGCCGCCTCGCCATCGTCCTTGTCGACGCTGACCCTCACTGGCGGCGGCGGCGGCGGCGGTGGTGGTGCTGCTGGATCGTCGTCCTCGTCGTCCGCCTCGTCCTCAACCACTGTTGCTGCTGCTGCTGCTGCCGTCGTCCCATCCACGCCTGGCGGGACGCCCATCCCAAAGCCCGCGTTTGCCGGGTCGCTGCGGTGCAAGACGTCCAACACGTTCTCTGCGTGGCGACCGCGGTACTTTGTGCTGGACGGCAACGAGCTCCGCTGCCTCGCTGGCAAGGGCGACCTCTCGTGCTCGTACATTCTGTACCTCCCTGGTGCTGAGCTCGCTGGCAATCCACAAAAGCTCCAGATTGACATTCGCCTGCCGTCCAAGCTCCACGCCAGCAGATACTCGCTCAGGGCCAGCACAACCTCAGAGTACGAGGCGTGGCAGTCCGCCCTGCGCACCGCCAAGAGCTGGGTCCCGCAAGGCGGCCCCGCGGCGGCAGGCACTCGCAAGTCGATTGAAGGTACGTGTATTGAATTTGAATTGGAACCCACAAAAAAAAAAAAAAAAAAAACCGGAAAACAACCGCAAAACAACCGGAAAAAAAAAAAAGGAGGATCAAGATCGAAAAAACACACATGTTGACATTTTCGATCAGAAAAACAAACTCATGACATGGTTACAAAAAATGAAGAGGGAGAGAGAGCGCGAGAGAACGAAGGAAATGCGAACCAAAAAAGGGTCGAAAAGTGGTTACTGACAGTGTGAATCGGGCGGAAGTGACTCAACAGGTTGGATCAGAGTCGGATTCGGAAACAAAAAACAGACATGGTTTCAAAAATGAAGAAGGAGGGAGGAAGACGTCGTGGGGGGGGGGGAGAGAGAGCAAAACGAAAGACGGCAGAATCTGCTGTTTTCAAGCGGTATCCTGACAACCAGGCCCGAATGACTCACTCATGGTTGGAACATATAAATTGCAATCACAACAGTGTTCAACACACAGAGCATGGACGAGGCCGCCAGCTCGATTGGCGTCGAGGTAGGTGACAATGGCGGTGAAGCAGATCAAACTGCAGTCGTCGTTGCGCCACACAGCCACAAGCGCCGTCCAGCGACATTTGAAGAGGTATGTCGAGTTTGCCTCAAGGAGATGGGGGGGGGGGAAATGATGTCTTTCGGAGCGGGCTTCCGTTTGAGCGATCGATCTTGAATTTCAACATTTTCCCTCTTGGCTCTCTCTCTCTCTCTCTCTCCCTCTCCCTACCTTCCTCACTCCTCTACAGCTTGAATCAAAGCAAATGGGCCTCAGTGCTTCGCGTGAAGACTTTTTGTCACGCCTCAAGAACATGGTGGAGGCTCTGGACGTCAGTGAAGTGCCTGGAACCAACCTGCCCGTGCCCGATGGCCGCGCATTGACTCGTGACGGCACCGTGCGCGAGAAAAAGTCGCGCGGGGATCGCGATGCGGCAGTGGCTGCAGCAGCGGCCAGCAGCGCCGTGTTTGCTCTGCGATCGTCCGTTCACCGCCTGCAGTCGTCGGCCATGGAGATGCTCTCCCTCTACGCCGACTACAACCTCCTGGTCGAGACAAACGCCTTGTATTGGAAGGGGGCGTATGACAAGGAGCAGGTCAAGCTGAATGGCCTGGAAAAGTCTCTGGCCAACCTGGCACGCCAGCACGCTGCGCTCGAGCGTCAAACTTCTCGCGTCTGCTCTTCGGGACTGCCGTTGGACGACATTCCTTCCGACGAAGAGGAAGACGAGTTTGAGGAGCTCGACGGCAACAATGACGACGCCGAGCTCCCGCAGGGCGTTGTTGACTCTGACTCGGACTCTGGTTCGGACGACGAGTTTTTCGATGCCGTGGAAAGCGCCACCTCGCGTTCTTCAGCCGCAATGGGAACCGCGCCAGGTACCCCAACCACACAGGGATCCTCGTCCATCCCCACCAAGGCTTCACGTGGAAACACCATTTCCCTCTTCCCATCCGGCAGCCATCTTGCGAGCGGCACCCCGACTGCGGGCTCGCCAACCGTCGCGGCTGCCGCTGCCGCTGCTGCGCCCATTACTGCTGCATCTGCGCACAACACTGCCCTCGTTCGACCAGCGGCCGCGCACGTCCCTTCCATGAACACGGCGAACGGCAGCGCTGATTTCGCCACGACAGCCCCGCACCACTCGCACAAGGCTGACGGCAATCAGCTTGCCATCCGAGCTCACACGGGTGGCACGGGCTTGCGGCCATGGCGACACTCGCTTCCCGCGTTCAAGTCGGAAAAGAAGCTCAATATTTGGAAGCTCATCAAGGACGCGATCGGAAAGGACTTTTCGAAAATCTCCATGCCCGTCATTCTGAACGAGCCGCTTTCTGCCCTCCAGCGCTTCGCCGAGGACATTGAGTATTCGTATCTCCTTGACATGGCTGCTTCCAAGCCCACGTCGTTGGAGCGCCTGCTCTATGTGGCGGCCTTCTCCATCTCGTCGTACGCATCCACGCTCAACCGCACGGGCAAACCCTTCAACCCGCTGCTTGGCGAGACGTACGAGTTTTACGACGCCAATTCGCAAGTCATGCTCCACGCAGAGCAAGTCTCCCACCACCCGCCAGTGTCCGCTTTCCACGCCTCCGGCACTGGCTGGACATGGTGGAAGGAAGTTGCCTACTCGAGCAAGTTCACTGGCAAGGACATGGAGGTGACGCCCGTTGGTTTCAGCCACGCCGCCTTCCCCGCCCATCCGGCCGATCACTATACCTGGCGCAAGATGACCACCTCTGTGCACAATTTGATTGTTGGCAAGCTTTGGATTGAGAATGTAAGCGCGAAGCGCTTTGTTGTTTTGCAGGGCGTTTTCTTTTGTTCCCTCGGGAACTGTGTTTGTACCTCTCCCCTGTTGTTTGTCTCGTTTGCTCATTTTTTTTTGCTCTCTCCCTCCGTCGATGCGCACAGTTCGGAGAAGACACAATGGTCAACCACGGCACTGGAGACAAGTGCACCATCAAGCTCGAAAAGTATCGCTATTTCGGCAAGAGCGAGATTGGTCGGGTCACAGCCCGCGTCCTGGACGCCTCTGGGCGAGAGCACTTCCGCATCCAAGGAAACTACGACGAGTCCATCCAGTTTGTCAAGGTTGACGCCGACGGTGCCAACTTGACCTGGGAGCAGCTGACTGCTCGGTCGGCCCCCACGACCCTTTACACTCGCTACCCGCATCCTGACTACTATGACCAGTTCTACAACTTTACGAACTTTGCCATCACCCTGAACGATGTGGACGAGCACCTGGCGTCCCGTGTGTGCCCGACCGACTCGCGTCTTCGCCCCGACCAGCGTCTGCTTGAAAACGGCGACATGGACGGCGCACAGGCCGAAAAGACACGACTCGAAGAGAAGCAGCGCTCCGTTCGCCGACAGCGCGAAGCCAAGTCCACGCATCACGTTGCCCGGTGGTTTGAGTCCAAATTTGATCCTCATGTCAAGTTGGACACTTGGACATACCTGGGCGGGTACACGGAGGCGCGTGACGCCGGTCGCTGGGAGAACGTGCCTGATTTGTACTAGTTTCGTATTTTTTCTTTTTTGGAATCGAGACTGCTTGCATGATGATGTTGTTTTTCTTTGCGTGTTTTTTTGCCCCCCCCCTTTTTTCCCCCTCTTTTGTTCTTTTGCAAATCATTGTTTTGTTACTCGTTGTCTAAACAATACGCTGTGTTCTCGGTCTGCAAAATTGTCGATAAGGCTTCTTGTGGAGTATCGGAGTACAAGGGGCGAGGATGAAGACATTTCATTGGAAAACCCCAACCAAAACAACGGCATGAAAACACAACAAGACGATGGGTTGGATCAACCGTTGGTGACCTTGCGGTGGCACTCTTTGCACACGCGCACGGGAGTTTTGGACGAAGCCAGGGTGGTTGAAAAGTTGGAGCAATCGCCGCAGAAGATTTTTCTGTTGGGAGAAGAGAGGAAAGATTCAAACTCAAAAGTGTCAGATGGGTTTCACAAAACACAAGCAACAGGAAGCAGTACACAAATACGTACCCGCAGTTCCGGCAGTGATGCTGTGTTGCCATTTGCCAACCAATACAAAAACCAAAACCGCGCACAAAACACAAACCCAGTAAGCGTACAGAATTCATGGCATCCGTCCTCGCCCCCCCCCCTTCAACCTCCCTTACCTTGCGCGTTCGCAAATTAAAGGCCGATTGACAGCCACGGCACGACTCGACTTGATTGTCCTTCTCCCACGAGCTGGCCGTGTTGGCCGCCATGAGTTGGATTTGGAAGCCCTGCAGCTGTTCGCACAATTCCTGCTGCACAAAAATGGATTCGTCGAGGCGCGTGTGCAGCTCAGCGACCTTGGCCCGCAGAGTGCCGAGTTCCTTCTGGGCGCGAGTGTTCTTGTCGTCGAGATCTGTAGCGTTGGCCTCGGAGGTCTTGCACCGGTCGGTGAGTTTGGCAATCTCGGTTTTCAGCGAGTTTGCCTCCATTTCGCGCAGTTTGGCCACGGCTTCCGAGGCGCGCCGCGTTTCGTCGAGCTCGGACTGCAAGGTTTCAATCTCGAGTTGGCGACGGGCTTCGGTACGCTCCATGGCAGCCAGGGCGTCGGCGGCTTTGGTTTGCGCAGCACTGGCTTCCGCAGCTAGAGCCGTTGCGTGGGCATCCGCGCTCGCAGCGACTTGGCGCGCTTCCTCAACCTGGCTTGAAAGTGCAGCGCTTGTCTGTTCAAACTCTTTGCGGGCTGCCTCCAAGGCGTCTTCGCTGGTGGCCGCGCGAGCCTCGAGTGACTTGACCAACTCGGCCGTTTTGACGGCTTCTTCGGTGGCTTGAGCAAACTGACCCCGGAGCGTGTCGTGCTCCTCAGCTCGGCGCTCGAGCGTGGATTTGACATCGCGAAGATTGCTCTCTGCTGTCGCCAATGCCCCTTGGGTGCTATTGAGCTGCTGCATCAGGTCGTCGTTGCTGCTGATGGTCGAGGACAGCTGATCCTGCATGGCGGCAAGGGTCTCTTGCGACGCGGTTGCCAGCACTTGGGCACTGGCGGCGGCGGCCTCGAGTGCCGCCTTGTCAGCGTTCAGCGCGGCAATGCTATCTTGCAATTCCTTGATGGCCAAATTGTGAGCCTCAATCAGTTCGTCCTGTCGCTTGGAGTGCACCTGAGCGGCCAGCGCGACAGATTCCTGCGCTGCGGAGGCCGAGCGCTCGAGCTCAAGAGCGTGCTCCTGCTGCAAATCTTGCTGTTGCGAGGATAGTGAAGTGGCGTGTGCTGCGGTCAGGCCCTCCACATGCGCAGCATGCTCTTGCTGCTGACGTTCCAAGCGCTCTGACAACTCTGCAAGACTTGCCAAAGCGTCCGCCAGCTTGCCAGCGCTGACATGCTCGGCTTGAAGCTGAGTGTTTCGGAGCGCAGCCAGCTCTGCCTGCGCCGCGGCTTGCGCCTCTTGGGCCTGTTGCTCCGAGTTGGTACAATGTTGTTGCAAGCGGCCAATCTCGGCTTCGGCGTGAGTGGCCCGTGCAGCAGTTGCCTGCAATTCCGCCGACAGCTCGGCCTCGCGCTGTGCAGCCTTGGTGGAGGCCTCCGCCGCTGCTTGTTCGAGCGTCGTTGACTTTTCAACGAGTCGTTGCGAGGCCTCGGACAAGGCTTGCTCGGCCTGTGCTCGACTGGCCTCGAGCGCCGACTTGAGCTGCGCCACCTCGGCTTGGGCGGAGTCTTGCAGGGACGCCACCTCCGCCTCAAGCTGGGCAACTTGCATCTGGGCCAAGGCGAGTTGGTCTTCGGAAGACTTGGCAGACGCGGTGCGGTCTTTGATCTGTTGCTCCAGCAGGCGCAGCTGCTCCTTGAGGGCTTGCTGCTCGGCAACCTGCTCGACTTGTTGTTGCCGAGCGCGCTCTGCCTGAGACTCATCGCGTGCCCGCGCGTCGGCCAAGGCGGCCTGGGCAGTCTCGACATCTTGCGTGCGGGCTGCCATTTGCTCGGTCAGTCGGGCGGTGGAGGCGTGCGACGCCTCGAGCTCGATGGCCAACTTGGATGCTTCAACACGCACGGCACCGAGCTCCCGATCGCGCGCCTCCAAAGTCTGTTTGATCGCGGCAACCTCTTCGTCCGACGCAGCCTTCAAGCGTTGGAGTTTGGCGGCCGTCGCCGTCTGTGTGCTCGCGGCATTGGAGATCAGCTCGTTCTCTCGCTCGGTGGCAGCCGCGACGGCAGCTTCCAGCTGGGCAACGCTGCTGATTGCATTGCTGACTTGGGCGCGGAGCTGAATCAGTTCGCGATCCTTATCCACCCGGAGGGTTTCCAGCTCGGAGACCCGCTCAGAGAGTGCTGCGCTAGCGCCCTTGTGGGACTCGAGCTGAGACAGGAATGCACGCTTTTCCGCCTCAAGCACAGCCAAAGCGGCAGCATGCTGAGAGGTGCTGGCTTCACTCGCTCGCCACTTGGTCTCGGCGTCGGTTCGCTGGACATTGGTTTCAGCAAGCTTGGACTGCAGTTCAGACAATCGCTGTTCCACGCCAAGCTTGGTGCTCAGCTCTGCCTGCGCTTGCAGCCGCGCTTGCTCCAAGTCGTCTTGGGCGCCACGCAACTCACCTTCCTTCTCGCGAACAGATCGGCGAGCCTCACGCAGTTGCTGGTCGAGGGCATCGCGCTCTTGCGAGAGACGGACCTCGAGTGCAGCCAGTTCTGCCTTGACGGCATCCCGTTCGGCCGCTGTTTGGGCCAGCAACGCATTCAGTCCTTCGTCAACATTCACCCGGGAAATCATGGCGGTCATCTCCTCTTGCTTTTGGGTGTGACGCTCAATGTCAGCAGTCAGGCGAGTGATTTGGGCGTCTTTTCGGGTAGCCTCTTGGACGGCTTGCTCTTTGCTGGCTGTGGTATCGTCCAACGCATGCTGGAGAGTGGTCATCTGCCCACGGACTCGCTCCAGCTCCTGTCGAAGAGTCTGGTGCGCAGTGCTGCTGGCTTGCTGATCCGTGTTGGCCAGAATCAAGGCTGACTGAGACGCTGCAAGCTCCTTGACAAGGCGCTCGCGATCGGCGCGTGTTGCCTCGGCATCAGCCAACACGGCATCGAGCTGATGGCGGGTGTGAACGCGGTCGGCCACGGCAGTCTCGACGGCGGCAAGTGCTTCACTCTTTTCAGCCACCGTGGTGCGGAGCTGGACTCGCACCTCATCCAGCTTGAGTTGCAGCTGTTGGCGCTGCGCATCGGCATCGGCGAGGCTGGCATTGGCGGCTTCGAGTTGGGCACTCGAGGCGGCTTGGGCGGTGGCGCGTCGTTCCAGTTCCGCTCGATGTGTCGCGCGAACTTTTTCATCGGCCTGTGTGGCAGCTGCAGCAGTGTCGTCGAGTTGCTGTTCAAGCGAAGCAATCTTGGAACGCTGCATGTCGCGCTCGCGCTGCAGCGAGGCGAGCTCGTCGCGCAAATCGGCCAGCGCCTGCGTGTCTACCTGCAGCTCCTGGTTTTGCTGCGCTGCGAGTGCACGCATGCTGGCGCGTTCCCGCTCACGATCTCGCTCCTCGACCGCCAGTCGAGCACGCTGCTCATGCTCTGCCGCGTTAAACTCTGCGGCTTGCTTGGCGTGCACCAATTCCTCGAGCGAGGCGCGGGCCTTTGTCAGCTCGTCCTTGTGCGCTGCAACCAGCCATTTTTCCTCCTTGATGCTCGTCGTCAGATTCGCAATCGTTGCCTCGAGCTCTCGCACGTCCTGTTCCCTCGCGAGGCGTGCCTGGCGTTCGTTTGCCAGCTCCTGCTGGAGTTCACTCGAGCCCTTTTCCTGGTTGGACCTGAACGTCCTGCTAAACAGCGATCCCTGCCAATTTTCCCCCAAAAAACATAGATAAAAAACACAAACATGTATTACATCCATTGAGTACCATTCGTTGTGACCTTGTTCGAGGTGGGTATACTTGGCATCAACGATTGAGGTTACCTTTGATTCTGGTGCCTTGACCACCGGCTGCTGCTGCTGCTGCGATGGCGCCACGGCTGCTTGTTGCTGCTGTTGCTGCTGATGCTGATGTTGCTGTTGAGGAGTCGCAGCAGCAGCAGAAGAGTGTGCGTTGCTGGTGGATCGCGCTCGTGAGCTGCTGCTCTCGTCGGCTCTGTTTTGACCGATCGCCGCAGCAGCCACCGTCGCGTTGTTGCTGGCGTTCCCGCTCGCTTGAGCTGCTGCTGTCGTTGCGGGTACTGCTGTAGTGGCCTCAGTGGTGCTGGCTGATGGAGCGGCGTCGTGCACCGCGGCCCAGTGCGTCTGCAGCGCTTCCATCTGCTCGAATGGCTGCATGCACATTGGGCACACAAACCCAGACAAGTCAGCCATCAATGATGAAATAATGAGAAAAAAAAAAGAGTGAGCAGGAACAAGAAAAAACAACTCAGACAAGCAGATGAAGCAAAAACAAAGAAGATAGAGTGAGAAAATCTGAGAGAAAATCGTTCAACAACAAGCTGGCGTTTTCAAAGACTTGACGCAGAGTCCCCCAGCTTGCATGATGCTCAAAGGTCTTTCCCCAAACATGACGATCTGTCATGTCAGGACACAGCGTCGAATCTAGATGGCGCAAGAGGTAGCTGGGGGTTGGCACAGACAATTGGTTTGTTCGATGGTGGTCCGTGGCCAAGTGCTCAAAAGCGCGGAATCCAAAGTCTCAAAACGCTGCGATACTGGACTCGAGTCAGTCAAACACAGTGTGTACGTGTGTGGGTGATGGTGGTTGAACAAAGCGCGCACCAATCCGGTACACTACTATCCCGATCATTAAATTTCGACCCCCCCTCTTTTTTTCACTTTTTCGCCCTCCCTGGGACCTGTGTTGCTTTCCGTCTCGCCCGCGGAATGTTCATTCATGGTACGGTGTACCGAACGTCTGATGAACACCGGGAGCGGGGGTTGTGAGTCATATCAGAGCAGCAGCGAGCAAAATAAAAAATATAAGGAAACTCAAAAAATTCACTTTTCCCGCCCAAATTTTGGTTTGGGTTCAGTCTTTTTGTGCGCATGACTCGCACACGCAGTCAGTCCACGTCCCGCGTGGCTCCCAGACAGCCCCCGGTATGGCTGCGTCCAACTTCACCAAAAAGACCGCTGCCCGTGCTGGACAAGATGCCCAGGGAGGTCGTCCGCGGTCAAGTGCTCGCGTTGCGAAATGCTGGCCTCTCCTACAACAAGATCGCCACCCAGCTTCACCTCCCACGTTCTACAGTGATCAGCATCACCCAACGTTTCTCGGGAAGGGCGACGACGAGCGACAGCCCCCGCCCCGGTCGCCCCAGCAAGCTCAAGTCATTTCACCGCAACAACATTGTAGCACAGATCCTCCTCGATGAGTCCGACACCGCACCCGAAGTGGCCGCCACTATGCGCACATTGTCCAAAGTTCGTGTCTCTCCATGCACGATAAGAAGGGTGCTGCATGGTGCAGGACTTGTCAACGGAGCGAAGGTCAAAAAAGCCCTCTTGAAAGAGACACACAAAGAGCGACGCTTGGCCTTTGCACTCGCTCATCAGCATTGGACCGTCGATGACTGGCTGAGGGTCGTCTTCTCCGACGAGACTGCTCTCTATCTCTACAGGAACAACAACGGTGGTCGTGTATGGCGTCTGGTTGGCGAAACGTTGACCGATCGATGCGTGCAGGGCACGGTCAAGTTCGGCGGTGGCCATATCAATGTTTGGGGCGCCATCTCTCGTTTCGGAATTTCGCTTTTCTGCGAGGTCGGCGACGTCATGAACGGCGACACCTACCTCTCAGTTTTGGAGAGCGAGTTGCTAGCAAGCATTCGCGTGTGGAACAACAAAAACGAGATGATTTTCATGCATGACAATGCCCCTTGTCACAAAAGAAAAGATGTGGCGAAGTGGTTCGAAACCAATCAGATCACCGTCCTGGACTGGCCTGCGAGCTCTCCCGACCTCAACCCCATCGAAAATGCGTGGAACATGGTCAAGAACAAGATCTACCAGGAGAGGGAGATCAAGAGCAAGGCCGCGTTGTGGGAACGCTTCCAAGCGGTCTACGAAGAAGTGCTCACGCCAGAGGTCTGCCGCGATCTCATTTCATCGATGCCGCGCCGCATTCAAGCTGTGATAGATGCCAATGGTGGTTATACCAAGTACTGAAGTGGAGCGAAGGCGCTGCGACACGTTGTTTGTGTGCCATGTAATGCTTTGTGAAAATTGGGCAAAAAAGCCGCTCTTTTTCTGTTTTTTTGAGTTTTCATTTTTGTCTGTTCTCGCTTCGAATCTTAACTCCCAGCCCGCTGCTTCACTTCTAAAATGTGTCTGGTACACTGTACCATGAATGAACATTCCGCGGGCGAGACGGAAAGCAACACAGGTCCCAGGGAGGGCGAAAAAGTGCAAAAAAGAGGGGGGGTCGAAATTTAATGATCGGGATAGTATGTTGCCTCAGTCGCCACTCTCCACATTAACATTCACCAGGTCTGCAACACTACCATTGTCGCAAAAGTTCCGATTCAGTCAAAGTCGCTTCACTCTTCATTTCTAATTGACAACCTGTAACAATGGCAATGCAAACGCGTAAGTCCTTCCTCAACATCGCAACAAAAACCAACAAAATCGGGTCGACGCACTTTCAACGCCCGCTTTGTCGCCTCGAGACCGCGTCCTAACTGGTCGCAAGAACAAGAAAGACACATAAACTATATTTATGACAATGTGAAAATGAAGCGGCAGGCATCGAGCAGGGACAAAGGACCTAAAAGCGACGTCTCGGCTGAACGGGCATTTTTGCTGGCGTTCATTGTTGTTGGCGTAACAGGATAACTTTGTCGGCTTTGACTCTGTCCCCTCATCACTCTAGAAAAGGACCCTCGATCAATGAGTCAATGAGTCAATCCTGTTAAAGCGTCAAACGCAGTTGCTGACAGGAAAGAGGCGGACGAGAGGAGAAGCAGGGCAGACGATTGGCTGAATTTTTGCACTGCCACCACGTTTGGCAGCCAAGTACGCTTTTGCCATCATGACTTGGTTTCGTGCAGACTCACAAATCCAAGGCAAACAATCCATCAACCATTCCTTGACCGCTCTCTACAATGCACCAAAAATACTCAAACTTTTGCGTTTTCCCTTTTTTTTTTGTCCCGCATCTCGTCTGTTGAACAGGCGCGGTTGAGAACGATCTCGTCGGTGTCATTCTTGACGACCACCAGCATTTGCTGGAGCTCTTCCGAGAGTTTGACTGCGAAAAGGCGAAAAGCAAGCGCAAGACAGACATGGCAAAGCACATAATCAAGCAGCTGGCGCTGCACGACTGGCTGGAAGTGCAATTCCTCTACCCTACAATGCAAAAGATTGATTGCACCGCCACGCACCACGCCCTCGATGCGCACATGGAGGCCGAAACGCTGATTGAGCAACTCCTGTCCGGCGACATGGATCCGGAATCGGAGGCCTTCCGCGAGCAAATGTCAACGCTCATCACCGACGTGCGCCGTCATATGATGGACGAGGAGTTTAACATTTTGCCTCAGCTGCGCAAGCACTTTACAGTGACAGAGCTGGTTAACCGGGGCGAGCTCTGGGAAAAGGCCAAGGCGTGTGCTCCACAAAACCCGCGGCTCGCTCCTGCTCTTTCGCTGCACCAAGGCATCACAGCCGCCCAGCTGGATCTCAACCCGGCAGCAGACGAGCTGAGTGCTCACTGAGTGTGCAGGGGCGTACAGCGCGAGGATGGGAATTATTGTATGTCGGAAGTCGGAAACAACAAACAAACAAACAAACAAACAAACAAACAACAAACAAACAAACAAAAAAACAACAAACAAACAAACAACAACAAATGTCCAGGCAGTTTTGTTTTGATGTCAGAGTTCTGAGCCGGTCCTTGTTGTCTTCATGGAAATAAAAGGCACGAACTTTCCAAACGCGGCTGCTTGGGGGCACATACGCAAAAGCGACCGGCATTGTCATACACCCACGATGCAACGAGAAAAGGTTGAGCATCGAGTGGTCTTCAGTACGAGTGTGTTAACGACTGAAACGTCAGGATAATGCGGGTTGGATGGCCATTTGGGTGCACAGGACGGGCAAAGTTAAACCAATGTAGAAAATTCATACTGAACAACGCACTGTAAAACCCATGAATGCAAGTTTCTTGAAATAACATGTTCACAGCTGGGAGCTATCTCCGTCGAGGTCGTTCAATCATTAACTGGTACATGGCGCTTCCCAGCAAGCCGCCCAATGGCGGGGCGACGAGAGGAACCCACGACCAAGAATCGCCGGCAGTAAAGACTTCGCCGCCCCACCCAGCCATGTACGTGAACAGGCGCGGTCCAAAGTCGCGCATCGGGTTGAGAGGGTAGCCGCAGTTGAAGCCAAAGCTGATGCCGATGGCAGTCACGAGCACGCCCGCCGACGGCGGCAGTCCGTGCTTGCCAACAGACGGATTTTGCTTGTCAGTGATGGAAAAGAGACCCATCAACAGCAGAGCCGTCGCGAGGATCTGGTCTGCAAACCCTTCGCCAATCGAAACGCCAGGCGCGAGGTAGGTGGCAAAAATGCCAGCAGTTGCTTTGGTGCCCGTGACGTGGCGGGACCCTCCGTCAAACTCTTCAATTCCATCGTAGTAGATAGCGTAGACGAGAGCGGCGGCTAGAAAGGCTGCAAGGAGCAGAAGTTGTTGGTTGGCCAAACGGGAGCAGCAGAAGACTCAGCAACAACCACAACAACAAAAACAAACAAACAAAAAGCCCCCCCCCCCCGAAAAAAAAAAAAAAAACCAAAAAAAAAAAAACCAGCACGAGCGGTTGACGTCGCTTACATCCAACGAACTGCGCCAGAATAAACAGAGGTACTTTGCGCCATGGAAATCCCTTGAACACAGCCAATGCGAGTGTTACCGAGGCGTTGAGGTGTCCGCCATGCGAGACCATGACGCCGATGCAGACTCCAAGCCCGTTGCCAATGTGCACCGCCAGCGGATTCGACGTACCGACAACAAGATGCGCCACCTACTTGTTTTTCAGCAACATCACAAACAGCAAAATTGCATTTCAGTTCGCCGGGAGCGGTGAGTTTTCGGCGACGAGAATCGGTTCTTCAGAGCATAAAAATCCGCGACGTACCGATCCAAGCGCGAATAGCACCATGACAAACGTGCCCAGCGTTTCCGCAAGCAGATCTGCAGTGAGCGATGGCTGGAATGGCGCCACGACACGTCGCTTCCTGTGATACTCTCTGGGCGAGTTAGTATTGCCATCATCGTCGTCGTCGTCGTCCGAGTCGAACGCCTCGAGTCCGCGCGCCTGGCTGGCTCGTGGTCCTGCTTGTCTGCCTGGATTGGCCTTGTACGTCGCATGCTGGCGTGCGGCATCGAGCGGGGCGTCTTGACTGTGGTTGTTGATGCTCAGTCCACGATTGAGATCGGCTTGCCCAGCAGCAGCGTGTCCACTGCCATTGCCATTGCCACTGCTACTGTGGCTATGGGTGTGACCGTGGACGTGACTATGGCTCTGATGGTGGTGCGCTGTGGCATCGCCAGTGAATGTCACCGTGCGATGGTACCGCACTGCGTTCGTTGCATGGTAATCCGGGTTGCTCAGAAGCGGCTCAGATTCAGTGTGATCTCCCATTTAGAAGAACGAATCGCCTTCAGCCCTGGTTTGTTTGATGGTATTTTTGGTCTGAGTCTGGGGTCTTAGGTCTGACTGCAAATCACGACTGAATTGCTGCTTATAAATAATGCAACGAAGTCAAGGGGGCCCCTTGCACAATGTCCTCACGAGTGATTTTGCAACCTATTCTTTGAAGCAAATCGATCGGAACCTTTGTCTCAGAACACTAAACACCTTGGAACTCAGTCTTTGAATTCTCAGCCGAAATCCGCATGAGTTTGTCGCGGTTTGCCAGTCCGGCGTTCCTGGGCGTCGTCGTGCTGGGTGCAGTGACTGGTTACTACAGCTTCAACGAGCCACTGCGGCAGTTCCACGCCGAGCAGCAGGCGATCGACCAGCGCGCCAACGGCAAGACTGGTAGCGGCGCAGTGCTTGAGCCATCGAGCAGTGCAGTTCCACCATCGTCATCATCACCACCACCGTCGTTACCATCATCACCATCATCACCATCGTCACCATCATCACCATCAACAACATCATCGGCTTGATGAATGCGTTGTCGTTTTTTTTTTTGGAGAGTTGCTTCTTGTTCGTGTTGCTCGTGGTCCTTCTGGATGTGAAGACGTGTGCTTCCTCTCTCCTTTGCAATAGAAATCCTCGTACTCTGAATTCATTGATTCATTGATTCGTGCATTCACATTGTTACTGTTTCGTGTGCGTAGCCAGCTCGCCCTTGTTGTTTTTCATTGTCGTTGAAACTGAGCCAATGGGCTTTGAAGCCACATTCTGTCTTCGTTCTGGGGATTGCATCTCGAGCTGTCTTCATCTTCAAACCCCAATGCATGCAGCCCAGTCTCCAAGAAGCGTCGTACTCGCATTCAGTCCAACCCAAGACCTCCGATCAGATCAGGTCAGACCGGGTTGCTCAAATCTCACACTCTGATTTTTCAGCTTACGATTGGATTTCGCTGTTTTTGTGGTTTTTTTTTCGCTTTATTTTGTTGTTGTTGTTCTTGTTGTTTATTTCGTTTAAGATATAACACAAAACAATCACAAACCTCAAACAATTCTTATTTTTATTTATTACTCTTGTTTTTTTTTTTTTTTTTTTTTTTTCTTTCTATTCTTCGTTCACTTTTCCCCTTCCTTTGTCGTTTCCCGTCACCGACAGTGTCAGACTGCGGGGCGAGTGTCGGGCATTCTTTCTTTTTTGGTCTCACTCAGCCGCTTGATTGGACACACACAAAAACAAATGAGCGCGGCACAGCGTCCGAGTCCGAGCATTCAAAGCGCCATTCAAAGTGGAGCTGATGACGAAGCAGGGCAAACAACAATCACAGCGCATGATTCGCTTGTTGTTGTTGTTGGCGAGACAGCAGCAGCACCGACCGCCACTCACCACCAGCAGCAACACCACTACCAGCATCAGCAGCATCAGCAGCATCAAAGGACAGCAGGAGAAGCGACAGGTGAAGGAGCAACTGATTTGCCATATCACACAACCCAAGTTAGGCGAAATCTCTTCCCGTCGCCGGCTGCTGCTGCTGCTGAGGTCGATGCTGCTGGGACGACTCCTCAACCGACCACTGCTCAACCTGCTGATGCTGGGACGACTGCCATCACTGCTGCTGCTGCTGCTGCTGCTGCTGTTCAGGACGAGCACGTGCATCCGACGGGAATCCGGCTCGGGCAGCTGCTGCATTTGGTCGAGCGACACCGCGCAAGGCAGTGCGCACTCGACGCTCGGAGCCTGCCGCTGCTCATCAAGCTGCTGCACTACTACTGGGAGGTCGTCCAGCCGCACCAGCCGCAGCTGAAACAACTGCTCTTTGCGCACATTGTGGCGTACCGCGGATTGCTCGATCGGGAAATGGCCGCCGCGAGCATGCCGCAAGTCTCAGAAGTCCAGCATTCCGAGGTGACTCACGCGCAGGAAGAACGACACCCGTCGTCGGAGGCCTCCAGCAAGACAGCCAGACACCTCGATACTGACACGGACAGTGGCGACGAGTACGCATTTGGCAGACCAGAGGAGCAGGAGGCCGACGACGACGACGACGACGACGACGACGACTCAGGGACGGACAGTGACGCGGTTGAAGAAGAGCAGATTCCTTCCCATCTGCGTCGCCGTCGACCCGGCCCCGAGCTTGCCTTCCAGACATCGCTACTGACACCACCTCCGCAATCGTCCGCAACTGCTGCTGCTGCTGCTGCTGCTTTTTTGGCGCAACAACAGTCTTCGTCCGTGCCCCGGTCGTTTTCGCCCGCCATTTTCAACCCGACAGATGCAGCAGAGCCCCCTCTGCTCGAGCAGCGCCCGCCGTCGCAAGGAGCAAGACTCCCGTCAGCCGGTGTCGAGTTTGATGTCGGCGAAGCCATCGACCCGGCCTTGCGCCATGCTCGCATGCAGGCCCGGCAATCCTCGCTCACCGAGCAGTTGCAAGCTGCTGCCGCCTCTTCCCGACCGACCACTCCACTGGGCATTCCGTCGCGCACTGGCACTCCGCTCGGGCTTCCGCAGCAGTCGGGGCAGCTGGGGTATGACGCAACGACGCCAGGCGCTTCGTCGTCTGGGGTTGTTGAAAGCCTGCTCGTGAGCACTCCGTCGGATTCCGAGTTTGTCCTGGTCGATGGCTTGGAGTTTGGCCAGCAAGACACGTCTGCTGACGCTGGATTGTCTGCAGGCGCTCCAGTCACACCGAATGGTGCCTCGGCGTCCCCCTCCTCCTCCTCCTCCTCCTCCTCCTCCTCCTCAACATCATCCTCAGCAGTATCATCGTCTTCTGTACCGGTTCTCATCCCGACATCATCGGACTCGCCGGCTGACTCGTTCGTCGACCAGTTTGTCGAGCTCGAGCCATCTCCGTGCTACCCCGTGTTCCACCAAACGTCTCCGCTTCCCACCATCCAAGACTCACTGCTGATCGACGAAGACTGCTCTGCCCTTTCCCTCACCTCGCTCCTGACCAGCTTCGCGGCAGAGCAGACTGCAGCAGCCGCATTGCTCGCAACCATCGATTCGACTCGGGAGCGCCTGGTGCGCGCCTCCGTCGACCAACCGGCTGCTGCCGAGATGGATCGCCTTGTGTCGCGCGCGGGCAACCGCGTTCTCTGCTTTGTCCCGATGACTGGCGCCACCCCTCGCCACACTTCGCCGTCCAAGCATCGGCATTTGCGAGCCGCCTCCGTCGGCGATTTGTCCTCGAGCTGGCCAGCTCGCGGCGGCGTGTTTGGTGCTGGTGGCACGAGTGGCAGCGGTGGCGCCGGAGGCAAGCTGCTGCGCGGAGTGGAGCGAGCAGATCCCATCGTCGAGCAGCCAGGGCAAGTTGCAGGCCATTGCAGGAAGGCCAAGCACATCACCAGCCCGAAAATGCGCGCGTTTGGAGCGCTGTCAATGACGCCTGAGAGCCACAACGCCCTCGTTGCAGCCGAAGAAGCTGCGGCCGCGGTGGTCGCCGTTGCCGTCAACAGTGGCCTGTCTCCGCCCTACCAAGCCGACGTCATGGATGCGCTCAGCCAGGAGCTTGCGCGTGCTCGCATCGGCTCGGTGGAGCTCTCACCCATCCCTATGCGCCGCAACCGGCGTCGCACCTCGGACAGCAATCTGTCTCCCATGCTGCTGGCATAGTTTTATGAATGGAGTGTCTCGGAGTGCCTTTGGAATATTGTATGATGGACATGTACAAGTACATGTGATTGGGTAAATATTGTATTTTTGAAATGAATCGACAACAACAACAACAACACCGACAACAGATAAATAGAAAAAAAAAACAACAAAAACTGAAAATAAATAAGTTGGGGGAAACGTGTTAGGGATGGGGCACATGGCTGCTGCTGCTGCTGCTGCTGTGACTCAACGCGGCTTCTGTGACTCGGCGTTCAATGAGCGCCTCGGTGGTGGAGAAGGCGGTCGTACTGATCGCGCGAACGAACGAAGCACTGGCACGACGCGAGCGAATTGCGCTGCTAATTATCGACGCTGGACTCGAGCTTCTGGGCGAGGGTGTGGACGGGATGCTGAAGGGTATAGAAGGACTCGACGACTGCGAGGATTGCGACAAGCTGCCTGAATCGTCACTGTCCGATTGCTGAATCCTGGCAACAATCGCCGCACTGGCCGCAGCGGCCGCAGCCAACGCCGGCGCAGAATCGGCAGCAGCGTCCGTGGCGCAAGCGTCCAAGAACTGTTCGAGGACGTCTTGGCGCTGCCAAACGACCATTCGCACCGCACGCCGATCGACAGCGGAGCGGGGCGGCACGTCCGACCACTGCGGGCAAGCGTCGCCTGTGGAAACGGTCAACCACGAATTTCCACAGCGAATATGTGTTTGGAACTGTCGCGAGCGAGGAAAGTTTGCTGAGGACGATGCCGACGATGCGGATGCCTGCGTGGCTGACAGCGGCGAGGAGGAGGAGGAGGAGGAGGAGGAGGAGGAGGAGGAAAAAGAAGAGGCAGAAGAAGATGACGTCTGCAATTCTTGATCGGATTCCATGCCGGCCGCGCTCGCAACCTCGAAGGCCGCAGGAGAATCCAAAAAGGCGGCCATGGTAGATTCGTGGCGCGCAAGGGGCAGAGTAATTGTCTTGCCCGTGCTGTTGAGCGACAGGGTGACCATTTCGGCACCGACAGGCGCAGACTCCAACTCTGGCTGAGGAGGCGGCGGCAGTGCCTGAACAATGTGCGTGACTTGATACACGCCTCCGTCTTCTGCGATAAAAGAGGCAGAGAGGCGAGGAACGGGGGCAAGCCCCCTCAAGTCAACCGTCGTTCGAATCGTGGGGAGAGTGTCGGCCACATCGGCAGTCAAAACCCAGTCCCAAGGATCGAACGGAATGCCGGCTTCGTCAAAGTTGGCGACGAGCAAGTGACCACGCTGAATGAAAGAGACCTGCTCCGAAGCATCTGCAGCGTGGCACCCCGGGCATGTGACTTTCGGCTGCGTCGGATGAAACATGGAGAAGCAGGACGAAGCATCTGCCAATTGTTGCTGATGTTGCCGAGCGAGAAGCTCTTGCTGCTCCTGCTCCTTTTGTTGTTGTTGTTGTTGCTGTTGTTGTTGCTGTTGTTGTTGTTCCTTTTGTTGTTGCTGGTTGGCAGACAATGACAATGCCGCATCGGCAAAGGATGACGACGCGGGGGAGGCCGAGCTGCTCAACTCCAGGTCGAGGCTGTGGCCGAGGCCGATCGGGGAGGATGCTGCAAAAAGATCATCCATGTTCCTGCCGAACAGACGGTCACGCATTTGCAGTGCTGCAGCATCTTCGCCAACCAGCACCGTCGGACTAGACAGCCAGTTGTCAGAGTCGCGCATTTGGCTGTGGAAAAACGGCTGCGTTGGATCGCGTTTCCAAACACTTCTGCGCGACACTGTTGCAGCGCGCGATCCCAATCGTGCGCCACTACGCGCCCACGACTGGTACTGCTTCAGCCACTCGCGTCGCAAGTCAAACTGTTGCGCGAGCTGCTCGGAAAAGTCGAGATGCTTAAAGGTGAGCAGACTCGTGGATTCTTGCGGGGTCGGTTCAGCAGCGGCCGCGTTGCAGGTCAGGCACATGGAATGCCGAAGCACGGTGTGGGTCAGCGTTTCGGTCGGGATGGACGCGGCGTGCGCAAGCTGCGCTTCGCGAGCAAGCAGGGCATCTTCGGATGGGGGTTGCAACAGGCACGTCAGCATGGCAGCAGTGGAAGGTGCCGGATTTTTGAGTGGAAAGCCACTGCATTGTTGCTGCATGAGGAACAGGATGGCAAAAAGACGTGCGGCATGCAAGTGCTGAATCCAAGGAGAAAGAGCGGTCGTTGTGCTGCCGTTGGTCATCCCGCTCGCTGATGCTGCTGCTGATGCTGATGCGGCGGCTGCAGCTGCGACCGTGCTGTTGCTGGACAAAGTCGAGACGTCGACTTGGTAGCTCGGAATGTCGGCGGCAGTGTGGTGAAGCTCTTGCGCGCGATCAAAGTGATGGATGATTGCAGCCTGGATGTCGACTGAAAAAGTCACAGGAAGGACGGAGCGCAAGAGATCGAGCTGACTCGCGGTTGAGCGAGACATGACATTGTTGGGAACCAACAGGCGAAGTGCAAGCGGGAGCTCGTCGATGGCACGTTCTCGCGTGGTCGAGCCCAGCAACATTTCAACCGTGTTTGCTTGCGGGCAGCTGTAAAGACTGACAGGCAGCGAGTAGCCGGATTGCGAGAGACGGTCGAGCATTTCACGCAAGGTAATGTTGGTTGCAACGAGTAGGAGGCACAAGTCCAGCGACGCGATGAATGCCGAAGTGGCACGCGCGAGTCGCAGCTGGTGAGCAACGTTTGGTGCCAATCGGTCTTCGTCATGCTGTCGAGGAGGTGGCGGCGGAGTGGACCACAGCACCATATGAGTATTGGCGTTGGTGTCCCAAAAGCGGGTTGGCCGCCACGAATACTGGGCTGTCTGTTTGAGAATGGCCAATTCCCGTGCTGGCATCGAATCGACCGCGACAGCATGTAGCTGCTGTTGGTGTTGTTGCTGTTGTTGGTGCCGAGGGGTGTCAACCAGACTGAGGCGTGCTCTCTTACCGGAGGGAGTCAAATCCGACTCGACAGAATCGATTCGATTCGACGTCGACCGACCAACGTCGGCTGTGACGGACAAGCGACGTCGACGACCACGATGCGCAGATTCACACTGTGACAATGACGTCGGTGACGACGACGGGGACGCGGACACCGAGGATGAATGAGCACGAAGCTGCGACGACGCAGACGATCTGGGAACGACGACGACGACGACTGGGCCTTCGGGCGCCTCTGCGCCGACGTCTTCGTCAGGGTCGACAGAGTACCCGCATGAACGGCACATCAGAATGAACTGGTCTGGATGCAGGCCTGTCTGGAAGCGACCCAGCTTGGCGACGAGCGGTTTGCAGTGAGGACAGCAGCTGCTCGCTGGTGACGGTTGACCTTGGACTGCTCGGCCTTGGCTGTGTGCTTGCAGTGCATTGTGGCTGTGAGACGCAGTGAGTGGCAGTGGCAGCGTCGGAGATGGGCGCTGGAAGTGCGGCTGGGAGTGCGGCAGGGAGGCCCTCGTGGACGTGGACGGGCGCACGCGGTGGTGCAGCATCAGCGCAGCGTTGGTCAGCGCAGTGCAGCGGACGGAGGAAGAGGCAGATGCAGACGGGTGGGTTGCGCAGCTGGGTCCGGGCGACGCTGGTGGGACGGAGTTGGCAGCATTGGAGCCAGTCGTGAATGGGAACGGGATGGACAGCTCCATAGTGGGATGGTCGTCCTCCAACCCAGAGACGCAAACAGCACACTCACACAAACACAATAGACTGAGCTACGAGGGGAAACAAACAAAAAAGGTATAGGAAGAAAAATGCTTGTACAGTAGTAGAGATAGTGAACGGGAATGAATGGAAACGAGTGCTGTAAGAATCGATTTGAATGTTGACAGTCGGAGGCTTTTGGCTTGCTTTTGGTTTCTCAACAGAATTGATGGGATTTGTTACCAGAACATCGACAGTGACACAGAACAAGCGTACACAACGGTGTTTTCCATCTCCGATTGAAATAACGATTCTGGGTTGGAGACAACGCCCAACTGCTTTTCGCAACTCGGGATGTCAACTTGATCCAAGCGGTTCGAAATTCGGACTATCCGTCGAGCCACTGTGGAACAAGCAGAAGGATGAAAGAGACAGGCACAGTCTCAAATCAAAAGTCTGACAAATAACATGCACACCGACCGCCTCATCTACACCCCAAACGCCAACGACTTACCGCTCAAGCTGCTCATTCTTCCACTTTTCCACACGTCGCATCATGACTTGTTGCATGTGATCGGGTCGCGATTCAAGCAATTGGCGACGTTGCTGCTCGTCCCATTTGCGTTGTTCTTCGCGCTCCTCGTCCTCGACTGCTTGTTCTCGTGCCGCCGTCCATTTGGCGACCAGCCCAGAAAAGTTCTTCTGCGACATGGAAGTGCCAGCGATGGAGCGACTCGGGTGTACAGCTCCAGAAGACGACTTTTTCGCTTGTTTGAGCGGTTGTTTCGTTTGGAGATTCGTGTCTGTGGCAGCATCCAAAGCATGACTGGATGAAAACGACGACAACGACGACGACGACGACGAGGGCGGAGGCGGCGGTGGGACGGCTTCGAGCTCTGGTGGCGGCTCGACCGGAGGAGCTGGAGCGACATCGTTACTCTGCACTGTGCCGTCAGGCGCGGGACAGGACCACGACGTTTCTCCCGTGGCCTGGTTCAAAAAGTAGTACTTTTGTAGACTGGGCTCCCATACACACGTCCAATTTGCAGGCACAGCGTCGCGCTCGTACATGGCCAGCATCTGCGACATGACCGTGACCGTTCCGAGCACGTAGGCAGGATCAATCACGCCGCGCTCGAGATCGTGCAGGCGCGTCTGCATTTCAATGCGCTTCACTTCCAAATTGTTTAATCGCATCAGGCTAATCCCCAGGAAGTCGAGTTTGGCGAGGATGGTGCCGGACAATCGCTCCAGAGTTTGCTTGTCTTGGGCTGAAATGGGAGTCCCGATTTGGACAGCAGGTGGAAGTGCTGTCGCGGCGGTGATGGCGTTGGTAGTTACTGATGAGGTCGGCGCAGCAGGTGGTGGTGTTGATGGAGCGCTGGAGGAAGGCGGCTCGCTCGCAGTTAAACCATCGTCGAGTTTGACTCGCTTGCTTGCTTCGCTTTCGAGCGCTGCTTCCAAAGTCGACTCTGTAGCATCTTCCTCCAGCTTTCTCTTGACTACTTGGGCACTGTGCGCTTGCTGGTCTTCTTCGGTTGCCGGTGGTTCAGCCGAGTGCACACTTGCATTCGCAGCTGCCGCTTTTCGCTTGGCTCGAATCCGTTTGAGCGGTTCTGGCATCTTCCACGTTACAGCCTGTGTATTCGTGTTCCAGTAGTACACCTTGCTTGTTGCTGGATCGAGCACGCGCGTCCATCCATCTGTCTCGTCTGCCTCGTTCTCGTTCTTGGTCTCGTTCTCGCTCTCAGTAGTCTTGGGCTGCGGCTGCTCGCCATCGGTCGCTACGTTCTCTGGCCCTGCATTGGCTTCTGTCGTGTCTTGGTCACTTGGTTCTGTTGTCGTCGTCGTCGTCGTCGCGGTCATCGTCGACTCGCTCGCTGCCTTGTGCTCGCCGTCCTGATGCTTGTTGTCTTCCGCCTTGTCTTCTTCGACTGCTGCAGAGCGCCGCTCTTCTTCAGCGAGCTCCATGAAGAAGCTGTCAAACTCGGCATCGACATCTCCCATCGCTCGGCTTTGGGCTTTTTGTTTGGGCTTTGTGTGGACTGAGCGTCTAATGCAAATCTGAGACTGAGCAACGCAACAAAAAGCCAAATTTAGCTATAGAGGCCAACGCATGCGTGCGAGTCAAAGAACATGTGCTTTGAATTGTAAATTATCGTCTCAGATTCTTGCTCAGATTTCTCAGACTCAGTCGTCCTTTTGTTTCCCAAATTTAGTCCAAACCCCGACTCTTTGTTTTTTTTTTTCATTTCTGAGGCGATTCTAATCCACTTTAGCACTTGCTACTACTACTGTTACTACTACTACTACTTGTACCACTATGCCTGGCATTCTGAAGGTGCGCGTGTCGGAGGCGCGCGATCTGCCAATCATGGATCGCTCGACCGAGCTCACCGACGCGTATGTCGAGGTCAAGTTTGTGGACGAGTCCTACAAGACGATCGTGTGCAAAAAGGTGACTTGCGAAAAACCAAGCGATGAATGAATATTGAACGGAGGGAGAAAGAGAGAGAGAGAAAGAGAGAGAGAGAGAAGTATGGAACGAGTCGCACTATTAGTGAACTCGGTGCTATGCACTCATTTTGCATAAAACCCAAACAAAATCCATACTCTGCCTCTAACCAACCAACTTTCATTTTTTCCTCGATACTCCCTCCCCGCCTGCCCACCCCTTTGCAGACCCTCTGCCCGGTGTGGAACGCCGACTTCCGCTTCGAGCTCGAGGACGAGGAGCTCCAGGACGACACGCTCGAGATCAAGGTGTGGGACCAGGACACGATCAGCTCGGACGACGCGATTGGCAAGGTGCTCGTTGATCTCAATCCGCTGCTGAGCCCGGACGGACCGGCGCAGATTGCAGGGTGGTTCCCCATCTACGACACGCTGCGTGGCATCCGCGGCGAGGTCAACGTGTCGGTCAAGCTCGACCTCATCTCGGACGTCAACAAGTTCCGCGACACGTCGCTGGGCGTCCGGTTTTTCGCAATGCGGTGCTTGCCGCCATTCTACCGCACGACGGCCGTGCATGGGTTTGTCGAGGAGCTCATCGTCGACGACGATCCAGAGCACCAGTTCATTGACAACTTTCGCACGCAGCGATCGTCCAACGAGGCACGCCAGCGCTTGTTTGCTCAGCTCTCGGGCGAGCTGCGGCGCAAGATCGGCCTCAAGACGCTGGAAATGGGCGGAAACGCAGTCACGGGCTACCAGCAGTCCTTTGACATTGAGCAAGAGTTTGGCATTGTCGCACGCGCGATCGGCACCGCCTGCACGGTCATCAAGCCGTCCGACGCGGACCAGCATCATTCGCCGTTGCAGTCGCCCGTGGACACGCCCAGTACCACCACGTTCGGCACACACCACGACGCGACAGGTGGCTCGGGCGCGCAAGCAGGGGGTGCAACAGCGACTGCCATTAACATCGCTGGCGCGGCCGCGAACAACGCTGCAGGATTGACTGTGAGCGCCGCTGGCTCTCCCTCCGATCCGTCAGGACTGACTGTCGGCAGCGTTCCGCTCTCTTCATCGCTACCAGATGCTGTCGCTGGCAATACCAAGCTATCCGTGTCCACCGGCATGCAGCGCCACGTTCATTCGCAGCAAGAGCTGCCGCTGATTACGATTGTTGCATTTCCCAAAGGCGTCGTGACGAGCATTGGCGGTGTTGTTGCCGCCAGGTCGGTCAAGCTCCTCGACAAGATCCACAATCCGGACGAGCCTGTCACGCGCGACAAGTGGTGGATTGAGATTCGCGAGGAGATTCGCGCTCACGCTCGTGCCATGGGCTGCTCCGCCGTGGTCGGCTACAGCGAGTCCTCTACCGTGTGCGGCGAGCTGTGCTTGCTGTCAGGTGTTGGCACGGCCGTCATTTTGAACTGGTCGCCGCTCACCTACCGAGGCCTGCACCCGGACGATGAGTTTGCGCCGCTTTCCTTCCTTTCAGAAGGAGCTGATGCCGCTTCCTCGACCCGGCAGTCCAGCATCGACGAAAATGCCCGCACACCTCGCGGCAAGGGGCGATCTCGGCGACGGGAGGTTTGTGTTTTCGAGCAGTTGATTGTGTTGTTGTTTGTTTTGCGCCTTTTTGGCTCATCAAGTCGTGTCCTTGTGTGTCTTGACACGTTGGTGCTCTAGCGTTCGTGTATATCCTGCCACGTGCCCTTCAAGAAGGATGCTCTACCGTTCAAGACAAACCTGGTTCGCTGCGCTCATTGCAAGCGAGCGTTGGTTCCTGATGTGATTTTCGCCACCATTGGTACAGTGGCCGATACATTTTTCCTGGATGTCGCGGTGCTTTTTGACCCTTTAGGCCAACTCTGCTCTGCTTTTTCGATTGTTTGGTGTCGTCGAAACAGAGCCGCCAGCTGGTGTTCCAATGAATGGTCAGGGCTGCATCATCGAGGCGCGCATGTGTCGCCCGAAAAAGAAAGCCCAAGGAGAGGCGAATGCCACCCTTTTGGGCGAAGCGACGCCTTTTATCGAGTACGAACTGCATCGTCAGCTCCTGTACAAGCTCAAGCTGAAAGGTATTGATCTGGTCATTCTGGGAACGTTTTGGACAACACAACCCGTTTTTTTTTTGGCTAACTCGGCGTTGTGTGGGACCAGGTCTGAACGCACTGTTTGCGCTCAAGACGCAAATCACTGTTGGCGAATCGCTGATTGTCGGTGTTGCTACAGCCACGGCGGTAAAGCGCGAGTTTGAATCAATGAATTTGGACTGGTTACATTGACGGGTTGCTGCGCATGAACTCATGGTTTGTCGTTTGCCGTTTTCCTCCAGGTATTCTTGTCAGCTCTACCTGCGCCACCGCCAGTGCAGTTTGCCCGCAACAACATTGAAGGATCCGATCGAGGCGATTCCTCGCATTTGGTAAAAAATGAAATTCTTGTTTGATTGCTCCTTCCCTCTCAACTCCAAAATCCTCGCAGCGCTCCCGTGATCTCACATGGTTGCTTTTTGCTTTCCTCGTGTTTTAGGACACGCTCACTCAAGCGCTGAAGGACATGAATACGCGAAATCGACCAGAAATGAGCTTGGGCGACGATGATGATTCGTCCTCCGATTCCTCAAACTCGAGGTACGCTCCTTACCTTCCGGATTGGATTGATGGGGGAGAGAATGTCATTTCGGAGACTCATTTTAACATTCTACACAACAGCGACGACAGCGACGATGACGGTCATGGCATGGTGGAGTATGGCGACCACGCTGCTTTCGTAGTTGAAGTGGACGACGATGCAGATATGGATACGATGGTGAGTTTGTGTTTGCAGTTGAAATGAGACGGCGAGAGATTTTTTTCAATGTTTTGCGTTCTCGCTCACTTGCTCATTCTTCCCTTTTAGGCCGTGCTCTTCGATCCCCCACTCCCCGAGGGCTTTCACATGTGCACGACACAAATTCTGCCCCCTGCTCTGCCGTTGACTCAAAGCTCGCTCTCGAGCCTGGTCATGACTCCGCATTCGTTCGTGTCGCAGATGAGCGCCGTGTCGCAAGTCTTGCCTCCGTCGGTCCCCATGTCGCCGCTATCGATGGCACCCAGCAACTATGGCACTCATTCTGCGCCATCTCCCGCCGTGCTTTCGCCCAACCCGGCTGCGCCTGCTGGGAATGTGGCCGCGATGAATCCTCAGCAGCAGCAGCAGCAGCCAGTTTCGCAGAATCCTGCTGTCGGCGGTGCTGCCCCGGTTCCACTTGTGGTCCCTGCATTCACGGTGCAAGCCCTCACTGCTGTCCGTCGAGTTTCGCTCGGGGAAAAGCGACAGCATCCCAACAAGCAACTGGCGGCCATGTTCCACGGCATTCACCAGTCGCTCTGGTTCAAGCTTCGCTCCATCGGAAGCTGCTGCCTGACGGACATCAAGTACGACATCCAAGTGCCGGAAGAAGATGTCATTCAGATCACAATGACCACGATGGTGCAGGCCATGCGGTCTTTGCCGGAAACGAGACTGCTTCACGCAATGCTCGAGCGTGCGACTTCCAGCTCTGGTTCGCGTGATCACCCCGACGAATTCCGAACCGTCTCTGGACGGCGCTTGAGGCAGCAGTCGCTCAGTACGGACGAGGAGTCGCTCATGTTCCCGATGGAAGCGCCTGATGCAGCCGGTCAAACCGCTCCAGGAACACCCATGCGCGTGCCATCTGCCTCGCTGGCAGTCGTTCCCGAAGCGAGCCAGGAGAGCAATGGGAGCAGCGCGAGTGAGTCAAACATGCATCACGTTGTCGCAGCTCCAAGCGCTGCCCCGACTTCTGCTCCTGCGCCAGCTGCCGGAGGGTCGAGCAAAGCATTCGTCCCTTCCCAGGTGGCCGGATTCTCCAGCTGGGTTGCGGCGAAAGAACTCCACGACGCGCAGCGTAGTCTGCAGAGACATCTGATTGAAATCACCTCGCTGTCGTACATTCCAAACGCGCGCTTGGACAAGTGGCTTGGTAGCATCTCACTCTTTTTAATCAAGGAAAGCTCCAACGTCCGCGAGGACGGCGGCGCATCCGCGTTCACTCAGCGATTCCTCATGGAGGCTCACGCCATGGCGCGAGCGCAAGTGGCTGCCCAAGGGGGCAACGCGCTCATTTCATTCCAAACCAAGCACAGTGTCATTATGGATCGAAATCAGGTACAGGCTGGAGCAGTGTCGATATGCAGATTCTCTTGAGCCGATTGAGCAGAATTCTCACCTGTTTTTTGTTTCTTTGGTTTCGCTTTTTTTTTGTGCTTCAGAGCTACCAATGGGTTTATATCACGGGCGATGTTGTCGAAGTTGTGCGTTCGGGAGACAAAGAACATGGCCTGACATTCCTGGGATCCAAGTTCAAATCTTTCTAGGCCAGGCACTGTTGAACGATGACTGTTGGTAAACAAAAATATAAGAACTAAAAAAACAAATCGCAAACAAAGCCAAAAGCAAAGAAATCAAGAGAAGGAAGATCGAAGCAGCAACAACAACACCAACAATGAACGGCTCGTTGAACGGATTGCGTCTGCAATACAACACTAAAACACCAATTCGAACAGAAAGACGAGCAACAAAGACAAACATCAAAGATTCGAAAAAGAGAGGCTGAATGCGCCCCAATCCGTCGAACAAACAACAACAGCAACCCAACAACGGTTTTCGCAACGCTAGCGACATTCCCTGATTGCTTGGCCAGGCGAACAATGCGCGCCCTCACCTTGCTCACTGTGCCAAGTTTCAGAGCATTCTCGCGAGCAGGCCGGCAAGGCTGTAAGGAAAGTAGTCGCCCTCGACCTCGATAAGCACGCCTTCGTCAAGGAGGTGGCGGAGCGTTCGAGGCAGCGGCGCTTGCAGATCCGACGCGACTTTGAGATGGTCTTGAAGCTCTTTCCAGAGTGCATCGATCTCTATCTCGTCGACCGGCAGAAAGCGGGAAGGCCAGTCTACGCTCTGAATCTGGCTCGGAATTGCCTTGAGAACCTTCATGTCGACAAGCTCTTCTAACAGCTCCTTGTTCTTGTCAATGAGCTTGTCCAAGATCGCCGTGAGGAGTGGACGAGCGCACTTGTGGTACTGATGAGGGCCATCCTCCAACTGCTCCAGGTCGACCTCCGGCATCGGATGTTTCGCATCGGAGAGATGAACGTGAAGAGAACGAATGTTGGTTCCCGCCAAGTAGAGGAGGTGGCGCTGGTTGACAAGAGTGCTGGGGCAAAGTTTCGTTTGACTTAAAATGGAAGCCACAGGCGGCTCGTCGAGAGGCGATGGCGAAGGAATGCGAACGAGAGAAAATTTGGTGCTGTTGAGGTTCGGCCATCCATCACGGAAGCCATCTTTGCGACGACCACAGATGAGATCCGGCAGACAAGAAGATGAGCCGCACAGGATCACCGCGACACGTCCACTGGTGCTGTTGCCCAATGCTTGCAGTCCAGCGAGCGTTGAACGAAAAGGGCCTGCACTGGCATCACGATAGCCCTTATCCAGCTCATCGATGATGAGGAGCACCCTGAGGTTCAAGTCCCACAACTGGTCGAGCAGGACGTTGTGTGCACACCTGTCGTCGCACTGCTGCAGAACCGCGTCAGAGGCGCCCACCGCTTGGAGAATGGCAAAGAATGCGCCATGGCGATGATTCAGCGCATGATTTGGATTCGCGGCACCAGTGTAGTTGATGTAGACTGGAAGAACACTCGGCCAGAGCTGTCCCGCAGCATTGATGAAACCCATGCACGTCTCAGACTTGCCGATGCCTCTCGCACCAACAAGCGTGCGAGTTGCGGTGCCATTCGATCCGACATGAGCACCATTGCTGAGCTGAACAGCCAACTTGGTAAGGAATTCAAGTATGGTGTTGTGGCAAGGTGTTTCGAAGAGGTGCGGGGCGAAGCCGCGTACCTCGTTCACGGTAACTGCTCTCGCCGACGGGATAGTCAGTGGGATACCGTGTGGCAGCGTGCGAGTTACAAAAATTCCACCTTCCACACGCCGTGCGATCTCTTCACGCTTGTACAAGGGCACAGAAACTGCCAGAGTCGCAGGTGGGGAGATCGTTCGGGTTTCTGGCAGAGCAACCATTCCACAAGCAGCCGGCGCTGAGCTCACAGGACCGAGAAACCTGGGACTTGTTGTGGAGGGAGCTGAAGAATCGACCGTCGGCGCGGTGATTGCAGTACTCACAGGGGCCTGAATCGGACTAAGAATGGACGAAATTAAAGGTGCCGCGATGGTCGCGGGCACAGCCGAGACAGCCGTGGCAACGACGGTTGCGGCGAAACCGCCCGCCGCCGAAGGAGCCGAAGAACTACTCGACGACGATTTCCTCTTGAAGAGACTTTGCACTTGTTTCATACTGAAATGAACAAGACAAGCGAGCAATGATGCAAGTTGGAAAACAAAGTAATGAATGACGAGAACGCCGAGAGATTAAATGCCGGAACTTGTTGTCGGTTGCTGCGACGATTCCCAGTCGTGTACCAGAGGTCTAGGGTCGTGGCTCAATAACTCTTTTGTTTATTCACTATTTTAAAGCAGGGTGGCCGACTTCAAACAACATGTTCCTGCTTTGGGATGTCATCATAGTCATCATCATAATCATCATCATAGTCATCATCATAATCATCATCATAATCATCATCATACCCCTCGACAGCAAGTTCGGAGCGCAGTTGTTGAAGCTCCTGATCTTTGGCAGCAATCATCTGATCTTTGACAGCAATCATCTGATCTTTGGCAGCGAGCATCTGTTCTTTGGCAGCGAGCATCTGGTCTTTGGTAGCGAGCATCTGGTCTTTGGCAGCCAACTCCAGGTTTTTGGCAGCCAGCTCGGAGCGGAATCGCAGAGTTTCAGTCGGAAGAGTGACTGAAGTTTGAGACTCGGTGTATTTCCGAGCACGAACAGCAGTCCGCTGGCTGTTCAGTGAAGGTTGAGACTCGGTGTATTCCCGAGCGCGAACAGCAGTCCACTGGCGGTCCACGTCCCTACTCGGAAACCGATTTCCGCCACAACAAGTGAATGGTTTGCTTTTCAACTGACTTCATACGACAATTCAATAAACATGCAAAGTCCTACTTCAGCTTGCAAGTGGTATTGCCCGATCGCCGGAGCGCAGAGACTCCAACCTCGGTCAAGTAATTCTGAGTCAAGCTAGTGTTGTCGGTTACATGGTCAGACTGTGGCATGAGTCCAACGACCGTCAGAGAAGCATGAAGAAGCAATCGACACTTACTAGATTTCGGTCAGCGTCCTGTTCACTTTGAGTGCCTCAGCAATCGCGCTCGCTCCACCATCGCCAATCTGATTGGAGTCCAGACTGTCCATCCCCTCCGTACGTGAGCACTCAATATGCCATGGGCTGGATCCCCCAACTATGTTCTCGTGAAAGTGAGATGACTCACCGGAGCTTAGACAGCCTCTTGTTTGCTTTGAGTGCCTCTGCAATCGCCCTCGATTAGCGAGCAAGCTGTGTGTCCATCAGTCAGCAGGGACCTTTGCTGGATCACTCACAATACGTCAGTTCAAGGGAGACGACTTACAGGAGCTTAGTCAGCGTTGTGTTCACGTTGAGTGCTTCAGCAATTGCCTGCGCTCCGGCGTCACCAATCTGATTGTCGTACAGACTGTCCGGTGACTTGCATCATTCAGAAAGACCGTTGCTGGAGCATTCACAGTGCATCAGTCAAAGTGAGATGCCGTACCGTAGCTCAGTCAGCGTCGTGTTCACTTTGAGTGTCTCGGCAATCGCGCGCGCTCCAGCATCGCCAATCTGATTTTGGCCCAGACTGTCCATCGCCTCCATCAGTGAGCATTTTGACTACCCTCTGTTGAAATCACCCACTCGAATGCATCAGTGATTGCAAAATGACTTACTGGAGCCAGTTCAGCGTCATGTTGACTTCGAGTGTCTCAGCAATTGCGCGCGCTCCAGCGTCGCCGAGCTGATTTTCATCCAGACTGTGCGTCCCCTCCATCAATGAGCCACTTTGAATACCCTGCTTGTGACGACCCATTCACACGCATCAGGGATTGCGATATGACGTACTCCAGCCGTTCAGCGTCCTGTTCACTTTGAGCGCCTCGGCGATCGCCCACGCTTCATCCTCGCCAATCTGCCTGGAATCCAGCCTGTCATCCATATCGTCAATATGCGCGTTTGCCACACTGTTTCCAATAACCTCGGCTTTTTCTCTTACTCGAGCGCTCTGCACGCATTCTCGACTTTGTCAAACAACTCGCGTTGTCTCTCGCTCATATTTTGGCATGACAGCATTGCAAGAGCGTTCAATCAAAGTATATTTAACAATCAAAACAAAGACTGCCCGCCGTGCAAACCCGAACCGTTGTATTGATATGTTGTCGCTTGTTTGCACTTTAATGTACTGTATCGAACGACAGCGTTTGTCACCCGAAACCCACACCCAGTCCCAATTCAACACCCAGAACAATAGTAGGAGAGCCGAAAGTTTATTCTACACGCTCAAAAGACATGCTCCTGACGCAAACTCTGTCGAACCATCGTAGACCGAACTTTGACTTGACGCGCAGCTGCTTCGGTCAGCCCGAGCAAGTCAATGTTCTTCATGAAATGCTGCAAAAAGAGGCTGATGCCGTCCTTCAAGCCCTGCAGCTCGCTGATCTTGTTGAGACGCATGCACACGCCCCGCACAGTCTCATCGTCCGCTGGCGACTTGGTGAACAAGTCCACAAAGAACAGACGGAAAAACATGATGGAGCGCGCGTCCAATTCACTAAAGTTGACCACCTGAAAACGTGCGAAACAAAAAAAAACCAATGGCGACAGTCAGCAGATCAGAATAACAGCGGAACAAACACACCAGCAGCACCAGAAGCATACCTTCAGGACTGCAAGCGACAGCGAGTACGAGTTGATCAAGAAGGCAAACAGCCGCGCCAAATGTGCAAGTTGACGCATGTTCATTTCGCCAAGAGTCTTGAGTCGATCCCACAGTGTGTATTGGAAGGTGAACTTGAAGTTGTAATTGTTGCTGCAAAACAGTGCGGAAAGATGACCATAGTATGGGTTGTAGGTGTTTTCCTGCAATCGAGCGCGACGAAACAATCATGAGCACAAGAGCTTTCATACACCCATCAACTCTAAGGGGAACTCGTCCGATCAACACATACCTGAAGACAGCACTCGACAATAACTTTGACAATTTCACGCTCTTGCTTGTCCTTGAGACCAAGCTTGTTCAACTTTTCAAAGGCATCGGCATAATCCTCTGCGGTCATGAGCACGGTGAAGACGTTGCGACGGATATCGGTGTTCATGTGCAAGACACGGGCAAGCTCCTGCAATTTGGCGTTCAAACGCGGGGTGTTGGCGGTCGTGGGTTGTGCAACGGGCTGGCTCTCGGGGTTGGCGCCGCCTCGTCCAGCCCACGCTGCACCAACAATCCACCATCGACCGCGCGAGCCGGCACTGGAAAGATCGGCCAGCGACACGTTCAGCTCGGTCTCCGAGGACTTGCCGCGCTTGGAGAGCAGGTCTTTCACGCCCCGCTTGAGTGCATCGGACGACGCCATCTGCGCGGCAGCCGCAGCCGTGCCCATCGACATGGTATTGCCTTCAACGTTGGCCGCGGCGGCAGCAGTCCGGCCTCCGCTGAGCTTGGACAGCTTGTTGTTCTTCAGGTCGTAGATCAAATCCAGCATGACCCGCAGACGAGCTGTTGCCGCTGCATTCTGGCCGGCCGGTGTCGTGAGCACGCGATTGGCAGAGGTTTGAATGTCGACAATAATGTCCTTGAGCGCGGCAGGGTCGTCAGTGCGAAGCTGCTGGCCCACCGCTTGCAACATGACGAGAAGGAGTTCGACATCCAGCTCGGAAAGCGAGGCCACAAACTTGCGCACAAGATCGTACACGAGTCGGCAGTGCACCACTGAAAAGTTGTACAGGTAAGCCAAGAGCAGGACAATGTTGGTCGTCTGCTTGCCCTCGTCGCGTCCTTGCTCGTAAAAGTGGTTGAATTGCTGCACCAACAGCTGAAGCAGCTGAGCAGACACCTCGGGACCAATGACAGAGTGCAGGGCAGCCACCAAACCGGCGTAGACCATGAGGGAATGCGCGAGCAGACGGGACGAGTTGACGCACGCTTCAACCAGCAACTGGGCCAAGATGGATGAGAATTCATTGCGACTGTTCTTGAGACACACATTCTCGAGTTCCTGAGTCAGGACGGCCAGATTGGCGGCAGATACACGATTGATCAGACCGTTGATTTGGCGCTTCAAGGCCTCGTTGACGGGTGGAGCGAGCGTCGAGCCAGATGCCGATGGACCTGCGGAGGCGGCGACTACTGCCGTTCGATTTCGAAGAGCCGGAGGGACGTACTTGCCGGGCGCACCTGAGGCGGCTGGGGTTTCGGCGGGTGTGGGTGTTTTCGGTTTTGAGCGGTCGTCGTCGTCGTCGTCGTCGTCGTCGTCGTCGTCGTCGTCGTCCTCATCGTCATCATCCTCATCCTCGTCGTCGTCAAAGCGCGCATCATCATCGCTTGCCAAGCCAAGCGCCATTTCGAGCTCGTCGTCTCCAGAAAGATCTTGGTCGTCGTCGTCGTCGTCGTCGTCGTCGTCTTCATCCATGTCAAGATCCTCATCGCCAAGTTCTTCATCGTCGCCCAGATCATCTTCATCGTCATCGTCCTCGTCGACCTCACCATCGTCATCGTCGACCTCACCATCGTCATCGTCATCGTGTTCGATCGGATTGAACTGCAATTTGGACGAGCCAGATGCTAGGGCACGGCGTGTGTTCGGTGCACTGTCTGCCGAAGATTTGTGTTGGACGGATGGCATCGAAGCACTGTTGCGCGGTTGCGGCTGTTGCCGTTGTCGTTGCTTTTCTTGCTGCTGCTCGCGTTCGCGGCGCAATGTCTTGGACGACACCATGCTTTCCTCCTCGGGAGCTTCGTCGGCACTATCCACATCCATGGCGTCCACATTGTCGTTCATGGCTCGCTCGCGGTCTGAGAAATCGTCATCATCGTCGTCGTCGTCCACACCATCGAGCACATAGTCCAAGCCATCGCGCTTGAAGGATTCCGGCAATCTTGCGTCGTCCGCACCGGCAGCAGAGCTCTTGGACTTGGCGCTCTTCTTCATGCCGAGTTTCTTTTCCAGGCTGGCAATCTCACGCTCGTCGTCTTCAATCGAACCGGCAAACCTCGAAAGGCCACTTCCAGCACCAGCTCCGGATCCGTCCACGTCGACGCCATCGTCGCGCAGCATGTCAAAGAACTTGGATTTGCCAGCACGGGGCTGCTTGTCTTGCTGCCCATTTTCAGCCTGCAGCATGCGCGTGCGCTTGACTGAGCGATCGTCGTCGGTCTCAGAATCCGAGCCCTCAGAGTCTTGCGCCTTCCCTCGCCGCCGCTTGTTTCCTCGCGCAGCCCACCGTGCATGCATCTCGTCGTCATCATCATCGTCGTCGTTGTCATCATCATCACCATCATGATCGTCGTCATCATCTTCGGCGTTTCGGCGGAAGGCCACATGCTTCGCATTGGCGGCTGACTGGCCGTTCCTCAGCGCGCCGGCCGGCTTGCCCACCACGCTGCTCTTCGTCGCGGCACTAACATTGCCAGCAGCACGCTTGTTACGCTGCACACTGGGCTCTGGGTCGGTGTCTGCTGCGGCGGCGGACTTGCCCTGCTGCTGTCGCGCCGCGTGGTGCATCTGGACGCGCTGCCGCTTGTCGAGCTTTTTCTGTGCGCGCTGTGCTTTGCGCGACGTTGCCTGGATGCGCTTGGACGAGAGATACGGCGTGGCTGACACGAAGCGACGGGCGCTGTCCCGCTCGTCCCGCTCGGCCAGCGCGTCGTCAATTCCGCTCAGCAGGTTGTTGACGGGAGCTGAGGCAGCACCACTACCGCCGTCGTTGTCGTCGCGATTCTGCTGCTGCAATGCATCGCCGCTGGATTTATCTGCTGTTGGCTGATGATCGCGAAATGCCTGAGGCAGCATTGGGCGGCGTGCGTTGGCGTTCCGGCCACCAAAGCCACGACCGCCGCGACCGGATCCGCCTCGACCACCTCCTCGCATTATTGCTGTAAGAACTATCTGAAATGCTGAAAAATACAATACTGAAAAAAAAAAAAAAAGAGTGGGGAAGAGGGCTGCCATCTTGATCGAACATCTAGATCTAGATCTACAGAAACTGAGTACTTGGAACTTGACCTGCATTCGAACGTTGCGTTGCCGCCCCTCATGATGGCATTGTGGAATCGTAAAACACCAACTCATGCTGCGCAAAAAAACGTTCTTCTTTAGATCATCACAGGCAAGACAGAGGACAACAACCACAGTTTCGCAGCGCAGCTATGCGGCAACACATCACCGTTCAACAAGGCCGTTGTTAGTTTAATGGCCAGTGTTGTAGAGGATGACAGTCTTGGGGCCCTTGAGCACCATGACGGCCTTGAGGCCGGCAAAGCCCTCGACCTCAGCGCCGACAACAACGCCAGAGTGGCTGCCGTAGATCTGGTGGGCAAGGCGCATCAGGTTTGGCTTGTTGTGCTCGTGCGCGTTGAGGAAGGCGATGGCCTCGCTAATGTGGTGGTCGGCAGTGTGCTCGCGGTAGGTGCACTCCCAGTGGGCGTGGGGGTTGGGGAGCGCCTGGGACGAGTCGCCAGGGCGGTAGAAGATGACCTTCTTGGGGCCCTGGAGAACCATGACAGCCTTGAGGCCGTGGAAGCCCTCGAGCTCGGGGTTGACAACGTAGCCGGCAGTGGGGCCATACAGCTCACGGCAAAAGTTGTGGTAGTCGTTAGCCGAGTGGTGGTGGTGGTGCTCGTTGAGCCAGTGGATGGCACGGTTGATTGTCTCGTGGTCGGTGTGCTCGCTGTAAATGCAGTGGAAGGTCATGGTTGACAAAATGGAAGATGGTGTGACCTGACGTGAGAGAGAGAGAGAGAGAGAGATTGGAAGGGTGAGCGAGAGATTGCAATGGCAACGAAACGAGCTGTTTCAGACTTGAATCAGACAGAGCGGGTTGAGGAAGAAGGGTTTTTGATCGACTCTCTTCCATTGTTCACTTTTCCGGTGTCGCATGATGCTACATTTGCACATGGAATTGACTTTGTATTCGTGCAATCGTAAGATAGAAGGAAGTCGAATCACAAGTTTGGTGAACCAATCAGACAAAAGCCCCCAATGGCCCAGTCATGACCCCAATCAGACCTGGTGCGAATCGAGCGTCACACACACGCACCTCGCACGGTTCCTCATGTTTGGAAGTACGAGTTTTGGTGGGACTCGCTCTCTTTTTCTCTCTTTCGCTCTCGTTCTTTCGTTCATTCAATCTGTTCAATCCAACTTTTCTTTTTTTTTTTTTTCTTTTTTTTTTTCTCTCTCTCCATTCACTTGTCTCGAATGACCTTCTCTTTTGTTCATTTTGTGCTCAAACAACTGTTGTTTGTTGAATTGTTTTTTTTTTTTTCGATCGGCCTCCCAAATCAGGAAGGACTTTGTATTTTTTCGCTCAGGAAAGACAATTTGCTTCAATGAACGCAAACGTTCACCAAGTCAAACAACCCCCTCTCTCATCTTCGTCACACACACACACACACACACGCTCTCTCTCTCTCTCTCATACACACACACACAACACACACACACACTCACACACACACACACACACACACGCTCTCTCTCTCTCTCATACACACACACACAACACACACACACACTCACTCTCTTTTAACTCCGCGTTCGGACCGCTTTCCAGCGAGATCAACAAGAGCGACCGAGACAGAGAGACAGAGAAAGAGAGAGAGAGAGAGAGAGAGAGAGAGAGAGAGAGAGAGAGAGAGAGAGAGAGAGAGAGAGAGAGAGAGAGAGAGAGAGAGAGAGAGAGAGAGAGACAGAAAGACAGAGAGAGAGAGAGAGCGACGAAGCGCAAGACAGTGAAGAAGAGAATTGCTGTGATCAACAAAACAATCGAATGATTTCGAAATTGGAGGATTCGACATCAACTCACTGCTTTGTGAAAAGAGACTGAGTTCCAATTCTGGAAGATGGGCGATGTTGTAGAAATGACAAGGCTCCAAGCAGATTCGACTCTACGCGTTCAAAGGCCGATGTTCGCACGCAGGACAGAGAACACCAACAAACCAACCTCAACTGTGCCTTCTACTGCACAATGAATGGTCCCTCCAACCCCTTCTACCCAAACCCAAAACCCAAAACCCCCGATGCACAAACCCAAAACTCTCAGACTCCAAACCGGAAGCTGCTGAGAAAGTCAAAGTTCAGTCTTTTTTACTTTTTGACACTAAAACCAACCCCCAAATACACAAAACATGTCTAAGCGCGCCGGCCGATCCCCCGCAAAGCACGCCCATTCGCACGACCACGAGGACCACGACCACGACCACGACGACCACGAAGAAGGCACTGAGGCCGAGCGTGAGTTTTCCGCTCATCCATTTTGCTCTTGTCTACTACTTGATGCTCCACATGGTGTCTCTTTTTTTTTTTTTTTTTTTCATTTTCCCGCCTTTTTTTTGTTTTTTTCTTTTTTTTTTTTCTGCGTTTTCGTTCAACATCCTTCCTCTCTTTTCCACTTGCTCTCCACTTGTTCTCTCTCCACTTGTTCTTTTCCCCCTTCCCATCCTACCGCGTCCCCGCTTTGCACTCTTGGTCACGGTCCTTTTCGATTGTGTTGTGCAACTTTTTTTTTTTTCTTTCTCGAATTTTCTCGCTTTTCCCTTTTTTTTTTTTTTTCTTTTCTTTGCTTGCACTACGCTCACTCCCTGTCGCTGCCCACCGCTTTCCCCTTTCCAACACACAGAGCAAGCTGCCATCCAGGCCCTCCTCGCCCAGAACCCCCAGCTCGCTGCCATGATCAACGTAAGCCAAACGCAAGCAACAAATCATCCAAAAAACGTTTTTTTTTTTTTTTTTTTTTTTGCCATTGTTCACTCACTCACTCACTCTCCTCTTTTCCCCTCTCTCCTTCCCGTCTGTTGCTACCCCGCCTCCCCCCCCTTTAGAGCCGTCTTGGCTCCATTGCTGGCCAGTCGTCCGGCCTGCTCGAGTCCTTCCCCGAGGACGTCCAGCGCCGCATCAAGGCTCTCAAGAACCTCCACGTGCGTCTCTTCGCCTATTGTGATTTGTTTTCGTTTGGTTTGCTTTTCTATACTGTTGTGCTTCAAGTCGCAACGCCATTCGTCCTTCATTTTCCAACCTCTGTTTCGTTTCGTTCACTCACTTTTGTCCTTCTTCTCCCTTTTTTCCTTCATCCTTTCATTTTTTCCCCTACTCTCTCCTTCCCTTCCCTTTGCAAACTCTTGGCAGGTCAAGCACCTCGAGCTCGAGACCGAGTACCAAAAGGAGGTCAACGCGCTCGAGCGCAAGTACCTCAAGCTGTACACTCCCCTGTACGAGAAGCGCGCCACCATCGCTGCCGGCGCTTATGAGCCCACCGACGAGGAGGCCAACTACGTCTCGGACAACGAGGAGGACGAGGAAGACGACGACGAGGAGGAGGAGAGCAAGAAGGACGAGAAGCCCGTCAAGAAGGAGAAGGAGGACGAGGACAAGCCCGCCGAGCCTGTCAAGGGCATCCCCGCCTTCTGGCTCACCACCCTCAAGAACCTCGACATGCTCACCGAGCTCATCCGCGAGGAGGACGAGCCTGCTCTGCTTGCCCTGAAGGACATTGTCATTGCCCCCCTGACCGACAACGACGGCTTCCAGCTCGTCTTCCACTTTGACGACAACGAGTTCTTCACCAACAAGACGCTCACCAAGACCTACACTGTCTCGATGGAGAAGGGCGGCGAGCTCGTCTACTCTGGCACCACCGGCTGCGACATTGCCTGGAAGGAGGGCAAGAACCTGTCGGTCAAGACCATCACCAAGACCCAGCGCCACAAGGGCAAGGGCACCAAGCGCACCGTCACCCAGACCGTCCCCAACGAAACCTTCTTCCAATTCTTCTCTCCCCCCAAGACCCCCGAGGGCGAGGACGAGGAGCTCGACGAGGAGCAGGAGGGCCTGCTCGCCCAAGACTTTGAGATTGGCGAGACCCTCAAGACCCGCGTCATTCCCCACGCCGTCCTCTGGTTCACCGGCGAGGCCCTCGACTACGAGGACTACGAAGACGAGGAAGGCGATGACGACGAGGAGGACTACGACGACGAGGAGGGCGACGACGACGGCGAGGATGAGGAGCAAGACGAGGACTTTGACCCCAAGAAGGCCCAACCTAACAAGCCTGCCGAGTGCAAGCAGCAGTAAAAAGCAAAAAAAAAAAGTGAAGAAGCCAAAAACCAAAAGATGGGAAGGAAAATTGACAATGGACAATGTTCGTTTGTTGGGTTTGTCTTCTTTTTTCCTTCTTTTATTTTTGAGCTCTGTTCCTTGTTGTGAGTGTTGTCGTGTAATTGCTTTGATATGTTAAACATGAATACCTTTTCTCCGCTTCTTTGTCCAAGGTTGCAGTTGAACGAGGGTGATGAGTTTTATTTTTTGTCGTGTGCAGACGACCAGTGAGTGTTTGGGTTTTCGCTATTCCGAGCAGCCGGCGTGTGGCGCACTTGTCTGTAATATGCGTGCTAAGCAATTGGGTAACGTGGCGTTGTTGGCTCGTTGGCGTGTGCGACGCCAATCCATGTTGGCTCTGTTGGCCGCGCAGATCGTCGTCCGGCGAGCCCGCCCCGGTCCTGATTCATGCCGATGGACTTGAACTCGCGACTCTAGGCTATCCCTTTTGCCCGGATGCATCGAGCACGACGAACGCCAGCGCATAATCGCCGTCGTGCGACAGGGAAATGTGTGCATGCGACGCTCCGCGTGCTTGGAGCGCCTCTTTCAGGCGCCCGTCAATCCGCAGCATTGGCTTGGCTGTGTCGTTTCCATGTCACATCAGCGTCAGGGTTGTGAGTCACAGTTTGGAACAATTTCGTTTGCAATCTGGGTTTGAAGCCCAAACATCACCTTGAACGAGATCTGCCTGAATGTCGCTCCACACAAGACGATATGGGAAGCATGCCTTGTAGGTGGCCTCCTTTAACGCCCATCGGGATGCCAGGAACAGGATTGCGTGGCTGTGCTTTCCCGGGAGAACCTTTGAGCTCGATCGTAGTGCCTGAGGTTTATGATCCTCCTGCTGCTCCTGCTGCTCCTCCTGCAGCCTGCTGCGTCGCTGAAACTCTGCCAGCTCATCCGACGCAAGCACGCGACGCGACGCAAAAACCGGTCGCCTCGCTTGGCATAGACGGCTGCAATTCTTGAGACTGCGACGAGGTCGGTTCCGATCGCCACGACCATTTGAGAGAGCCTTCCGCTTTCAACCCTACGACTGCCCAAGGCAAACACAAACAAACTACGACTGAGATTTTGTGTTGTTATTTCTGATTTAGCATTCGGATGTGAATTTTCTCAGATTCTGCCTTGTTTTCAGCTGAGCTTTCGTGATCGTCTCCCATTTCAAAATCTCCATCGTCCAACACACAAATCCATTCATCCATTCATGCATCAAAACCACTCTTCTTGTTTTCATAACTCACAAACACACCAATGTCAGACCTCAAGTGGGCACTTCAGAACGGCGAGCTCGACACTGTCAAGAAGCTCATCGCCGAGCAGGTACAGCCACGATCCACTCCACTCCGCTCCACTCCACTCCGCTCCACTCCATCACGAGCACAAGGGCAAAGCAGTTCAACAGACAAGAAGTTCAGCGATTTCGACTTTGCTGGATTGCGCGACTCGAATCAAAAGGGATAAAATACTAGAAAAAAATAAAAAAAAATAAAAAAATAAAAAAATAATAAAAAAATAATAAAAAAATAATAGAATGTGTTTGCTTTTGGTCACTTTGAAGGTCTGAGCGTTGAGATGTGTGTGTTTGCATTGAGAAAGTGCGTTTGAAACGGAGGACGAGTTTGGTGTTTTGATTTGCAGTGGAGAGCTCGATCAAGGAAGGAAGGAAGGAAGACAAGAAGGAAGACGAAGAAAAGCGAGAATTTTACTCGTCCCCTCGCTTTTCATCCTGTTGGATCCCTCACCCCCCCTTTTCCCACTCAAACTCAATCAGACATCGCGACATGAATGTTGATGATGACGATGGTGGTGGTGGTTGAGTGGCGGCGATGAGGAGTGTCAGGAGCGACTGCGGGGACAAAACAAAAAAAAACCGCTGCCTTCTCTCTCTCTCTCTCTCTATCACTCTCTATCACTCTCTATCACTCTCTATCACTCTCACTCTCACTTGCACTGGGTCACTCTCACTTGTCACTTGCCACTCTGTAGAAGGTCGATGTCAACGGCGACCTCGCGGGACGCAAGCCGCTCCACTATGCCGCCGATTACGGCCAGGTTGAGGTTCTCGAGTACCTCGTTTCGCAGGGCGCCAACGTCAACGTATGCCTCTGCTTCAACCATGACGCGCGTTGTTGGTATAGGTGCTGTTGTCGTTGGGTTGTTGTTTGGCTCATTTCGTCTCTCTTTGTCGGTTTTGCTTTGGTCAGAGCGTCGACAAGCACGGCATTGCCCCGCTGCTCGCTGCGATCTGGGAAGGCCACACCGAGGCCGTCAAGTTCCTCATCTCCAAGGGTGCAGACAAGGACGGCAAGACCCCGCAAGGCGACACCTATTACAAGGCGGCCGAGAAGGACGAGATCCGCGAGCTGTTTGAATAAAAGCTGCACATTCATGAAAGGCCGTTCGACACGGCCCGTCTTGCTGGTCTTTTCTCATTCATCTTTGCATTGCATTCTCGTTGCACAGTCGTCCATGCTTGTTTTCCTTGCCCTTGTTTTGATGTTGTATCGCGCTCAATGTCGACGTCGTGATTGAACGCCCATTTTTTTTTTCTCGTCGCTGCAAACCCAAACTAGTGTTCGAGTTTCAATCCCATTGTTGTCGCAATGGACCATCCCGTCACAAACAGGCACACAAGTCTCAAATTCTTCTCCTTTGTCATGCAGCAGTGTTGCCCAGATGCTGGGGGCGATGGGTTGGCGAGTGAGCTGAACTGAACTGAACTTTCGCAATTTTTCGCTATTCAGTCGTCTCCGAGTGTATCAACAGAAAAACCAGAGCAGAGAGGAGACAGAGAGAAAAAAAAAAGTACATTATATCTATTTAGTAAAATTGGCTCAGTTCGCAGCAGAACTCTGTACCAAAGCCTCGTACTTGTCGCGCCAGTCTCGAGGTGAGAAGCGCAGCTCTTCGTAGGAGAATTGGTCCACGCGCATCTCGATACCTGCGGGAATTTCTCGCTCAACGATTTGCAAGAACTTTTGAAGCGTGTCTTCGTTCAAGTTGCTAATACGGACGCCTCGGTGATGCGTGTTTCGGACGAAAATGTCACTAACGGTAGGCGATTATTGAAAGCATGAAACAAGTGAGCTGCCACCAACAAGCGCAGCAATAGGGCCCCTCGAGGTGTGTCACTCACCGATGCTTCTTGTTGATGTGAGGGGACTTGAGGACAACGAAACGCTTGGTGTGAGTAGGGTACAAGAGGACTCCAGTTGTGGTGGCTGTTCAAAGTACGCAACACACAACAAAACCATCAGTCATGCAACAACAACAGAACTGAACAATCACAACAAACAAACAACAAAATAAAAGCAATCTCACCTCCGGCAAAATCACCAAACATGGAAATAAACGACGCATAACTCTCGAGCACACTCCAGTCATAGCCCTTGAGCGAAATCGTAATGGCCGGCAACAACTGCGCCTCGCCAGCAGCCTCGTGGTTGCGGTTGGGAAGCTTTTCGGCGTACAATTGGCGCATGCGCGAAATCTCATTGACAAGCTTGAGCAGGTGCGGGTCGTCGACTTGCATCATGTTGACCGCATCAAGGGGATCCGCGCCGTCGTCCTCGTCTTCAACAACAGACGTTGTGGTGGTGGTGGTGGTGCTGCTGCTGCTGTCGACGGTGGAAGAGGCGTTGTCGCCGAACGCGGCAGCAACATGATCGGCGACCGCGTGCACGTCGTTCGCACCGCCGAGCTTCTTGGTGAAGGCGGCGACGGCATCTGCAGCGGCAGCCGTGGCAGCGGCTTCAATGCCACTGTCACCGCTGGCTTCCTCGATCGCAACAATCTTGGTACCGGCTCCAGCGGCGAGATACGCGCGCTTCTGGGTCAAGGCATCAAACTTGTCCTTGTCCAGCGCGGTCGCAGAGGGCGCCGGTGACTTGGACACAAGTTCACTCGAGAGAATCTGCTCATTCTCACGCGCCTTCAAGTAGGCTCGGTTCCAGGCCTGATCGGCAGTCATGCGCTCGTCCAGGTGCTTGCGCCGGTTTTGCTCGTACGCCAAGGCGTCCTCCTCGCGCGGTTTGAAGGACTCAAACTCTGGCTCGGCTGGCGACTCGACTCCCTCAGCCATGTCCATGCCTGCGGGCAGCACGATCGTGTTGGTGGGGCCGGGGGTTGCCAAGTTGCGCACGAATCGCGGCTTGGTCACCGACGCGCGTGCACGGTCGAGCGCTCCTCGCAACTCGATCTGCTCTGCACGGCGATAGACGCTTCGACCTGACTCGTCTGCGACCTGCTGCGCGTGCAGTGCGCGCTCACTTGCGAGCACGTCCTGCTGCTGCTTCTCCAATCGCAGCCGGCTCATCCGCTGGTGGGTCTTGCCCGGCTCCTCTGCGAGCTGCTTTAGCGCCTTCGTGACCTGTCCGCCAAATGCGTCGACCTGCTGCAGCAGAGCGTCCTCCTGGTGGCGCGGCTCGGGCTGTCCCGTCAACTGGCGCACAAACTCGGCCGAGGTGAGCTTGCGGATGCCTCCCCGGCGGCTCTTCCGTCCGCTCGCACCGCCATACGACGCTTCAGACGAGCTCGACGATGCCGATGCTGCTGGCGGTTGGTCGGTGGGCGCGCGTGCGCTCGAGCCTGGTGCGAATCCAGAGATCGCTCGTCTTCCGCATGGTGAAGCAGCGAGGCCCGACCGTCCAGCCATCACAGCGACAGTGACTGAAGCAGCATCAGCAGCAACGGCAGCGCGACGGATGAGCTGCTGTGGCGATGACAGCAGCGTCGAGTAGCACTGCGCGGCAGTCGTGGGTCGACGCACTACTACTGCAGCCAGCATTGTGCTCGAAAACGATTGAAAGGAAAAAAAAAAAAAAAAAGTGTGAGCTCGAGTATCCGCTTGTAAATCCGCGCTTAATCAATCAATTCCCGTTACTAACACTCACAAAACAAATCCACGATTCAGTCCCCCATTTGTTTTTTCCACTCTTTTTCGCTGGATTGATGCTGCTCGGCTCGAATCTGCGGCGCTCGGCTGTCGCTGCGGCTGGCTACTCGCGTGGATCGCACTTGGCACCACTACCACTCCAGATCAGCGCCGGTGCTGCTGCTGCTGCTGCTGCTGCTGCGGCTGCGGTGAGCGTCGCTGCTGTGCGCGGACGGAGCTCGCTGCCTCAAGCAACAAGCACGTCAGGCCCCGCCGCCGCTCAACCCGTGTCCCAAGATCCTCAGGCTACTTCTACTTCTTCTACTCCTGGCATTGCAGTCATGGCGGCTGTGGCGGGGTCGCTCAGTCGCCGACTCGCGCAGGCCGCCGACCGCATGCTCGCGTCGCTCTACCTCATCCCAGCAGCAGCAGAAGAGCAGGGTCGCGGGCCGCATCGCCTGGACTTTGCGCTGGCAGCATCATCCGAGTCGCCGTTGGCAGCAGAAGAGCACGAGCGATCGTCGCTAACAGAGTCTGTCATGGACGTCCTGCGAGAGGGCTTCCTCTGGGCACTGCCAAAGCGCAAGACAACCCCAGCGCGCAAGGCTCGCCGTTCTACGCACAAGGGCCTGGAGCCAGTCGCTCAAATCACGACGTGCATGACCTGCGGACGGCCAAAGCACACTCATATGTTGTGCGGCGCGTGCTTCCGCACCACCCAGCTGCCCGTCCGTGAATTCCGCCGAGAGGAGCTATACAAGCATATTGTCACAAAGAGCCGCGGCCTCAAGGCATGGATTGAGCGAGGGTATCTGACGGCCAAGGCCAAGGCCACGGTCGCTCAAGCAGCTGCAGCTGCCCCTGCGCCACGGCCGACTTCTCCCTCGTCGGCAAAGCAAGAAGGCGAGCAGTAATGGTCGCTGTGCTCGTCGCTCACGCTTGTATTCTGATTGGCGTCATTTTCTATGTGTGCCTGTGTGCTGTGTGTCGAACAAAATGTACTTTGTGCCTTGTTGGAGACTTTTTCCTGTTTTCCTTTTTTTTTTTTTTTTTTTTTTCGTTTTTATCGTAGGTCGGTCGTCCGAAACGGTTGGTTACCGCTGTCAATCTGCCAAACACAACATCTACAGAGCACAACGTCCAAAAACCACTCGAAATCATTGCGATTCGTAGTGATTTTCAGTCGCTTGTCTTTCCCAAAGCCTGAAGAGAGCCGAAAACAGCTTTAGTGAAAGATCGCTCGATCATTCGTGTGTCGCGTTAGATGAATTCAGAAGCAAAGCAAAAAGCCCACTCGTTTTCCGGATGTCTGAGCAGCGCCAATCTGAGCCGAATTCAGGCTCGGGTCTGAGTCGTGCTGCCGCGCCAACCCAAAGCGTAGGAACAGCAGCTGCAGCAGCTGGGACGCCGTGGTTTCTGCTGTTCATTGTTGCGATTGCGGCACTTGCGGCTGGCGTCGTGCTGCACGCCGTGCTGGTCATCTACACTGGGCTGATCATTGTGCCGCAGCAAGCATTCTCGACAACAACCAGCCTCGGCGGTAGCGGCAGTTCATGCGACGCAGTCAATCCTCGCGTCGCCATGCAGCAGCACAGTGCTCCTGATTACAGCATTGACTGGCTCGAGTCGCTGGAGGCCCGCATGAGGTGTGTGTGTGTGTTTCAAAGCGTTTGTTTCAGTTCCATTGCAACAACTCATGCAACCCGTCTCATTCATGATTTGAATGGCATTGAGATAAATCTCAGAAATGCCCAGGCTGCGGAAACGCAATTGCCAGCGGGAGGTCTGATGACGATGGCATGGACAACTCCGATTTACAGGTAAACTCCCGTCGAAGTTTCTGGTTGACTCAGAATCAATCGCAACAAGCGTGGCGCTTTGAGCACCAAGAAAAACAAGAACCAACAAACAACAACAGCTTGACTCAAGCGATGATATGTTCCTTGTCTCGCTTGGGAATGCTGTTTGCACTAGGGTCAATCTTGCTGGTTTCAAGGTCGACGTGCCGAAATTCAACTCGCGATTGGCAGCATCCATCATCACGCAGTTCCAAAACCTGGTCAAGGAAAACCCGGACAAGCTGGTCTCGTCGGGAGCGGATGACCACGGCGCCAACCAGGCCTTCTACGACTGGCAGCGCAAGGGCAGCTGGAACGTCCTGCAAGGCTCGCGGGAAGGCCAAGCTCTGCGGCAGTTCATCATGACTGGTGTTGGCACCTACTTTCAGATGTTGGGAGAATCACAGGTATGGCGCATTGTAGAACGGTGGTTGTTTGTTATTTTTGCTTGTGTCGCTCACGAATGTGCTAGGACTTTGTCAACACGGTATCTGGGGAGATGACGGTTTGGGCAACCTTGCACCACAGTGGCATCTTTCACATGCCCCACTCGCATCCACACGAGCTGCTTTCTGGTGTCTTTTACGTAAAGATGCCCGGAAACGCGGGCAAGATTATCTTTTCCGATCCTCGAGGGCCGCTCACTCCGTTTGACAACACCATCGCCATCGAGCCACGGTATGTCCATTCCGGTGTTTGGTCATGTGTCGGTCGTGACGTTTGGTGGCTTGAGGGGTTGGATGGAGGGTTGCGGGGCAACAGAGCAAGCCAAGAACTGAAGGATTGTTTGTTTGGTTCTGCAGAGAGGGAGACTTGATCCTCTTCCCGAGTTGGCTGACGCACATGGTAATGCACGACGACTCATTGCAATGCGATTGGCAAGGGAGGGCGGGGGCAAGAGTGACTCGAAAACTCATTCCATTCCGTTTGGACTTTTGTAGGTCGCGCCGACTTCTGGTTCCGATGAGCGCATCAGCATTGCATTCAATATTCCCGGCGATTGGACAATGACGGCGAACGTGCGCACAGACGTGCCCGTTGGCTTTGAATGAGCGGTGCGCATGATTCTTTTTATTGTTGGTGTTGTGTGTGCTTGAAATTTACACACGTCCGATTTCAACGTTGTTTGAGCTCTGTATGGATGGGGAGCAAGCTCTCTCTCTCGCTTCAAGTGGTTGGCGCACTCTCACCCGACTCAGAGCACACGCAGTTTGCTCAAGTTGCCAAAAACAAAATCCCTCAACAATCCTCAATCTCATTTCGCTTCAGCACTGTCCAGATCCATGCCTGGCATTCACGTTCATGCTTGGTGAGCACAGTATGTGCAGTAGGTCTACAGCAGTGGGAAATTGGACGCGGATTGGACTGTTGTGTGGAAATCAACAAGCTCATCGCTCTAGATCTACAAGCCCATCGATCCACGCAGGTTTGGAGCTTTACTCATTGTTTTACCCAAGTTTGACAGCTTCTGATTTTGGTTCTGAATTTTCCCTATTTTTTCCCTATTTTTCCCTATTTTTTTTTTTCATATTTTTCGCTTTCAGTCCTTCATTCTTTTTTTTTTTTTTTTTTTTTTTCAAATTTTGTATTTTTTTTTTTTTTTTTTTTGAGTGTTCTCACATTTTGCCAATCGTTCGTTCGCCGCTTTTTCGCGCTTTTTTTTTTCCCCCCGTTGTCCGTTGTTGCGTCGAGCGTGGGGAGCGCCTTTGTGGGTGTAGCACCGGACGCCGTTGACCTCAGCCACGCACTCGTCTCCCCACACACTTCCTGGCACTGGCACGACGCTCGCTCGCCATTCTAGATCTCGACACGGCTAATCCGAATTCTGCAAAAAAAAAAAAAAAAAAGCGATTTTGGCGGGAAAACTTTTTTTTTTTTTTTTTTTTTTTTCGTTTGGCGGCGTTTGGATGGGCAGCGGCACCCTTCGCCTCTGAGTGCAGTGCTGCATGCCCATGCTGCTCTGACTGGCTGTTGCGCCTACATGTGCGTTGCGGTGCAATCCGTCTGCTCGTTTTCGCGCACCGACGCCTCGGAAAAAAATCGACTTCTTTTTGCATTTTGAAAAGCTAGCTGGGCTGGATTTTTAGTGAACTTTTGCGGTATCCCAATTCTTTCGCTTAGACTGATTGCTCGCGCCTACCGTGGATCATCAACCTGTGAATGTGCTGAGATTTTTTTTTTTTTTTTTTTTGACTTTTGAATTCAACCAATTCAATTCGCCTTCATCACACTTTGTCTTTTGTTGCTTTGTGTTGCAATTGTGTCGCTGACAGTTTGCGCTTGACTTTGCTGGTTTTGGTTGTCCGTTCTGAGCAGACAAAAAGCCAAATCACAACATCCCTTCGCTCCACTCAAGTACTATCATTATCCTGATTCGTATTGTTCGACGTCTGTCTGTTGAGAACACGCACAACCATGAGCTCGCCAAGCGCGCCATCTGACGCCGAGTCCGACCGACCCGCCGCCATGCCCGTGCAGCGCCTTCTCGACGAATTTACACAATGCTGCTCAGCAGTCAACATTGACTCTGCGACACGAGCTGATGCCTGGAAGCTCCTGAACAACACTTATGCACATGATGCGATTGAAAACCAGTCCTTCAATGTAGGTCTACTCTCTTGTGTTTCATTGATTTTTGTCTTGGTTTCCGACAACTCAGTCCCTCTCTTTCGTTTCTCCTGCGCGCATCTTTGGTGATGACACTTTAGTTTATGGATGCCATCATGTGTTCGCTCTACGTTTCGGGATTCCACCGGTCACTGACGACCATCAGTGGAAATGTTGTCCGTTCGAACGGCATCTCGCCGTCTCAGCTGGCTCGTGCTGCAAACACAAGGTACCCCACATCTGTGACACACATGCTTGCCTTGCAGCGTTGCATCTCGACCTTTGCGTCTGTTTGTGTGTGTGTTTTGCTTGTTTGATTGTTCTCACTTTCCCGGCCTCGTTGCAGCATCAAACACTTTCTCGAAGTGCTGGAAGTCTTTGTCTCGGACGCGCATTGCGCAGAGGAGGTTGTTCAGCACGCGCGCTTGATTACGACAAAGTTCGGAACCGTCAGTTTGATTTTCCAAAAGTACGAACGGGTGTTTTGGGCCATCTTCAAAGCCGAGCCGGCCGACCCCAGGTCTCCCAAGTCTGCACCGCATTCCCACACCTCCGTCCATAGCGGGCAAAACCAACCACCAGCAACCGCCTTGTTGTTCAAGCTTGCCTGGTTTTTGTTCATTTCCGTCAAAGGTACGAGGGGTTTGATCTTGTTGTTGATGATGTTGTTCTTGTTGTTGTTGTGGTTGGTCTTGTGTGGCAACACCTCACCTCGACCGCGTCTGTCTCATTGATTAGCGAAATGCCTCGGAAGCGCAAGTGACAACCTCGTCGACTCGGTCAAGTTTCTCGAGTGCTGCTTGCGTTTGCTGCTTGCAAATGCGCCGTACGAATTGAGGCGACCAGAGCTCGGTATGCTTTGCTGTTTGTTTTTTTCCCCCTTGTTTTTATTTTATTTTGTTTTTTTATTTTGGGGTGTGTGTTTCATCTCTCGATTTCTCACCCAACAACTCCCCCACGCACTCGTGATAGAACGCGAGCTCCCAGACATTTCTGATGCGGGGCTGCGCGCGTTTATTGCGGCCGAATTGGGATCTGCTGCTGGCGACAACGAAGACCATCAGTGGCGCCGAACGGTCTTGAAGCTCTTCCAAGATATGCCGCAGTTGGTGGAAGTACCCATCCCGCGCTCGCCATCGACCTCCATGTCATCCCGATCTTCGGTTGCAGCGGGCTCTCCTGCGTCTGCTGCGGGGGCACCGCGGGGTGATTCTACGCCCAGACGTTCGGCGCGAGCGTTAAACCTTGGCGACTCGAGCCCATCGCGCCAACCAGGCGCTGTGCCGATGGACATTGACGGCGATAACAGCAATGACTCGACGTCCTCTGTCACGTCCGCCTCGCACTACCGAACGCGAGGAGTGGCCAGTGCAGCGGCGGCACCGAGCGCATCATCGGACGAGTACGAGCGGTTGCTGTCCCAATTCTTCTGCATGACCGAGCTCAGCTCGCGCATCAAGATTCTGTCCCAGCACTACGATTATTGGCAAAAGACTTCTGGCGAGTTTGACGAGCGCATGTACATTGTAGACAAGGCGCGAGAGAACGCCAACGACTCGCCTGGCCGAGTTCACCACCATCAGCACCACCACACTGGTCCGTCCTCGGTGTTGCGCCCGACGACAGCCGCTCGCATGTTGTCGTTTGCCACCAGTAACAACAGCACCCCTATGTCGATGCGCACGCGGGCGCGTGGTGACATGTTCGCCGTGCCAAGCCCTGCCCACGCCTCCGTCACGCGCGGCCCTGGAGCTGGTGTGCCTGCGACTCCTGTGCGCGTCTCGATGGAGCGACATAACCAGCTTGTGCGAGGTGCAGCTGCGCACGCTCGCGGTGCCGCAAACGGCAACCACAATTCTTTGGTCGGATCGGAAGTGCCTGCGACCAACGTTGATAGCGCGGTGGCGCTGGTGCGGAACGACGAAGGGCTCAAGGATTTGTGCGCATACTCTCCCAGCTCTGCCAATCTCGTCTCCAACCTTGCAGCGCGGGTCGAACGCTTGGGTCGCCTCTTTGTCGACAAGTACACTGAGCGAACAGGCACATCCGCGGATGACTCTGCCCAGGGGCATTTCGGTTGGTCGGCGACGCGCTACCTTCAGTGTCTCAAGCTCATTGTCTCCTCGGAGCGGAAGCGAGAAGGCGTAAAGTTCCCGGACTTTGTCACCTACGTGATGACAAAGGAGTCCTTCCATTTGTCGTTGCTCGCTTGCTGCATCGAAATCTCCATCAAATTTGGCGGACCGGCCGAAACGCTGCTCTTCCCTTGGGTTTTGACCGTGTTTGACATTCATGCGTACGACTTTTTCAAGGTGATTGAGCCAGTCGTGCGCGTTTGCGATGGCGTCTTCCTCGGGCGCGAGGTTGTCAAGCACCTGGGCCGCATTGAAGAGCGCATTGTCGACACCTTGGCATGGAAGACTGGCTCGCCTCTGCTTGAGGCCGTTCGGGCTGCGCAGGGAATGCCACATCCGGAAGCGGTTCAAGCGGATCCGTCCATTGCCGCTGCAGCCGGTCCCCTTGCCTTTGGCGCCACCCCAGTGAAGAGCGTTGTTGTGGACTTGACGAGCTCTCCACGCACGGGCATGGCCACGCGCAGCAGTAGCGGCAGCACCACAAATGCCTCAGCAGCTGCAGCTGCGGCGGCATCGATTGCGGCCACTCCTCGCACCGAGCGCGCTCGTAGCACCTACCAGGCGGCTACCCCAATCATGGCGGTGTTTGAATCGCCTCGCCGCTCTGGGGTCGCAGCCCAGGCCAAGTTTGGCACACCAACACGTCCTTCTACGCTGGCTGCCAGCTCGGCCATGACGCCCAACCACCCAACAACGAACGGCGGTACCTTTGCTGCGCCATCCACGCCCAGCCGCGCCAAGCATTCTGCGTTGCATCTGTTTGTCCGAAAGGTCTACGCCCTCGGCTACATGCGCGTGTCGGATCTGTGTGAAAAGCTGCACCTCACTGCGGAGAGCAAGACGCGCGTTTGGACTGTGCTGACCGAAGCCATCCAAATGGAGCCCCTGCTGCTTCGGGATCGTACGCTCGACCTTCTCGTCATCTGCTCCGCGTTCATTATTGCCAAGGTGGGGCAAGATAAGACCACCTCGTTCAAAACGTTGCTTGATTTCTACAAGCAGCAGCCCAACTACCAGCGAAGTGTAAGCATTTCGTTGCATGTCTCTCCACAGATCTTTGTTTTTTTTTCTCGATCATTGCTGGTTCAAATCATTTTGACATGTTGATGTTGGTTGGTTTGCTTGTTTGTGCTGCAGAGCTATGAAGGCGTTCTTTTGACTCGAGCTGACCCTGTCTCTGGATCGCATGACACTCGCGGTTCAATCGTCAAGTTTTATAACGAGATTTTCATGCCTCAACTGCGGCCATTTGCTTCTCGGTTTGTCCCCAACGGCACAGAGGTAACGCGGAAACTTGTTGCTTCAGTCAGTCACGGACGATGCGAGCAGCCCATTCATTCTGTTATCGTTTTTGTTTGGTTTTTCTGTGCTCTCGTTTTAGATTCCTCCGGCATCGCCCATCCCGCTGAGAATCATGTCGCCTTCACGCCGACTCGTAGTGCCAGATGCGTCGTTGTACGTGACGCTCTCGCCCCGCTCGCGACGTGCTGCAGAAGGGCCGCTACCGCAAGCCTCTGCCAAGAAGGTTCGAACCTTTGCCTACGAGTTTGGCGACAGCCCAACAAAGGTGCGTGTTTCACTGCCATTGTGTGCTGGTTGGCGAGATCAAACTGGTGCTCACTTTTTTTTTTCTTTTTTTTTTCTTTTGTTTCCTCTCTAGCATTTGGAAGATATTAACGACTCGGTGAGGCCTCGATCTGGCGGATTGTTTGGGCCCTCGGCTGCATCTGGTTTGCCGCTGGCGCGTGCTGAAAGCGAGGAAGTGCAGAGCAACGGTGACGGCGATGATTCCCACTCGGACCAAGTCGACCGCTCAAACACCGATTCGACCGACATGCAATGACCTCTTGACTCTTCTTCTTCTTCTTCTTCTTCCTTTATATTTTGTTAACGCTGATACGCTGTGCTTGTTGATTTTGTCTGTTGTGATCTGGTTGTTTGTATTGCATGCATAACTTGTGAATTGGTCTGTGGATTGTGATTGCATGTGGAAAGAATTTTCAGTTTTGTGAATTTGCGTTATGGTCTATGTGCTCGTCCATTCCATTTACATTCCAGTCTCTCTATTTTTTCTTCACATTTACAACATTTGATCATGTTCAACTTTGGCGAAGTTGCGCTGACCGTGTCGAGCTCGGCAGACGACCACTTGACGCTGCGCGACTTGCGTTCAGGCGCCGTCCTCACCACCTACAAGACGGTACGGTAGCCCAACCCATCACCCTGTTTTTTTTCTCTCTCTTCACTATTGTCATCAACAACAATGCCGCTCTATTCATTGTGCGGCTGTGGTCGGAGAGGGAGTCGAGTTCGTTCAACCGCTGTTCCATGTGTTCTCGATGCATCTGCAACACTCTACTGCCCGAATCAGAGTCCCACACAAACCAAAGCACTGCACTCATCAACACTTTCTTTTGGCATTCTCATTTGGCTGGCTTGTTTGCTGCGGTCGCATTCATGGCGGTGGGACAGGGTCAAACAGGCGGCATTGGTCCTCATGGCGTCTCGATCACCTCGTGTGGCCAGTTTGCACTCCCGCTCCTGCTCGCGGCATCTGCAGATCGCCCAGTAGTCAACTCGTGGTATTGGCAGAAGGTACGCAGGTCCTTTGCGCGCGGGGGGGGGGGAACCGAGGTGGGCCGGCATGCTGCGACGCCAGCCGAAAAACCAATCCGCTCAACGTTTATGCGAATCGTGTCGTGTGTACGTGATAGGATCAAGTACACGTCAAGTCTACATTGGCAGAGAAGGTGCCGGTGATTGCTACGTCGCCGGACGGATTGTACATTGTCGGCGGTAGCGCTCAAGGCAGGCTCTTTGTTTGGGAGGTGTGTTTCTCAGAATCTAACGCTCTCATCGCGAAGCTCTCTGTGTTGGGGACTAACAACAAGCTGGTGCATCGCTTGCTCCAGATTGCCACTGGATCGCTTCTCAAAATGACCGAGGCCCATTACAAGCCCATTACTGTTATTCGCTTCACGGACGATGGATCGCACGTTGTTGTCGGTGCCGAGGACGCTCTCGTGACTGTCTGGCGATTCTCTACGTATGGCACACACACCTTTGTGATGCGTTGTTCGTGCTGGTTTTTGAGCCTGGAGGTGCCGTCACTGACAAACTCTTCAACGCGTTGACTTGCATCCAGCATCGCCACAACTCCCCGTGCCCAACGCCTCGCACCACAAGCAACGCCAGTGCATTCGCTTGCCGACCACTCACTACCAATATCAGACATTCACATGGGCGTCGATGGCTTCAACTGCCGTTTTGCCACCGCTTCAATGGATCGCACATGCAAGGTAAACCTCGGAGCAAAGCTGTCAGCAGCACCCATTGAGTGATTTTGTTGTTTACTAACCAATCATCCTTCTTGTTTTGGTGTTTGTGACTTTGACTTTGGCAGTTGTGGGAATTGGCCTCTGGAATCCTGCTCTGCTCGTTTGTCTTTCCAACGTCAATTTCATCCGTGCTGGTGGACCCGGCAGAACTTTTGCTGATTGCCGGTGGTGCCGACGGACACATTTACCCCATCAACATCCACGAGCAATCGATGTCAACTGTAGCACAGCAGCACCAGCAACAACGCCACGGCGCATCGTTCGCTGGCAGCGCAAGCGCCGCGCTTGACACTTTTGTCGAGTCTGGCCGACGATTCGAGGGTCACAGGTTGGTTTATGCTCGAGAAGAAAGAGAGGGAGAGGGAGAGGGAGAGGGAGAGGGAGAGCAATTTTTTTTTTGTTCTTGTGGCTGTTTGCAGTTGACTAACCAAGACTGCTGATTGTGTGCGCACGTTTCAGCCGAGCAGTGTCGTCGCTCGCGCTGTCCTTTGATGGTACAACGTTGCTCTCGGGCGGCCAAGATGGCGCCGCCATTGTTTGGGACGTGCGTAGTGGTCAAATTGTTAAAACCTTTGCGCAGCACAAAGGTACACGGTCGAAGTGCACGATACGATGGCTCTGATGCTTTTGCGCTCACCCATGACCTCACTTTCTGTTGCGCTCCGACGTCAAACAGGACCCGTGACGAATGTGTTCATCTTCTTCCGACCGCCGGAGCTGATGTCGCTGAACGCCAAGCGCGTCCTTCCTATCGCCGCTCCTCTGAAGCGCTTCCTTGCGACCGAAGAAGGCGTAACCGAGAATGACATTGTTTCTGGCCAGCCGATGCGTATTGCCGACGCCGCCGTCGACCCTTCGTGCGCACCATGCGGTCTCTTGCCACCCGCCATCAGCTCTTTTCCCGAGCAGGATGCTGCTGCGACCTACCACTCGCTCGGCCTGTTTGAAGTGAGAGAGTCAGCTCGTATGCAAGCCGTTGTTGAGGGTATTGACTTGTCGGGTGTTTTTTTGTTTTTTGTTTTTCAGATTTCTGCCTCTTCCACCGACCCAGTTGCCGAGTTGGATCACCTGCGCGAGCAGGTCGCGCATTTGCGTCAGCTGAACGACAAGTGGCAGCAGGTGGCCAACAAGTATCAGCGCTTTATTGCCGACGATCTCACGCAACAATGATCGCAGTCAGAATAAACACAGTACAAACGCAACAGTTTGCAGGCTGTCGGCTCAATGCTTGTTCCATGCGACTCGAGTATGTGCTGCATGAAAGTCATTATCGGGGTCAGAGTGAGAATTCTAGTGCTCCTTTTGCCTCTCCCGAGCCTCTCCCCGTCGCCTCTCCGACCATAAAGCACTACCATAGATTGATGCATTTATACGACATGTACAGACAAAGTTAGGCCCAAATCAGTCTATTATTGCTGTACTGTGATGGAGGATTGCGACCAATCGCTCTGGCGGCCGTACCCCGTCGCACGGCTGCCGCAGCTCACGGCACACATTGTCGAGGACCACCCCACGCCCGGATGCGCGACCGTCACGCTCACGTCGTCGGACGAGGCCGCCGTGCCGTCAAGCTCGTTTGTCGCTGACTTTGCGACGCTGGCCAAGTGCGACCGCGGCCGCAAGTGCCTCGCTTCCATCCAAACAATGCTGCTCGAGAACCAGCCAGCGCACTTGCAGCTGCTCTTCCGCGTCATGGCAGACAGCCCGCACAAGACCAGCTACGCCGCCTGGGTCGCGACGGGCGAGGCCATCCTTGCAGACATGGACGCTGCATCTGCCGCATCTGCCTCCTCCTCGACCACAACCACGGCTCAAGAGACACAGGCAAAGGGACGCAGGCTCAAGGGACTCAGCCGCTCCCTCAACTCGACACCCCATCGCCAGCAGTTGTGGCCGCGAGCCTCGCCACTCCGACGACCGAGCTGCTCGCAGCATCGCCCACATCGTGGTATCCACACAGCCGCACGCTCATTCGTGTCAATAGGCACGAGAAGTTTCTCCTGAGCGAAAATCGCGGTAATTGGGACGACGGCATCGAACGCTCGTACTCTGACCTGGTACTGATGGCCTTGCGCGTGATCGCCTACTACTGGCACGCCGGCCGTTTACCATTCGATCGCTACCTCATCCAGACTGCGCATATTCCGACTCAACTTGTGATGCTGGGGCGCGATGTCGCTCCAAAGCAGATGATCGCTGAGATTGTCGAAGGCGTCAACCAGCTCGGTCTGCCCTTGGACGAAGGCATGATCGACGGCGCAAAAGAAGCGCATGAAGCGTACGCTCTGCCGCATTTGCGCCTCTACCCGCGATTCGACTGGGACGAGTGGCAGACATACCACCTGACCTGCCCCCTCCTCGTCCGGCACCTCTTCCTGGCTGTCTGGCACGGTGACATCCCCAGCCTGAGACAGAAGCTCGGCGAGCTGTCGGCACTTGTTGACAGCGGCGCTCCGCTGCGCCAGGCGCTGCCGAAACTCAACTTTCATTCAAAGAGCGACATCCCGGCAGCGGAAGTGCTGAGCTATATCGTCCAGCGAGTGCGGTTTGATAACACGCCGCTCAATGAGCGCTCAAGGAATTGGTGGTATTATCTGCCCAGGAGCAAGACTGACGCTGACCGCACGCTCGCCTCTGTGCTGACCGGCGAGCTACTCACAAGTTGCATTTCGCGCTGCCAAAGCCATGTCACGCTCCTGCATCTCGCGGTGCTGCGGCGCCATGCTGATGTGATCCGCATCCTGGTGATGGAGTGCGGCATGCCCGTCGAGCTCGGCCTTTGGGCCGCAGTGCGGTATGGCCTCGTCGACATGGCCCGGCTGATGTTGGAACTTGGGGCGACACCGACCCGTTTTCTTCTTGATGGGGTCGTTCGCAACCTCGACTGCGACATGCTCCGCTTCCTTGTCGCGGCTGGCGGCGTCGTCACGGCCCGGGAGCTCACCGTGTACACCCTTGAGCACGACATCCCACGCGCTGACTTCCTTCAGGCGTTGCTTGAGCTCGGCGCGCCCATCGACGCTCAGGTGCCGGCTCGGTACTATAATCCGACTTCTGGACAAAGTACAAGACCACATCTCGTCGATCTGCTGCCTCGCCTGGCAGCCAAGAGTACGCGCATCGTCCCGCTGCTTCTGTCATACGGGGCGCGGAGAGGAGCACGAGCTGCACTGCAACACGCTCTCCTCGCACGCGATCTGGAGGTCTTCCGACTGCTGCTGCAATCCATCCCCATATCCGAGCTTGATATGCATCTGTGGGCCGAGTTAACTCCCCAGTGGCTGCCCGTGACGCCATCCAGGCCACTCTCGCCAGCTGAACAAACCCGTTTCATACTCGCGATCGTGGAGTACGGGTTGCCACTGCCCAGCGCCCTTCCCGCTGCCGACGGAACGGAGTTTGACTTGTTCGCCAACCGCAAATCGTACGACCTTGCTGGACTCTCGAACACCGAGAAGAGCATTTACCGAGGTCAGTTCGCTGCGTCTTCCGTTGCCTTCAGCGAGGACACTGCGGCCATTCGCATGCTCATTGACCACGGCAACGGCGCACCCTGGCTTTTGTTGCTTTGTGCGTCTGTTCGGCCTGAGTGCCCCGACCAGTTGCTCTGCCAAAACGTTGAGCTGCTTATTTACGCCCTGTCGCGACTGGAGCACGATGCGGCTGCGCTTGTGAGCGAGCTGTGTTTGCTCGAAACAGCTTGCGAGTTACGTTCGGCCAGTTGTGTTCTTTTTTTGCGGCTACTTGGCATTCCAGTCAACTATAGCCGAGAAGAGTTACTTGCCCGGTTTCGCGCTGCGGTCGCGCGCCAGCGCCGTCGTGACATGACAGTGACGGAAATGCTGATGGAGCCTTGGGCGCAAGTCTGGATTGCCATGCGTGAGTGCTGATGAGTGAGCATGCCGCTGGTTGACATGGCTTTGGGCGGTTGTGCTGTTTGCTTGCTGACAACGAGGGCTGCTTTGCTATTTTCGTTTTTTTTTTTTGGCAGTCACTCCCCCCAAGATGTCGCTGTTGAATAGTGCTCGCCGGGCGCTCTTCCGCGCGCCGCAGCCGTTGCGCCGGTTTCTGTATGATGACGCCCAGCATACGTTCGGCGATTTGTACGAGCCGATTCCGCCGTCGTCGGAACTACTCGCCGAGGCACGCGTGGATGTATGAGGTGCGCCTTTTGGGGTTCTTGTATTTGTATGAGCGTTATGCTTGGATAATCATTTTGTTAGAATATTGTCTTCAAAAAAACCAACAACGCAGCTAACATCTCAGCAAATGTGAAATTGAAAAACAAAACTACAAAACGCACAATACTGTACATGTACAGATACAAGCCCAGGTTGTCTCGTTCCGGTTCCCATACAAGCTGTGGCTCTTCGAATCTTTCTCTGTTTTCATTTTTTTGCTTCTCCATTCTCCGTCAAACTCGCCTTTCTCAGAGACTTTTCTTTACTTTCACTCTTTTTTTTTTTTTTTTTTTTTTCCCTCAAATCACAATGGCTGCAGCAGCTGAATCCAAGCCTGCCTTCCGCATGCCCAAGCTGCACAACAACCCCACCGGCTGGGGTCCCTCTGCCGTGCGTAGCAACCTCGTCATTCTTACGCACGCTGTCTGTCTTTCAGTCTTTCAGTGCCCTCGTCCCTCAAGCAAAAGCCAGCGCCCAATGCACAAAATCCAATGCAGAAGCAAAAAAAAAAAAAAAAAAAAAAAAAAAAAAAAAAAAAAAAAAAAAGGAGGGATCTCTGCCACTTTGCCTCATGCGTTGTGTTTGCGCCTCTGCGTCCGGGTCGTTCGTTCTGGTCGTTGCTGCTTGAGTGCTCGCTTATTGTGTGGGTCTCGGAGGCGGCGGCGGGGGGAGGGAGGGAACGAGGAGCATTCTGGAAGGAGCAGGACAAACTTGAAGCTTTGGCTCGTTCGCCTTTGCGCATGGTCTCAATCGCTCGGTGACTTGTGGGAAGGGGATGGAGTGGGGTTACTGTGTGACAATGTAGCAACTCAGTCGAGACTGACTGTGGCTGGAGCGTTGCGAGGGGTTAGGGGAATGGGACTTTCTTTAAACGCTGCGACGATGTCGCAATGCTCACTACACTGACCACCGCACTCGACTTGTACGACATCCCCGTCATTTGTATCGATAGGGCCCTGAGCAGTTCGATGACACGCTCTACCAGCCGTTCTCCAAGGCCGATCGCTTGGGTCGCGTTGCAGACTGGACCAACACGCTCTACCCACAGGACAACAAGCGTGCCTACCGTAAGTCGTCCATTCAGTGAATAGGCAACACACGCACACACACACACACACACTCTCTCTCTCTCTCTCTCTCTCTCTCTCTCTCTCTCTCTCTCTCTCTCTCTCTCACTCTAGAGGTCCCACGTCATAGCGATAAGCGCGTGTGCATTCACGTTGTCACGTTTGTTTTGTTGGTCTCTCACCGAATCCACCTTTTTTTTTTTCTTCTTCTTCTTCTTTTTCTTGTTTGTCGACGCAGGGCAATACCAGCAGTACGGCGCGCAGGGATCCACCGCGTTCACGTACTACCACGGCGAGGACGAGAGCTCGTTCTCGCTCGTCGACAACTCGCGCCAGCAGCCGCGCTCCAAGTATGGCTCCAAGCGACCGGCTACCAACATTCGTCGCCCTGGCTTTGGTCCTGGCCGTGGTGGCGCGCTGGGTCTGCAGAACAGCATGCGCGCTGGCACCCAGAACAACCAATGGAACAACCAGCGTGGCGGCCGTGGTGGCTACTATGGCCAAGGCCGACGCGCCGGTGGCTATGGCCGTGGCGACGGGCGCCTCAACCGCGGCAACGCCTGGTCGGTCGAGGTCCAGCCCGAGTGGAAGCTGCTGGAGGAGATTGATTTCGGCAAGCTCAACAACCTGCAGATGACCGTGCAAGACCCCGAGGAGCTCGGCCTGTACGGCAACGTGGGTGTGTTTGACCGTGCCTTTGACACGCTGACCACCAAGTCCGACAAGGCTCTCGTCTCGACCAGCCGCTTCTTCAACCGCGTCACTGCCATCGACGACCCCGTGCTCCGCGAGCACGCCAAGAACGGCGGCCAAGTGTTTGCCACGGATAACGTCATTGCCGCCATCATGTCGTGCACCCGCTCAGTCTACTCGTTCGACATTGTCGTCGAAAAGATCGGCGACAAGCTCTTCCTGTACCAACGCGACAACTCAGACCTCGACTTTCTCACCGTCGACGAAACCTCGCCCGACCCGCCGCACGACGACGGCGACGGCAGCATCAACGCGCCCCGCAAGCTCGCTGTGGAGGCCACTCTAGTCAACCAGTACTTTACCCAGCAGGTCCTTAAGAAGAACTCTATTGTCTCGATTGGCAAGTCCAACCCATTCCTGGACACTGTGCCCGAGAAGGCCGAGGCCGCCGCCGTCGGCTACCGATACCGCCGATGGAACATTGGCACCGACCTCAACCTCGTCTGCCGATGCGAAGTTGATGGTCTGCTTGTGTCAAAGAAGCCCGAGGAGCTCACCGAGGACACGGACGCCTTTGTGATGGTCAAGGCCTTGACAGAGTACGACTCGAAGGCCTCTGGCTCGCTCGACTGGCGTCAAAAGCTCGACATTCAGCGTGGTGCCCTGCTTGCCACGGCCCTCAAGAACAACCTGTTCAAGGTCTGCCGCTGGGCCGCCGCCGCCTCGCTCTCGGGCGCCTCGCAAATCCGCGTCGGCTTTGTCTCGCGCGCGTCGCCCCGCGACAACACCCGCCACACCGTCCTTGGCACCTCTTCGCTCCGACCAAAGGAGCTGGCGCAACAGATTAACTTCCAGCTGAGCAACGGCTGGGCTGTTCTCCGCACCGTCATTGACGCATGCCGCAAGCAGACTGACGGCAAGTATCTTCTTCTCAAGGATCCCAGCAAGGTGAGTTGGCGGGTTGCTGTTGAGTTTGTGTGTGTGTGTGTGTGTGTGTGTGTGTGTGTGTGTGTGTGTGTGTGTGTGTGTGTGTGTGTGTGTGTGTGTGTGTGTGTGTGTGTATCGTTGTCTGACTTTGCCTTTGTTTGTACTCTTGCTCTTTGCCAGCGATCAATCGTGCTCTACAGCATTCCACAAGGCACTTTCGAGGAGGCCTCCGACGACGAAGAGGAGGAGGATGACGACACTGTGAACGAATTCGCCTCAGACATTGCTCCTTCCCAAGCCGATGAGGCTGAGCAGTAAAAATCTAGCATTTCCCCCCCCCCTCCCCCGACTGTGTGGCGCAAGATCCTACTGCTTTTTGTGCCTGTGTGCTTGTTCTGTTATGGACTTTTCTTTTCTTGTTGGCGATGATTGTGCTTTTTGTGTGCTTGTGATAAAACCAAAAACTTTCGACTTTTCTCCCCCTCCCCCGATTGCACTTGTTCGTCGTGTGTATGTATCTGCCATTTCGTGCCTTCGGTCGATGCTCTGCGATTGTGATTTGCACAAACTCGGCTCAGTCTGGTTTGGTGTTGGGACGAAATCAGCAGCGCGCAACAAATGAGCTCGCCACCGAGCACAGCCAGCGGCACCACTCCTGCACGCCGTCGATCAAGCAGTAGTGCACTGGCAGCTCTTCTGCTGCGACCGGGCGGAGGTCCAGGCGGAACTCTGGGTGTGGGTGACAGCCCCATCGTTGGCAGTCATCACTTTCGCGTGGGAACTCCGACAGCCAACCACAACGCCGTCGCAGCCAATTTGCCGCCGCTGAATGCAGCAATGCATGCTCTGACAGTCAGTGCAGCATCTAGCACACAGCTGGGGTCGGGAGTCTCGGCTGCGCTGGGCTCGGTCACGCCTGAATCGGCGAGACCTCAATCGGCGCCGTCCCCACTCACGTCCTCGGCCGCCGTGATGGTGCCTGGAAATCTCTTCCGGCAATATCTGTCCACAGACCGTATTTTCATTTGTGCGACCTGTCACTGTCATTTGGCGTGCCAGGACGACTTGATTTCCAAGGTGAGGGGCAATTCTGAGAAAAGTTGAGAAAGCCTCGATTTGTCAATGGCCTTTGTTGATTGGTCTTTGATTCCGCTCTTGATCAGTCCTTTCAAGGTGTGCATGGGCGTGCTTACTTGTTTAACACCGTGTAAGCTCTCGAGCGCAATATTGTTCAACGGACGAAGGGGCGGGGAGCTCGCAGAAATCACCAGCGTTGTTTGTTTCGGCTGACTTTGCATGGTTTTTGAAAGAATCAACTTTACAACGGGACCCTTGGAGCAGCGAGTGTTGATGACAGGATCACACACCGTTGCAGACATCTTTTGTTCGGGCTGCAAGACCCTTCTAGGATGGAAATATGTGAGTATTTGAGCTGCGAGACTGATAATTTTGGCGAAGGTGCACTGACCAATCAATCGCACACAAATGCACAGGAAGAGACGTCTCAGCCATCCCAGCGGTACAAGATTGGAAAGTTCATTATCGAAAAAGTGCGGATGGTGAAAGAGAATGGCTGGACCTGAACCTGCGTTCTGTTGATTGTGTTTTTTGGGATTTGGAATTGTTTCTCGTGGACGCTGTTTGTTGGCTCGAATTGTACTGTACTTTGACAGAAAATAATCATAATCAAATAGAAAACTGGCGGCATTCTACCTCGCTTGCTGCGATGCCACCTGGCGAAGCTCGCTGATTAGCCGCTTGACACCAACAATCCATTGTCCAGCCTCGTCAAAGTGCTTTGTCACGAGTTCGATGTGCGTCTCGCTAGCCTGGTCGAATTGCCCTTGCGTTAGTTCTGTCTCCACAAAAACGAGTGCATGTGAGTCATGTCAGAAAGGTCAAGCACACAAAAGGGAAGCTGACAAGCTTACGCGTGGCAAGACACTGGGCAACGGCGGCCACTGATGCGCTCAACTGATCGGCCTCACACTTGGCGAGAAGCATTCCAACACGGCGTTTCATATCGTCATGAGACTTTTTAGCAGCCTGTATGTAGCAAAACAAAATCGTCGCAAAGGCAATTGAGTTGCAACCTCCAATTCCAAAAAAAAAAAACCAAAAAAAAAAAAAAAAAAAAAACCGGCAACTGTAGATCAACAAACCATGGGATCATTCGGTTGCGGTTCTGGGCACCGTGCAAGCAGTGTAACAAACGTGCTGCGCAAGTCAGCTTGGTCAACTCGAGCAGCCGGCGCGGATGACGCGGCAATCAACGCTGATGCTGCAGCTACCATCATCATCCATAGCAATACATGCAAAAAGTGTGAGTTTGAACGGCAGACAAAACAAGCAAACAAAACGAACAACAGCCGGCAATGCTCAGAAAAGCGCATAATCTCAGAATGACAACTGAAAACTGCGAAATCATTCGTTCTGATCCATTGTTCACTGCCTCTGCCTCTGTCTCTGTCTCTCTGCCCTCACCAGATGTGCCGGTCGTGGGTGGTCCTGGTGGCGGCATTGATCCTGATGCCGGCGGTGGTCCATTGCTGGCTGACGCTGGCAACAAAGTCGGAGCAGCAGTGGGCGCGAGTCCGTCGACGCGTGCGACTCTGCCACTCCGCGCCGAGGGATGCGCAGCCTGATAATCGAACAGCAGACCATGGCCAGCCACGCCTGGTGGAGCGCCGGCAGCGGGATTGCCAGGAGCGAGCTCGAACGTCATTGCAAACGGATCGGTCAGTCCCTGCGCACCGTTCGACGACGACGATGACACTGATGCTGATGATGATGATGATGATGATGATGAAGATGACACGGATGATGAAGCGGTTTCAGTGCCATTGCCCAGGCTCAGTCCCAGCAGGCTCGGCGGCGGATCGTTCCACCCACGCTCGCGAGTCCGGTCCTTGTCCTTGTACTCCATTCCTTCAAGAGTTCAACAGAATCTGTTTAATAGGAGTAGACTGTGCTAAACAAACTAAATGCTTATATGCATAACGAAACAGTGATGAGCTGAATAGGCTCAGGAAAAGTTGCTGGTAACAAAGTTGTCAAGTTCTTTCGAATCAACCAAGCCAAGGAGAGTTGCGGGCCGCGCAGCACAGAGAGTTTAGAACACGACAAGACGCCACTGATGATGAATGTAGCGTGACCATCCAAAATCTCGCGGCACCCATCGTGAATTTGAGATGTGAAGGAATGAATCGTTCGGTCTTTTACGTTCATGCGGTCGTCACACGCGGGCGGTCAAGCTCATCCTCGTCTTGGTCGACATTCAACATGGACGTGTCATCCGACTCCATTGCTTGAGACGAGACTGCGGCAGCAGACATGCTGGTGGCCGAGGTGGAAGAGTCTGAGCGGACGCTGAAGCGCCCAACGCGAGCAACTGGCGCGGCTGGAGCAGCGACTGACATGTCCAGTGGTGAAGCGAGAGGCGAATCAACCAAGGGTTTCACGGCAGACATCGGAGGGACGGTAGAGTCGGGGACAGAGCACTCGCCAGCAGCCTCCCCGGCAAGATCGATCGAGCTGCGCTGGGCAAACTGCTGCTCGAGTTCCTTGACGGACGGGTAGCGGGTTTGAGGCGCAGTGTCGGACTGCTGAGTCTGCAACAACTGCTGCTGCGAGTTTGGCTGCAATAGCTGTTGGCCAGAGCCTGGCGCAGAAAGGGATGGTTGTGGCTGTGATGATGTCTGCTGTGAGGCTTGCTGTTGCAACGGCACATTCCGGGCCGCTGTCTCGGCTCGCCGCTTGTTTTGCTCGTGTTGCACGAGGGTGTCCCACCAAGTCTTGACACCGGCGGAGCTGGCGCAGAATTCAGTCATCTCTGCAAACAGCTTGGCTCCCAGGAGTGGGTCACTATTGGCTCCGCGCCACTTCAACGAGAGCAAATGATTGTTCAAAAAGTAAAAGCCCTGCGGTCGGCCAAGCGGCGTCGCGTTCGACGGAACCGCGCCCGGTGACGTTGCCGTCGCGGCCGCCTCGTTGGTCGCGCCAGCCTTGGCCGCAGCATCTTCGTCCAGAACTTGGAGGAAGGCCACACCGGAACGATGGATGAACTGCGTGAAGAGCGTGGGCGTGTCTGGCGAAGCGGTAAAGGCCAGTCCCACACGCTCGCGCTTGGATCGGTCGCTCTCAATGTCGAGCAAAAAGTCAAAGTGCGCCATCAGACAGACATCAAAGTCCAGGCCGAGCGCTGCGGCCGCTGCCGCCCCGGCCAAATCCCCCATGCCAATCTCTGCCAAAGAAGCAACATCGTTTTGGCCGGTGGGTGTGGTTGAAGAGCTGCCGTTGGACTGCACCTTGAGCGGTCGGTAAGCGAGTGGAATAAAGGAGGGCGCGCGGAACGGATCGTACGGTTTCGACACGCGCAACTGCTCGACCGGGGCTGGCACAAGGGAAAAGCCAACGGCGGTGGCCTTGCGTGCCCACATCTGAATCAACTCGTTGACGAGCACACCGGTGCTCACAAGCCAGTGCAACTCAATGTGGAAGCTAGTCAGCGGGTTGTAGGCGGCATCATGCTGGACAACAACCCACTCTTTGCGGTCGCTGCGACGTGTCGGGTCAATGTCAATGCGAATCTTCTTGGACAAGAGTGGGTCGTCCTCCAAGGCTTGCCCCGCGGAAGCGGACGACGACGCGTCACGCCCAAGTCGAGGGAAGCGGAGGCGCTCGCGATCCAGCAAACCCAAGCTCGATAGCTGGCGACTTGGTGTACTCGATCGCGGGGAGGCAGTGTTTGATGCAAGGTTGCCAACAGCAGACGGAACTGCAGAAGCAACGTCGGAGGCGTTGGAGGCAGCGCCAGTTGCGCCACCGCCGCCGCCGGGTGGGGCCTCGCCAGACACGGCCGGTCGTGTGTTCAACTTGATGGCAACGTCAAACCGCTCTTGGTTGCTGCTGGAAGATGGAGCGGCAACTGCGCTGGGGCTGCTGGCGGTGGACGGCGTTGCGGTTCCAGATAGCATGCTGCTCGACGCGGACTGCTGCAACTTGCGCCCACCAATATTTCGGGCGGCGGCAGCTGACGGGGAGCGAGCGTCAATGTCAACATTGACGTCGTCTTCTTGAAAGTGCGTCTGCGTCTTTTGGCGCACGCGATTGAGCGATTCGACAAACTTTGTAAATCCCGCCACACGCTGTGCCACCTCTTCAGGCTGCTCCCGATCTAGATCAAGCTGCGAGAGTATCGGCCTTGATGCAGTTGTGGATGCAACTGCGGCTGCCACACCACCGGGCTGCTGAGTTGAAACAGTGGACGACGACAACGACGACGACGCAGCAGAGCTCTTGCGGGCGGGCAAAGGAAGCAGCACAAACCGTGCTCGCCAATACTTGAGCGAAGACATAAAGTCAGACTGGTGCCCGCAAATCAACTGATCGAGGTAATTCCAGTTAAAGTCTGCAACCTGGGGAATGAAATCGGCCGTCATGGGCAGCTCTTCAAGCGAGCTGGTAAAGCGCAGTCGATACGAGTAGGCAATCGGCTTCATGATTTTTGTCGAGCGCGAGTATCGCTTGAGCTCCATGATTTTGGCACGCGGATCGTACAGCAAGCGGTGGTAGTGATGCCCCATGCTGAGGTAGAATTTCGAGGGCGACAGGTCGGGGTTGGTGATGGATGTGGCGGTTGTGCCAATCACACTGTCACCGAGTCCAGCCTGTGCCTGTTGTTGTTGTTGGTGTTGCTGAGCCGATTTGAGTGGCGGCTGTGCGGCTGGCTGCGACGGCTCGGGCGTTGCAGCAGCAGCAGCAGCATTGGTACCATCGGTGCCCATCGTTGCCAGGTTTGCAACCACGCTGTTGGTCCGGGATGGAGTAGTACTGCTCGCCGCCGATTCAGTCTTGGAAGCGGTGTCCTTCTTTGGGAAGACAATCAATTGGAACCCTTGAGCAAGACGCTGTGAAATGAGCTCACGCATCATTGCCTCCGAGTTGTTGTCGTAAATGGAATCCGCCGCCTCGTCCGTTTCGAGGGACATTGAGTAGGCATAGGTGTGATACAGATTCACCAGGTCCGATTCGGTGGGGAAGAAATCGGTCGTGATTGGCAAGCAGCCAGGCGAGCAGAGCGAGCGCCAATTGGGCGAGTGGGGTTCGTTTGCGTCCGAGAACGAGCTTGGAAAGATGTGTGTCCACCGCCGACGGCTTGTCGACAGGCGGGGCAGGCTGTCCATGCCATTGAAAGGATTGATGAGCGGTCGCGAGACAGGCACCAGGGCTGTGGAGGCAGAAGCGGGGTCGTTCGCACCTGCGCCTGCACCTTGTGCACGTGCACTCTCGGGTGGGCCACCTCCACCAGCAACATGGTGACGCGGGCCCACAGGCAGCCCTGGTCGTGATGGCGGGTCGTGCAGACCAGGAATTCCACCGGCACGATTGGCCGAGCTTTGCACCGAGGCACGGCTCATATACGAAGGCGGCTCGACACTACCGCGTTTGAATGAGCTTGGATTGCGACTGTGGCATCGAGAGACAAGGGGAGAGTGTGAGTGAACAATCCGAAGAAGGGGCAGAAGCAGAAATGAGAACCAAACGTCCAAAGTTCGTGTTGAACATCCAAAGTGCGGAAAGCATACCGTGCAGTGCTAATGCTGAATTCGTCGTCTTCGTCAATATCGTACGAATAAGCACTAGGAGACGCGAGGAATATGACATTGCGTGAGTTGTTTTTTTTTCTCCAACACAATCTGCTAGGACAAAAGCAACAAACGCAATTCATTGCACAATACCTGTCACTCGGACTGCCGCCGCTCGCGTGATGGAAGCGTGCATCTCGTGGAAGTCGAACCGCAATGGGGGTGGCACTGGGTCGGATTGGAGGGGCCGCTGGCTGCTGCGACGATTGAGCATTGCGCGCAGTCGTGGTGCTCACAGCTGTCTGCTTCTTGTCCTCTTTGACTTCATCCTCAGGTGAGATCCTTTCAGCAGGAACAGGGCCAGATGCCTCGTGCAGCTTGATGATGCTTGCTTTTTGAAGCGACAACCCACTGAGGCCTCCGAGGCCTCCAGTGCGAGCCTTTGCTGGCTGCAACTCGATTGGCCTGAACGTTTTACACATGTGAGAAATAAGCCAACTTGGTTCGTTTTCCATACGCCCCCGCCCCCTCCCCCCGATTCCCGACTCCAATCAAACAGACCCTGTTCAACAACGCTCGACAAAAACCCAACCCAAACGTGAGACTTACCGGAAGGGCTCGGCACCAGCACGACGAGACGCGTCCGAGCCGCCGCCGTGGCCGACCGCACCCGAGTTTGCGACACGACCACTGCTACCAGTCACGTTGGAAATGGAAGCGTGCGAGTCGAACGATCGACTCAGACCACTGTCGGCCTGGGCGGTCGTCGCCGGTAAAAGAGCTGATGTGGATGCAGAGACTTGGAGATTTGTGTCGCTGTTGCCACGCGCGCGATTCCGGTTGGCCAGAAAGGCGTTGCCAAACAAGCCTTCATCATACGCATCATAGTCCATCCGATTGTCATCTTGCGCAATAGAGGACGACGACGGAGGCACTTGATATTCCCATCCAAGTGACATGACAGAGCCAATGTGCAAGGATTGTTGCCGGTATGACGTCGCAAGACCATCATACTGATGAGAGCGAGCGGATTGGACGGAGTGAGTTGACCGTGGCGAAGCCTGATCTCCCGAATCGTCTGGTTGTGGTTGCTGTTGCTGCGGTTGCTGTTGCTGCTGTTGCTGCTGTTGCTGTTGTCGCTGATGTTGCTGATGTTGCTGATGTTGCTGATGTTGCAGCTGTTGCTGCTGTTGTGGTTGATACTGTGACCCAGACCGTCGGGTACGGGGAGCCGGCTGAAGAGAGGGAAGTTTGAATTCAACGTCGGCCAAGACGGCAGGGGGTGAGGCAACAATGGCATGAGCAACGCCGCCGTGACGGTGTCCAGATGACGCCAGACCCATGGCCAGACTCACGGCAAAGTCGTGGGCATCCGACATGCGGCAGGTGGGCACAAACCGGTCGACGGCGTACGGCCGCATGGCGGAGACTGAATTTCCGTGGTGGGCCACATCGTAAAAGCTGCTGTGAATCCAGAACGGAATGTTAAAGTCGGTATGATGCACGCGGTCGCCCGGCTTGCGCACAAACTTGAACAGCGGGACGGTGTGCAACGGAGGAGTCGACATGCACACAAGATCACACCCAATGCCATTGTCGACCATGCGTTGCTTGGTGACGTGCGTGAGGCCTTGGTCAACCTCGAACGCGCCGCTGCCAGCGGTAATAATGACAATCATCTGGCCCGTGCGGTCAAAGTTGCGGTCAATGTAATGCCGGTCGAACGCGTTCAAGGCCAGGTTGATGACCTCTAAAAAGTTGCCACGAGATGCGTTTGACACGCGTGCGCGGACTGGAATATGGACGGGGGCATTCTTGTCGGCTTGGGCGGCGTCCGCGTCGGCGCGCAAATTTTCGGACAAAGTGGCGGCGGAATGGCCGAAAAAGGGCCGCGCCGTCGCTTGTGGAGGAGAGAGTAGCGCAGCCCCAGTGCTAGTGCTGCTGCTGCCGGCAATGAAAGTGAGATCTCGAATGGGCTTCATTCGGTAAAACGCACGACGGAGGAGCGTGCGGACGGGTCGCCAGTCGCCTTTCGTGTCGTTGTGCACGGCAACCTCGTAGACGTCTTCGTAGATGCGACCATGCGAGTCAACTTGAAGCGTGTTTCGCAGAGCCGCCGGCAAGTCATCCCGCGAAAAGGTGCCTTCGTAAAAGACACGCGAGAACAAGATGATGGAAACGTCGTGGTGGCAGCCAGCCTCAGCCCAGCGAGCATACAGCTCTACCAGAAACCCATCGACGGCCTTTTCAAAGTTGAGCTCGCCCTTTTCGTCAAACTCCCACATTTCCGAGCTCAGCTGCAAAAAGATAAAGAAGCGTGCAGAGGTGGACCGGAAGACGACGCGCGTCCGCTCCGTGATGAGCCCAGAGGTGACCTCTCGTCCGCTCGACCACAGTTCCGAGACCTGGTGATTGCGAATGATGCAATAGGCAGGATGTGGGTGAGAAACACACTGCAGAAAGGGCGGGACTGCGACGAACGAACGATGAACGACAAACCTGTGCTCGAATGCCGGTAAAGGTAATCTTCTTGTTGATGTAGGCGCAAGTGTTGATGAGATTGCTCTTCAACCGCCACATGTCGCTGCGACTGATGTACTGGTCTTTGAATTGCAGGGAGATGAGCTCGATTGCCACAGGTTCAGACGAGATGCGTTGGACAAACACGTCCGTTCGGTTTGGGATTTTGAACACTTCGGCCACGCTCTTCTCGATGGATAGCTGCCCACCGGAGCCTGAGAGTATTCGTGCCAAACAAGAACAGTAACAACAAAAATGGGTGAGTCGTGAGGAATCGGTGGGTGAGTGTTTGAGCAAAGTGAGCTGAGCCATTCGATCAGGGGGGGGGCTTGATCGCGTTGCTCCTGCTGTCGTTCGTTCTCACCTTTCAGTTGCTGACCGACAGTGAGCGATCGCACTTGTAACACCAGCCTCCTGTGTAGTGCCAAGCAAGCAGGATCGTTGAATGGTGAGGTGATCGCGAGCCACGACCAGTTTTCACTCCCCCGCTCTCAGTGCCCAGAGCTCCGCTTCGGCTCATCATCAAACAGCACGGCAGTCACAAAGGCTGTTCAGCAACGCAGAGCATTTACAGGTTGTCGCGGTCGGGGAAGACGAGCTCGACCACATCGCCCGCTCGGACGCCTGGGATGAGATCGGGATGCACGACGAGCTCCTCCTCTGTGCAACACACAGAGCCGGTGATCAACAAACAGTGAGAATTCCCCCTGCAAAAAAAAAGGGGGGGGGGGAACGAACAAACACCAATGCAGGACGACCACGCCGCTGGTAGTTGAGGCGTATGGGACGTACCATTGGGATAAAAGTTCCTCTCGTGCACCCAAAGCTTGGCGCGGATCATTGCGTAGAAAGTGGGGACTGAGACGAGAAACAAGAACAAAATCTAAGAAGCAAGAATAAAGTCAAACAACAAACAAAGCAAAACCCCTTCAAGAGACCCTGACGACTGAGACAAAGCCAAATCGTGAGAGATGAATTGAAACTCATCCGCCTGCCACCATAAAACCACTGCACTGGCTGCTTGTGTGAAGTGGTTGGTGGTGATCCATTGGGGATGACTCGATGCAACGTGTTGGTGAATGGGCTCGACTGTGGAACTCGAGGGAAATCTCACTCGCTTTGTGTTGTTGGTTTTTTTTTTTTTTTTTTTTTTTGTTGTTGTTGTTTTGTTTTTTGTTTTGTTTTGTGTTGTTTTGTTTTGTCCGCAGAAATCTTTGGCAGCATCCCGACTCACCTCACCCCTATCCAAATCATCGACGATCTCCCGAACAACAGCGGGGCGCGCGCTCAGCTGGGACTTGATCTCGAGAATTTATGCGCAACGGTCGCTCCATCATCCTGACCTCGCACAGCATGGAAGAGTGCGAGGCACTCTGCACACGTCTGGCCATCATGGTCAACGGCGAGTTCAAGTGCATCGACTCGCCGCAGCACCTCAAGAACCGCTTTGGCTCTGGCTACACGATGACTGTCAAGCTGCAGCGCGATCTCTCTGCTGGCGCACGTGAGCCGGACACCTTCCCCGTCAAGCAGTTTGTGCACGAAACCTTCCCCGGCGCAGTTCTCAAGGAGGAGCACCAGGGTGCCCTGCACTACGAGATTGCGACTCCCGAGCAGTCGGGCAGCTCTGCAGTCAAGTCTCTCTCCTGGGCGTTCATCTTTTCCAAGATGGAGGAAGCCAAGCGCATGGACCCCATCGAAGACTATGGCGTGTCCCAAACCTCTCTCGAGCAAGTCTTTATTGAATTTGCCAAGCGTCAACGTACAGAGGATGACGAGTAAAAAAACAAAAAAAAAAAAAAAAAAAAAAAAAAAAAAAAGCAAATGCTATTCATTGATCCCGTGTTGATTTGGTTTTGTTTGTTTGTTTGTTTGTTTTTGGGTGTGCTTTGAACAATAAAATGCGTTCATCTGTTTTCGATCTGATCTTGCTTGTAGATTCACAGGAATCTGTTGCTCATGACTGCTTGACTTCTCACTGGCAAGCTCAACTCTTTGTTTCAGAAGGAGTGTACCTGACTCAGGTCAAGCAACTGTCGGTCGCATCCAGCATTGGGCCAACGTACTACAGTAGATGGTACAGGTGCTGGCTCGTTGCTGATGGGATTCTCACGCCTCAGCTGGCGGACGCCATTTTCATGGCATTTGTTCGAGCATTTGCAGTGCTTTCAGAAAGCTCGAGATGAATTATGATGCAGAGTGAAATTCCTTTGAAAAGGCTCAAGTCTCGCGCAAGAAATTTTATAGAGTCAGGTGCTTGACAGTCAGGAGGACAGCAACACAGAACGACAAACCAACAAACAAACAAACAAACAAACAAACAAACAAACAAACAAACAAACAAACAAACAAACAAACAAACAAACAAACAAACAAACAAACAAACCAACAAACAAAAGAAAATCACAACCAACAACAAAGAAAGCAAGGGTCAAGCACAAAAACAAACAACCAACCATTCAAGCAAACAAACAAACAAAGAAACCAGAAGGAAGGCAGGGACAAGCACGCTAGAGCTGGCTCGACCATGACCTCCTATTCGAAACAATCATCCGGCAATCAGCAATGCAAGAAACCACTCGCCAGCATCATTCATCATAAAACGCCACACGGCGCCGCTCGGCATATTCGACACGTTGGGCCGCACGGATACGCGCCTGAACGACGTCAATGTACAAGGGCAAGGTGAGGTGCATGCGATCGCTGGTCGCAACTCCGACAAGGACATGCACGCATCCCGATTGAACGTCTGCCTCGTGCCGAACAGAGTCCAACACCAGCGCGTTTCCAGTCCCATTCATAACCTGGCACTGCGCCGAAACAATCGTCAAAAGACGCGCCGGCGAAGAACTGTCCGTCACAACAAAGTCAGACACCGAGGGGAAGTCACGCTCCGCATTCACAACACCCGTCGAAAACGTCAGTGGCACGGTCGTCTCGGCACCGTTGTTTGAAGTGGAATGGAACACAATGCTCGAGTTGTTGCTCAGCTGGAAGCGAACTGGAAGCACAAGCTCGGACAGGGCTTGGTTGTCAGCGGGAGCCACAGACACACCCTGGCTGGTGGACTTGACCAGCTCTGGAGAACTGAGAGAAACGCTCAGCACGTCGCCATCATGGGCTGGCTCGGCGAGCTTGATAACAAACTGGTAGGCAGTACTGGAACGACCGCGGGTTGAAATACGCACCGAGGAAATCTTCACCTCTCGCGCAATGCCTGCATTTCCGGACGTCAGGATTGCGTCGGAGCTGGAAGCCAGATGCAAGGCAAGCCCGGCAGTGGTCGGACGCAGCAGCTGCACGACAAAATCGAGCCGGGTCAGGAAGGCGTCATCGGTGATCGTGGAGAGGCGGTCGCGACCTGGGTACTGAGCGATTGGCGAGTCGCGAGTGACGGGATCGTTAAACGTCAAGCGAGCTTGCAACGTGTTCAAGTCGTCAACGCCGGCACTCTCGAGCAGGTCAACTGTCGCAGAAAACAGCAACGTGCGGCTCAGCACATCGTCTCCTTGCCGGCTGTACGACAACAGCGGAGTGACGGACGAGAGGCTCGTGCTGGTCGGATTGCGAGACAGGTGAACAGTCCATTCCAGATCGCCAATCTCTGTCAGCATACGAGAGCGCACAGTCATATTCTGGCTGATGGGAACCAACCCATTGCCGCTGTTGATGGTGAGATAGTGCGGCTCCATCCGCTGGAAACGCGTTCGTTGCAGCAAGGCTGCTTGGTCGGACGGACTCAGTTGGCCAGTGACAATGACCTCTTCAATTGCAACATTGTCTCCATAGTGGACAACAGTGCCGGTTGCCGCAGTGCGACTGACAAAGCGGAAACGAAGCGGCAGTGTGCTCAACTGCTCGTTCGTTGCTTTAATGTCAAACCAGTCGCGCTGCAACGACCGCACCACCAGTCCCGACGACGTGGCGAGCATGAAGAGACGGCCATACGTAACTGGCGAAGAGATGCCTGTCGTAACGCTCGACGGAGAAATGATGCGCAATCGCTCGAGGCCCACGTCGACGACCGGCTGCTTTCGGAAGGAGCTGGCGCCGTAGGCCCTCCAGCCAGTGAAAAAGTCTGGATGCTGTGCGCTGTAGCAACCCCACCGCTGGAAGATGTACCAGTTGTCGTCATGGTCACCACCGCGCCGAACAAACGCGTTCTCAGGGTGATCGCCGAACAGGTTACATTCGACCGCGCGGTCCACATGGGCTGCATTGGTCAAGTAGACGCCGGCCTTGCATGAGGGACGCTCCATGCACGCTTGCTTACACTGGTCGAAAGAGACGCCCTTGACCTGATAGATGCCAGCCGGTCCCTTGTCGCTCGCACGGTTTGCAGATTGGATGACCTCGGACCACGACTCGTGCTGGACTGGTGCACAAGTCGTGTGTGGATTCTTGCACATTGTACAAGCTTCTCCATTAAAGTAGCGGCTTGAATCACCACACGACGAGCAGACAACGCCATCAGGAAGGTTGACAATGTCCATGTGCGTGTCTGCCACGTCCTCGTTCGACGCTGGCACCTGACGAGCAATCAGCCTGCCTTGCTTGGGGTCCTCTGCCATGACCATGTGATTGCTTGCCGAGATGACTTGAGAGAGGGTGACATAGTCGCCAAAGTGCACTCCCACCTCGTCCGCCTTGGCCGGGACTTCGCAGTCAGCACCAGGTGTGCTTGCGCACACTTGCAAGTAGAAACGGGTCAAAAGGTCGAGCTTCAAGCCGACAAGCTCCTGGTTGGTGCCATTGGACAAACGCGCGACAGCCAGCACCTGCAGCACGGGCACCAACTTGTACTTGATCGGAACTGGATTCTTCGACACTGTCGTGCTCCACTCTTTGTCACCGTCCATGTTTGTGGGGTCTTCCGGATCATTTGTGCCTGCGGTTGGGTCACCACCCATGAACGTCTCGCGGCGGGACTCGGTGCGATCCTTGACGGCTTGCTTAAGGGAGCTTTGCTTGTTGATGCTCAAGGACGTGTCGATGGAGCTCGACTCGATTCCAGAAGACGAAAGCGACAATGATGACTTGAAGGCATCCGACTGTTCCACGCTCGACTCAAACTCGGTTTGTGCCATGGTGTACACTCGAATGGACTTCCCGCCCATGTGGACGCCGATGAGGGTGTGGGTCCCCACCTTGTCCAAAAACCGAAGGTAAAGGTCGCCACAGTTTGCATGGATTGCGGTGCACGCCGAACGATCCTTGCTCACTCCAGCGTGCGAGGGAAGCACAAGACCATCACAGCACGCGGGCGGCGGGAGCGCGTTGAACATTTCAATGACATGGTCGGCGAGCGGAGGCGTGTCATCCAGGAACTCTGCCACATATGTCAAGACGGTGCCAATGGTGGTGATTGAAACAGATTCGGACGACTGATGCATCTCTGAGGCCTGCTTGTAGTCGTTCGACGCCGAAAACTTGGCACCTCCACCTTCAACGAGAGCACTGAACGAGAAGGAGGTTTCGATGGACACGTCCACTTCCAAGCTTTCTGCGTACTCGGACGAGGTCGTTACGAGGTGGGAACGACTGTCAAACTGCGCGGAAGCGTACGGAATGACGGCGACGCGGTCAGGAAGCATCGTGCTGCCATCAGCGGTCATGCGACGCATCGAGTAATCCACCTTGAGGACAGGCAAGGTGAACCCGGGATCGACACCGGACGACGGAAGAGGGTTGCCCTTGAAGATGTGGTATCCGAATCCGAGCATGCCAATGTTCTTGTACGACGTCACGCCACTCCCAGGCATGTTGATTGTCGCTCGTGCAGATGCCATACGAGCGTCCAGCTCCAGCTGCTCGAGAGCAACCGTTTTGGTCGGCAGATCGGACTCTTGGCGAGTGTGGGACGCAGACAGCTCGTTTTGCAGATCGACCACCTCGAGTTCGACGGACAGCTTGGCCAAGTCCATGCTTGTGCGTGAGTCGACAACTTGGCTCTCGAAACGCGCTGACAGCGTGTCGCGAGCAATCTGCGCAACAAGCAACTCGGCGGAGAGGTGCGGCTCGCCTAGTTGGATCAAGGATTCAACACGCGAGATTGTGCTGTTGAGTTCGAGGATGCGGGTCTTGGCGAGAATTGGCCAAACGGCAGCAGATGGATCGAGGCCTGTGTTGACATTGCCGTTCGAGCAGCCATCACGCGAGTAGCACGACTCGAGGGCACTCGGAGGATCAGAAAGACGTGCACATTCGGATGGAGTTGCAGTGGGCCAGAAATGCGGCGGATGGGATGGATCGCGGCGAGTACAGGTGATGTTACGAGTGCGAGTGCCAGCGCCGCACGCAGGTTCACAGGATGACCACGTCGACACTTCCCACTTGAGCTCACATCCAGAAGTGCAGTTGCAGCTCGGGCAGGTTGTGGAGTTTGGCTTCTGGAGACCGTGCTTCTCACAGAGAGACGCCGAAACTGGAACTTCCGAGCCGCTACTGCCAGTGTTGTGCAAGCATTGAAGCGTCGATTGCCGCG